GATGGGCCAAGTTTGACGGCCGCGGGGACAGCAACAGCTCCCGAGCTCGTTTGAGACTTTGGCTTCTCTGACCCTCTTTTTCCTCTCCCTTTTCTTCTTTTTTTGTCTATATTATGTCTAGAGTTTTTCATTCTGATTTCAAAATTCTCTCGTGGAACGTGGGTGGTGCTGGGGGCAGGCCCTTCTTACGTGCTCTCTGGCTGGCTATCCAACTCCACCGGCCTAACTTTGTCATTTTGTTGGAACCGCAGGTCAGTGGCGCAGTTGCAGACTCTATTTGCGAGAAAATTGGGTTCCCCGATGTTGCTCGTGTTGAAGCCACAGGCCGAAGCGGGGGTGTATGGGTGTTCTGGAATGCACAGTATTTTGATGCTCAGATTCACTCAGCGGGCGATCAACACCTCACTTTGGCCATCTGCCATAACAGTTTGCCGGATTGGTTTTTGACGGCTATTTATGCCTCTCCTAGGCAGCATCACCAAATTTTGCTATGGCACAATCTGATTGAAGAAAGCAAGAACATCACCCGCCCCTAGATCCTAACGGGTGATTTCAATGCTATCTCATCCCCGGAGGAAAAGAGTGGACCCTCTACCGCAGCCACTCTTCGTAGGTGCAGACGATTTAGCCATTGGATTAATCAGGCTGAACTCGTGGACTTGGGCTTCTCCGGTCCTCGGTTTACATGGTCAAGGGGTTCGCAAGATTCCACGTTCAAAGCGAGTAGGCTAGACCGTAGCCTCTGTAACCTGAGTTGGAATGAAGCGTTCCCGGACACCACGGTTCTCCATCTTTCTCGAGTGGGGTCGGACCACCATCCAATTCTCACCTCTGTGGCTCGCCAGGGAGTCTCTCATCCCTCCTCTAAATCCTTTAAAGTTGAGGCTGCTTGGATTACCCATGAGAATTTTCACAGGTTTTTAGATGATTCTTGGAACTCACAGGCCGCTCTCCCTCTTGCTTTACAGGACCTGGCTTCCAAGTTACAAGTTTGGAACACTTCGGTCTTTGGTAATATTTCTCAAAGGAAAAGGAGGCTTTTGGCTCGCATTGGTGGTGTGGAAAAAAGACTGGCTGAGGGTTTCTCTCCTGGGCTAGCTAAGCTACACTCCACGCTTTCGACGGAATTAGACAAAGTATTGGAGCAAGAAGAGCTGCTGTGGTTCCAAAGGTCTCGGGAGAACTGGGTAAATTTTGGAGAGAGGAATACTTCGTATTTTCACCAGCTTGCCAAAATCAGAAGAAGGGCCAACAAAATTACTTGTCTGAAAGATGAGCATGGGGAGTGGGTGACGGACAAGCAACAGTTGGCTTCCATGGTTTTCCAGTTTTACTCTGGTTTGTATCTGCAGGATGGAGCTATCTATAGTGATTTGATGCCTCGAGGAACCTTCCCGCACCTCAGCTCTGAGGAGATTAGCCAGCTCCTCCGGCCTTTCACTATTCAGGATGTCCGTCGGGCGGTTTTCGACATGAAACCCTTTCAGGCCCCTGGACCAGATGGGTTTCAAGCTATCTTCTACCAGCACACTTGGAAGACTGTGGGGAAATCTCTTACTGACATGGCCATTTCTTTCTTTGAGGGAGGCGAGCTTCCTGAGGAGGTTTTTGCCTCTACGGTGGTGCTCATCCCCAAAGTAGAAAATCCCGAGACTGTTGGACAACTACGGCCGATCTCCCTTAACAACGTCAGTCTCAAGGCTATCACTAAAGTCATGACTAGCAGATTGAAGATGGTTATGAATACTCTGGTCTCCCCTCGTCAGAGTAGTTTTATTCCTGGTCGGCAGACAACAGACAATATCCTTGTCGTCCAGGAATTTCTCCACTCTATGCGGAAGCGGAAAGTCAAGAAGGGAGGGCTGGTTATGAAAATCGACCTTGAGAAGGCCTATGACAGACTCCGATGGGATTTCCTGCGGGATACTCTCATTGAGGTGGGTCTGCCGAGCTCTTGGGTCCGTTGCATCATGTACTGCGTCGAGAAGAATGCTATGCGCATCCTCTGGAATGGAGAGCTTCTGCAGCCCATTTCCCCGACCCGAGGTGTTAGACAGGGAGATCCTCTTTCACCCTATCTTTTTGTTTTATGTATGGAACGTCTCTCTCACAGAATAGACCGGGCCGTCCAGGAAAAACTGTGGAAACCTGTCAGATTATCGCCTGGGGTCCGGCTCTAACTCACCTCTTTTTTGCAGATGATCTTGTTCTTTTTGCAGAGGCAGAAGGCTCTCAGGTCCGGATTATCAAGGATTGCTTGGACGAGTTTTGTGCTAGCTCTGGCCAAAGAGTGAACTTCAGCAAATCTTTGCTCTATGTCTCACCAAATATCGAGCAGCCTCGAGCTCAACGGCTAAGCGACAAAGCTGGAATTCCTTTGACTCAGAATCTGGGGCGCTATTTGGGGTTGCAAGCTATCCATGGGAGGATCACCAAGAGTAGATATCAGCCCCTTATTCTTCAAATTCAGAAGAAGCTTGCTCCTTGGAAAGCTAGGAGGCTCTCCCTTGCTGCGAGGCTAACGGTGGCGCGCTCTGTGTCTCTCGCCATCCCTACGTACCCTATGCAGACGGAGCTTATTCCTATGAATGTTTGTAAATCTATTGATAAGATTAACAGGGACTTCATCTGGGGAGAGAGAGAACAGCAAGGAAGGATGCACTTGGTGTCCTGGGAGAAGCTAACTGAGCCAAAGAGCCAGGGTGGTGCAGGTCTTCGACCGCTGAGACAAGCTAACTTGGCTCTGCTGGCCAAGGGGGGATGGCGTTTACTTCAGGAGAAGAACTCCCTCTGGACGCAGCTCTTTCGGGCCAAGTATGGACGTCAACGGGAAGGACTGGATCTCTTTCGCCCGAGTCAGGGAAGTTCCTTTGCCTGGAGAAGCTTTACCAAAGCTTCGGCCTTACTGCAGCAAGGCTGTGGGTGGAATATTCACAGCGGGAGAGATACTAAGTTTTGGCGTGATCTTTGGTTGTTGCAGGTGCCACTTGTGGAGATGGCTCTTCAGCCGGTGCCTAGCGAGATGATGTCAGATGCGGTTGCTGACTACCTTAAAGAAGATGGCTCTTGTGATGTTGATCGGCTGACCCCCTGGTTACCAATCGAAGTTCTTCAGAAGATGACTGCAGTGGTCGTGGACCCTCTCTCCACTGAGAAGGATAGAATCTTCTGGACGGGGTCCTCTAATGGCTGTTTCTCAACCAAAACAGCCTACCTGTTGGCGAATCCGCCTCAGCATGACGCCCGACAACAGGTTTGGAAGAGAATTTGGCAGCTCCCTATTCCGGAAAGAGTCCGGTGTTTTGCCTGGCTAGTTTGTTTGGGCAAGATTGCGACGAACCGCCTCAGATTCTCTAGAAGGTGTGCGCAGTCTGCCTCCTGCTACCGCTGCGAAGAGGTTGCCGAGACGATTTGCCATGTCCTCCGGGATTGTCAGCCTGCCGTCTTCTTTTGGAACAGGCAGGTGCCGGCGTCGGAGCAGCAAGCTTTCTTCTCAGCACCTACGGGAGTTTGGCTGCAGGAAAACCTTCTCAAAGAGGATACCATGGTGTCAGGTGTCAAGTGGAATGCCTTCTTCAGCATAGCGATCTGGTGTTTGTGGAAGAACAGGTGCACGGACTGCTTCAAAGGGAGTGCGGCTACTCTGACTGCTCCATCTCTGAGGCACTCGATCATGCATAAGATCAACCTTTGGCACAAGGCGTGGAGTGCACCCTCTATATCACCAGGTAAGCCTAGGATGGTCTGTGAAGAGAGGACTGAGAGTATTAGATGGCTCGCCCCTCCAAGGGGGTGGATGAAGCTCAATGTGGACGGGGCTTCGGCGGGCAATCCCGGGTGTGCAGGGGCTGGCGGTTTGATTAGGGATGATCAAGGCCGTTGGATAGCTGGGTTTGTGGCTAAGATTGGGGAGGCCTCGGCGGCTCTGGCCGAGCTGTGGGCTATTCGGCATGGTTTGGATATGGCTTGGCGTCACAGGTGTACGAGTTTGATTGTTGAGTCGGATTCTCAGGTGGCTATCCAGCTGATTAAGGATCGACATGATCCCATCCACCCGTACGCTGGCATTTTGACGACGATCCGGCGGCTTTTGGCTCAGGATTGGTTGGTCAATATTGTTCATTCATACCGGGAAGGGAATAGAGCCGCGGACTGGCTCTCGAAGCACAGTCTCGTCTATCCCTACGGTATACGAGAGCTTGTTGACCCGCCCAGAAATTTGTATCAGATTTTGCAGGAAGATAATCAGGATATTTCTTTTGAGCGCCGGGTTGTGGTGCAAAGAAATAGTTAGTCTTGTTCTTTCCTGGTCCTCTCTCTCCTTATGTAGCTTTTCTCCTTCTTGGCCTTGGCCTCCCTTAATGCAAAATAAAAAAAAATGTGGGTAAGTGGGTTTTCATTAATAAGATAAAATACGATGTTGCTCTCATCTCATCTTCTTCCTCCTTTTTTTGATAATGTCATCTTCTTCCTCCTATCTGAACCAATCTCATATCCAAGAAAGGATCCGACCACGGAAGGCGAAGGTGGTTTGGTCGAGCTCACCAGAGCTTCTCCTCTCGCCGGAGTTCGTCGCAGGCCTCGAGTAATCCTCCCGCCGGCTTCTCCCCAATTTCCCCCCAACCCCAAATAGAAACAGTTCACATGGCTTAAGTTTCCCATGTCTCTGGGCTGCATATACATCAACATATTGGTGATGATGGTCAACGAGCTGCATGCTTGCTCTACTTGCCGCTGTTATCTTCTCCATTAGTTAGATACAGGCCACCAGACAGAGGACCATACTCGAACAATGAATCTGATTGCTATATAAGAACAGAGTGGACCGGGATTTGCTTCCGTACTAAGACAACCCTAACCCTTACATTTCTTGTTACTCTGCAAAAAATGGAGTTAAAAAGGGCGTTTTTTTTCCAGATATTCTAGGCTTTTGATACACAGGAGACTAGCTTGCAAACTAGAAAACAAAAAAAAAAAAACATTTCTCTTCAGTAGCAAGATCAAGTAGTGAAAAAGGTCCAAATCTTCTTTCCTACAGAAGCTTCACCAGGGTGCTCAGAGGACTCTTCATTGTCAAAGTCATCTTCCTCTTCCTCTTCCTCTTCCGCTTCCTCATGGATTGTACTACCATTCTCTCCCTCCTCGTTCCTACTTTCTACCATGCCATTTACTTCTTCGCTCAACTCTACAATCTCCACAGACTTAGCCATATCAACTTGGTCGTCGCCAAGTGGTGCTTTTAACTGCAAAGCAAATATTTACAAGTTTCAAAACGGTAACTACTAGCTAAGGATCATTCATTCAAATCCAGTAAAGTCGAAGTGTTTCCAGAGACACCATAATTACTTACCCTGTTCTCTGAGGTCTCTGCACCTTTAAGTGTCGTAACCTGGACCAGGTTAGCAGGCTTGTAAGTCCCATCAGCAACTCTAAATCCTGGCTCTTCCATGGCAACAGCTGCACCATCAGCAGAAGCTTCCTTCTGGCGGTTTTTTGTTAAAGCAGGCAACGCTTGAACAGCTGAGTTTGCTGGAACACTGATATTAATCAAAGTCCATGTTAGAAAATATGAAGAAGCTTCTTCCTTAATTATCAAATCATAAGCAATGACATGGAAACAGTAGCACGACATTCAAATATACATGAGATGTCTTGAAATTCGAGTCAGAATAGTATCTGAAACTCAGCAAATGTTGCTCATATCTCATAGTTGCTGGGCTGGGCCAGCAAACAAATGAGCAAACGGTAATTGAAGACAGAGGATATCAGTAGATATATTTCCTTCACCACAACTGAATGAACTAACTATATGAGAAATATGACAGCCTCAAACAAAGATGCAACTACAACTTTTTAAATCAAGAAAAAGTAAATAGAGGTGGTCACTGGTTAACAACCCATAGATTCATGAACCTGCATCAAGGTGAACAGAATTGCTAGAATTTTCAGTCCAACTGGTTCATGAGTTGAATTGATGCCACTAGGCTGGTCTGAAGCACAAACTAGATTGATGAATACACTGGAGAATTCGAACAGAAAACAAACAGGAAGACGGGACACAGAGAGAGAGAGAATCAGATAGAGCATTTTATATACAAAATCCCAATTGCGCTCTGCCTCCAGTGAAAGCATTAACAAATTGCACGTCATGCAAGAATAGACACTTACTTCTTCTGTCGCCTGAGATTGTATCGTGTTTGCACTGGGGTAGATACAACCGAGGCTGCCGTTTGGCGCCTTTTCCTGCGCCCACCAGCAGTTACACTAACAGAACCACCTTCACTGTCAGAAAAATCCTGCAGACTTTCTGAAGGTGCCCGCTGTCTCTTCCTAGCAAAATTGCTAGCCGCCTTCCCTGCTTGACTGGAAATACCTTGACTTTCCTCACTTAATCCAGGTTCATCACCCGGCTGCTCATTCAAGTTATGCTCAGGCTCTTCTTCTTGACTTTCCCCGAGAAACTTCTTTGCTTCCTGAACCACAGTCTTCACCGAGCGGGTTCTACCTATTCCTGACTTGCGTCTCCTCCCAGGTCTACGCACAACATTCTTCAACACCGACTGCTCAGAATCTTCTGGACCTTCTTGTAACTTGCTGTTAATGTAACTATGATCATCAGCAGATAAACCATGCCTATCTCCATCTCGATTAGTGTCATCAGTTTGGTGCTCCTGACTAGCCCCAAAGGATGATGCAGGTGGTTGCTCCCTGCCAGGAACTGAACCCCATCTAGCATCTTCTGCAACAAGTGCACCAGGTAGTCCCTCAGCTTGTTCTCTAATAATATTGACCCTGGCAGCAGATGAGGTCGACTCTTCTGCCAAGCTGGAAGGAGAGACCACTCTTTTGGTTGGTGATATACTGAGAATCTTCGAGGTGCACCTGCGAAGCCAGGAGATGCGCCCCTGAGGGCTTGATTGTCCCAAATCAGGTTTGGCCGAGGAGTTTTTGACATTTGAAACACCAGACACATTGATAAGACCTTGGTTTGCTACCATCTTATTACTTAGCGTTGGGAGGGTAACAGCTCCAATTTCAGGAGGCTGGAGATCAGAGAGAATAAACTCTCCAGTTATATCTCTGCAGCTATTGCAGTTCTTAAGTTTCTCAACAAACACAAGGAAGCTATTCTTTTCTCTCAAAACCTGTTCCCTCTGGTCCCTGAGCCTCTTGCTAAGGGACTCAAGTTCAGAAATGTCTTTCTGTATCCCAACCTGCTGTCTTTCAAGATCTTCCTTGTCTTTCACAACTTCTAGTTTTGCCTTCTCCAGTGCACACTTTTCAGATTGCCTTTCTTCCGATTCTCTCTGGACAGTTTCCTTCAGGAGTTCAATGTTATTAAGTTCTTTCTCCTTCTGCTCCTGAAATGCCCTATCCTTCTCCTGAAAGGCTCTCTCTATTTCCTCCCTCCTACTTATCAGGACAGCATCCAAACTGCTTCTCTGTGATTCCAAATCTTGTACAATACGGTCATTGTCCATTTGGTGTTTCTCACATAAAACTGAGTGCTCATGCCTTAGTCTAGACTCAAATGTTTCCTTTTCAAGCCTTAGATTCTCCAACTCTCTCTGAACATGCTCCTTAAGTGCATCTTCTTCTTTCTTCAGCCTTTCTCCTTCAGCTTGACGGAATGTCTCCAAGGCTTCCCTTTCTTCAGCAATGTCCTTCAGCTCTTTTTCAACTTGGGTTCTTTTGCCTTCTAGCAACTCCAACTCCTTCTCAAACCTCTCTCTTTCGAGCTTCAACTCTTCCCCTTCCTTCATAAGGAACTCCTCCCGAAGCCTACACTTCTCTCTCTCGCTCTTCAGTTCCTCTCGCAAACGGAGGAATTCTAATCTTTCTTCATTCATTATCTTAACGCTTTCGCTCCTTTCACCAATTTCATGCTCCTGTTGAACAATTTCAGTCTTTATCCTCCCGTATTCATCATTGAGATTCTGAATGCTCTCTTTATCAGTAAGTAATTGCCGCTTCTCAAGCTCCAAGTTCTTCTGCCCAGCTTTCAAAATCTTCTCTCTTTCCTTCAACGTTTTCAACTTTGCATCAAGATTCTTCTCCTTCTCCTTCACCCTCTCAGTTTTCCTGTCTAAAGCTTCTTCTCGTTTTCCCAACAGTTCCTCCCTGTGGAGAATGTCGGCTTCGAGTTTCTCCACCTTTTCTTGCTTGTTTTTTAACTCTTCATCAAGACTTTTCCGTCTCTGCTCCAGTTCCAACTCAAGCTCCTGCATTTGAGCATCTAGGGTGGTCCTGTGTTCATCCACAATATATGGAATCTCTACCTGTAGGAATAAGAAACACAAATTTCCAAGACCATATCATCTGATAATTCTGGAATCTCTATCTCTATATCAATTTGGAAGCTTTCATAAAAATTAATCGACTTCGGATATAAAGTTAAGACATATACGATCAAAAGAAGCTGTTGTTCACCTTTTCCCTGGCACTAAGCTTTTCTTCCCACCTCTGCAGCTCCTTCTCTTTCATCTCCAGAGAACTTCTCTGAGATTCAGCACTCTAACAGGGATTACAAAAAGTTTAGACAAGGATCCAAAGAAAGGAAATATGGAAGTATCACGTATACCCGCATGATGAATATATTCCAAAACTACTCATCACATAGTTTCACATTAGATAGCAACATAAGCATCAAAAAATTTCAGCATCAATTACTAAAGATCGGGCGAGGGAACCTAAGGGACACTATAGTGTATGATTCTGGGAAGTATGAAAGGTAGTAGGCAATGAGAAATAAAAAACTGCAATGAATCAAAAAATAAAAAGCCCCAACCTTCTCTTTTACAGCCAAATCTGCTAACTGATTGTCAATATCTACTTCCCTGTCCTTCAACTTTTCAAATGACAGATTGATCCTCTTTTCCATTTCTTCGAGGTCGATCTCTTTCTGCTTGGCGATCCCCTCGCTTTTACTTGCCTTTGCCTCTCGTTGGTTGATTTCCTGTCGGAGCTCGCCTAACTTCTCTTCCTTCCTCTGCAGTTGCCTCTCCCACTCGTTTAAATCTTCCCTTTGTTTGTATAAATTTGCATCATGTGCTTCTCGGCTATGATGAAACATGAGAAATGAAACTACAGTATGAGACAGAAAACCTACCTTCAAGATAAGTTCAAAAAACTATTGAATGGAGAAGTACTCTGTATTTAAGGAGAGGCGCTCTCTCTGAATCGAAAATTCACGGGTTTCAATTTCATGGAGCTTCACATCCAATTCTATACTCTTTTGGTTTACTTCTGAAAGCTTTGCTTCAAAATTTTGTATATTCTCCTTCACGGCCATAGACTTGCCCTCGATACCAGCAACTAAAGCTTCAGCATTAGCCAACTTTGTCTCAGAAGCATGCTTGGCCTGTACGTGCTCATCCTTTAATTCACGTAAAGCCTTCTCGAGCTTCAAGAAAGAAAGAAAAATAAATAGAGGACCAGTAATCAGTTCCAGAAACAAACTAAAATTCAGCACTTAATATTTATAGACCAGCAAAGAAACTAGTTCAAATATAGAAGTCTTTTGTTTAAAGCCAAAACCAAAGTCAAGAAAAGAAATTAAATTTGGAATATATATATTTTCAAAAGGTTTCAAGCCAAAAAGACTAGAGAGCCATCTTGGAGCATGAAGACCCAACCAGGAATTTAGGAACTAGAACTAGAACTTGAATCACCAAAAAGAAGGCAAGGATAGACATGAAGGAAGTTTCATTTACAGAGAATATAAAAGATACATGTAAAGCACATAGAAAAGTTACAGGAGGTTAAAACTTAAGAGAGGTGTAACTTACATCAGCCACGCATTGTCGCTCAACCTCCAAAGCATCTCTTAAACTTTGTTCTCGCCTTTCCATTTCTGTCAGTGCAATCAAGTGCGCTGATTGGTCACGTTTGAGGATCTCTTGTGCCTCTTCCACTGCTTGCCTTAGTTCTTCAAGTTTTGCAGTCCACTCCTTCTTTTCAATAAGGAGAAGCCCCATGTTGTATTGGTAGTCGAAAAGCTGTGCCACAAAAGCATTTTTTGTAAATGAAGTATAAAAACCTCCATGAAGTTTAGTATCTGAAACTATTAACAAATAACTCATTCCCAGAAAGCATGCAGTTTTTGCGACTTGTAAACATCGTGTTCCTCTTTCACCATATTTAACACCAAAAAAGCACTACAGTAGCACATAGACATACCAAACCCTCATTTGTGAATCCTAGTCTCTTAAGCAGGTGCTTGCTAGCATCCGGATAATGCACAATGCTTTTTTCCTCCAGATTCAAAATCCAACGATTTTTCCCCAAATTGGAACACGAAAAAAGTCGATAAGTACTGAAGATAAACCTCTTTAGACATGCAGTTTGCCCTAAGCGCCAAACTGAAACCGACCATCTCAATCAACGCCAAACCGAAGCAAAACGAAGAAGAAGCTCCAGCACGTGGCGATTAGTTATATAACAGAAAAGGAAAGAGCAACAGACCTCCTTTTCAAGTCTTGAAGCTTTCTCCATAAGTGCCTCACGATCCTTTCTCTCCATTACAGCCTCGTCCAGCAAACCCACCTCCCTGAACCGCCTCCAAGCCTCCGAATCTTCATCCTCGGCTGCCATACCACTATCATTCAGCAACCCAGTTGGCGGAGGAGGAGGGTCCGACGGCAGAAGACTGGGACCATGAACGAAAGCCACAGCCTTTCCCTTTCCTACACTCCTAGGGTTTGGCGTAGCCGCATTGGATGTCCCAGCGCTATTATGCGCCGGAGTTAGCGTGATCGCCGGCGACGCCCGTCTCTGTTGCGGGAACATTCCGAAGTTGGGAAATCAAACCCACCAATTCGAAGGGGAACCCTTACAGAGATGATAGCGCCCAATTTTCAGGCGATACCCGTTTCGACGGAGAGGCGATTGCGAACATGCACGGGAACCCGAACCGCCTGAAGATGCTGAACGGATTTCGCCCCCGGCGAAACGAGAAGAGATGGAGGAGAGAGCAGACGGAGGAAATGGGTATTTCGGGTTTCGAAGTTTCCTGGGGACGACGTTGAGGGAGATGAAGAAGGGGAATGAAGGAGAGCGGGTAGAATAGAACAGAATCTTCTGTTGCGGAAGGCTCGGGGCCCTGTGATTGATTGAAATTTGGGAAAACGGGAATTTACGGCTATAGCCCTATACCCCTTCACTTCGTTCTTGAATTCGTTACGAGTTCGACAGTTAGCGACAAAGGCGTACTTAAGCGAGTTAGCTTAAGCCCCATTGACTTCGGTTCAACGATTTTGTCGGGTATCAATAATATGTATTCCAATTAGGGGTGGCGAATCGAACCGAAACCGAAATGTTGTAGTTCGGTTCAGAATTCGGAAGGCAAAACTCATTATTTCGGAATTAAGGGTCTACACACCGAACTCGAATTCCGACCAACCGAATTAAATAAAAAAGGCTATAGACTAAACAAGCCCACCCTCTTTCCGAAGCCAACTAACTCCTCAACCCAGTAACTATCAATCATCAGCCCACCCTTTATCAATACCAACCCAGCCCACTCTTTATCAATCACCAGTCAGCCCAACTCCTAGCCCTAATCCCACCCCTAAGTCCTAACTGCCTCTCCACTCTCCCCAGCGGCCAGTAGAGCAGCAGCCAGCCCCCTTCTCTCTGTTCTTCTCCTCGCCTCGCCTAGTCTGCCATTCAACCCAAAAAATCAATCAAAACAAAATCACCATCACCACATCCCCCTTTGTTCTCGGTCGAACTCCTCGAAACCAGAAACCCAATTCCAAACATAAAGAACCCACATGCATCTAAATCCAAAAAGAAGAAGAAGAAGAAGAAAAAAAGCAAAAGGAAGAAGAAGACGAGAAAACGACAGCAGAGAGGAGAAGAAGGGCTGGAGGGCGGTGATGCTTCCTCTAGGGATGGCGGTCGCCGACTGATGGATCTCTGATGCTTTTGGAAGGAACTGGATCTGCCGCAGAGGAGGGCAACATCGCTTGGGTTGTCGATGATAATTGAGAAGAAAAAAATGGCGGAGAGCAGGGGATCTGTAGATTGGAATAAAGGAGAGAGAATGGAGAGGAAAAATAAAAAATGGACGAGGAGAGAGAGAAAGGGTGAGAGGGGGAACAATAATGGTTGCAGCAGAAGCAGATCCATCATTTACAAAGGGAAAGGAAAAGTTTTCGGTGTTGGGGGTGAAACCGGACCTAACCGAAGTATATTTCGGTTTGGAATCAGTTTAAGGTCTTGTGGTAATCGGAAACCCGGAATACATAAGTTCGGTTCGATCGAAACCGAACCGACCGAATGCCCACCTCTAATTCCAATATCAAATCTCCAAATATCAAATAGTGTCATAAACTCAATCTCAATTTCATTTTTTTTAAAACCAATATCTCAATTCCTAATATTGTATCATATCGGTATATACCAAATACTGTAAAATCTAGTGATTGCGGAAAGTAGAGAAGACAATGATTTACGTGGTTTCCCCGATTATCAGGACTAGTAAGCAGAGAGCAGAGCTCTCGAGAGGTTTTCACTACCAACGCATAATAGAAATCTGCCTTACAAGTGTGTTGTGTAGCTCGACATAGAAAGCCCTACTAATACCCGTCTACTATAACCTAGGGTTATTAGGGAGAAGAGCACACAATTACAATTAACTACCCATAGTAAACAAAAGCTACTAATGAGTACAATAACCACACGTCAACACTCCCACCCAAGTTGGAGCATGAAGGTCACAAATGCCAAGTTTGGATAGTAGAGAGTGGAACTGGTCGACCCCCAACGCCTTGGTGAAAATATCCGCCAACTGAGAGGAAGTGCCAATCTTCAGTGGAGAAATCTCACCTGTAACAACAGTCTCACGAACAAAATGGTCGTCCATCTCAACATGTTTGGTATGTTCGTGGAAGACCGGATTAGCAGCAATATGGAGACTGCTTGGTTGTGACAATACAAGGACGTAGGAGCTGACTGAGGCGCGCTCAACTATGTGAGAAGGGAGCGTAACCAGATAACCTCACTCATCGTGCTAGCTATAGCCCGGTATTCTGCTTCAGCGGAGGATCGAGCAACCACATATTGTTTCTTGGTACGCCACATCTTGTGAGTGGCGTAGGGTAGTGCGGGGTGGATTGTGATGTAGCGGAAAGGTGAGCAACGAGCTCTGATACCAGATGATAGAAACCTATTTCTAGGGTTCTATCGATTGGGTTGTGAAATTGGGAATTGATGGAGATTTAGGGATTTAGAAGAGAATTTGGGGAAGAAGATAGAGAATCGGCCTAGACCTTTTGAGGTATTAAGATCAAGAATTGAGAGGATTGGGGGATTAGGGTTTAGGAGAGTTTTCTTATTATTCTTCTTATTGACATGGTCCATGAAACCGTACAGGAAAAGTATCATTAAATACCGTCTATCGGTTTAGCGTTCGGTATTAATATTTTGTGGTTTAACCACCGGTACGGTTTCATGGATCATGCTTATTGATTGAATAGACGAATAATAACGTACATATATATAGGAAGAGAACCAAAAAACCCTAACATTTAACCTAATACGACTAAAAGACTAATTACCCTAATATAATAATCCTTATAGAAACCGAACGAAAGTTGGTTTCTATCACCATAGGTCTACATATTTAAGAGCTCTCGTAAGCATTACTTCTTCTCCATAGAGCTTTCCTCGTGTTGATTGGGAAACCTTTAACTTCTCGCATGTTGACAGAAAATCAACTCATTCTCAGCCAACCTCGACTTCTTACGATTGAATCTTTGACTTCATCATAAGGCACCGAGAGTCCAAGGTAAGCCGAGTTTTTCTGACCAAATTAAGAGCCTCCTGATTGGGTGGGGTTTATAACTTTAACCACTGTTAAGATGTTCTCCCCTTATTATGCGACATACCATGATCAAACCATGGTTGGGGATTAACCTAGACCAACCATCCACGTCCTCTATCTTTACGAGTAACAACAACCCAATCCGCTGGTGTAGGTGAAAATTCATCCAACAACATACCATGCAACATCACAACCATAACAACAATATATACTTCAGAACTAGGAGGTGTATGGGGGACTAGTACACTGACTTTCCCCATGCCTTGGACGACTGCAATGAAAATAGGACAAAGGTAAATACTCAAAATTCATATGAACTCAGAAGCCATCTCTAAGAGCATTATGTGTATGCAGATGAGAGCGGAGTGGAGCCTCAACATCAATACAAACACGTACTTTAATGAACACATCAGAGTTACCCAGGTATACATATAATCAAATTTCCCTGTCAGGCATCACTATGTCCAAATGATTCGCCAACTGTCTTCCTAAATTGGTGGTACAGAACTACGGCGAAATCTACATCATGTAAATGACAAAGTGTACACCAGCCAATTCTTGCATCAATGTGCATGTGATCGATTGCCACTCCTTCACATGAAGCACAAAATCATAAACCGTCCAAGGAGAACGACAAAGAATTCTAAATCTCATCGCTGCATCTGCAATGATGAACAACCACAAATCCCATTAAGCCTCCTGAACAACAATAGGGAATGTGATGCCCCACATTCAACTAGCCCCACAAATAAAGTTTCGCTTAAATAGGACCAATGTCAATGTCTTTATCATCGAAAGCAACCCTGATCCACGTCCAAGTTCTCCATTCTGACGACTACCTCATGAATCGATCGCCTAAACAACGAATTGATGAACTGGATGAGTGCAGAAGAAAGAAAAGCCGAGTAAGAACAAAGAAGAAGATGAAACCTGCAACAACCACCAAAATTTGCGATTCCCTAAAGGTTATAAATTTGTAATCGCAGACGATAACTGTAGTTGAAAAGGCGTGAAAAATAAGTGTGTGGAGATACCCACGATTAACTTGAAGCACACCGATAGTGGGATGATCATGAGTGCTGAGATTATTGCACCGAAGAGACTAGGGCTGGACGTTCGGGTTCGGTTTTATGGGTAACCCGAAATCAGACCGAATTTTCTGGGTTTTGGGTACCCGGGAACCGAAATATCATAGTGAAAAATGGGTCTCAGTATCGCATGTGGCTATTTTTCCGGTTTTGGGTAAACCGAACCCGGACCCGAAAATAAAAGGACCCGAAGTGGAACCGATCCCCAGCCCACAGGGCCAAATATCATATGTCCCATAGCCACACATACGGGCCAGCCCAGCCTTCAGGCCCCAAGCCTAGCCGAAGTTCGGACCTCCTTAGACCCCTAACCCTTAATCTCTACACTCCACTTCCCACTCTAGCAGCCAACGAAAGCAACCCTCCATTTTTTTTTAATAAAGCTGTTGTAACAGGTTGTCTTCAATGGCTGATGGGTATTCGGGGGACCGAACCATACCCGAGAATCGTGACTTCGGGTCTCGGGTACCCAAGAACCGAGTCTGGGTCGGGTCTGGTTCCTCAAACTGGGGTTTTTTGGTCCGGGTACCCGCATATTTCGGTCCGGGTACTAGGACCCGACCCGATCTCCAGCCCTAGAAGAGACAACGACAACTAAAAAGGTGAATCCACCGAAAACATGTTTTCGCTAGCGAAACCACCCACACATCTGTTTTTTTTTTTTTTGACAATAATTTTTTTAAACTAATTAATCTAAAAAAAAAAAGAGTGGTCGGTCCATGATATGGCTGCAAGGGCCCAGGCCCGTGATCCAAAAGAGTCCAAAACCAAAATGGCAGATGTCCCTTCCATGAGCCTACCACTAGCCACTAGGTCTAAACAATAATATCTTCCACATGTCAAATCCCAATTCGGATCCGAACATGCGATGCGAGGCCGAAGCAGGAAGCCGCTGCCCAATGTTCCTCTTCTACATACAGTTTCTCATTTCTCTCTGAACTCGCTGCTGTTTGGACCGTTAAGACGGATTTACCCCCAAAATCCCCACGTGGCAGCTTTACGTTGGGCCTCAATCCGTGCCCACTGATACTAAAAGAAAGGAAAAAAGAAATAATAATAACAAATTATTATTATTAGCGGTCTTCTTCTTCTCTCTCCCCCGGTTATAATCAGAAACAAACACACAGGGAAAAGCAAGAAAAATTCAGATAACCTAAACCCTAGTTCTCTCTGTCAATCGCCGAGTTTGTATTTCGAGTTTGGGGTTTCTTCAAAGAATCTCTCTCCGGCGACCGACGGGATCAGACGGTTCATGCGATTGCGGCTTTGTTAGCGGTTCGGATTTCAATTTTGAGATATATACCGGTACATATATATCTTCTCTCATGGCGACGGAGAATAGTGCCAATTCGGCTTCGACTTCCAGATCGAATTCGGCTGCGGATTCCTACATAGGGAGCTTGATAAGCTTGACTTCCAAGAGTGAGATCAGATACGAAGGCGTTCTTTACAACATCAACACTGAGGAGTCAAGTATTGGATTGAAAAACGGTAACCGCTTCTTTTAGCCAAGATTTGGGGTTTTTATTTTTTCGTCGAATCGCTTTGTTTCCCAGTGATTTTGCTCGGATTTGAGTTCATTTTGACTGCATCGGCCAAGATGTTCCTTCTTCGTTGCAGCTCAAGGGTCAGAAAATATTAATTGAAAATTTCGGTTTCTAGATTCGTACTGCTTCTATTAGAGATTTCAACGAGTTAGTGTTGCATTGTGACTTGTGAGAGAATGCTTCGGTTTCTTTTAGCTGTTAGGCGATGTTCTATCTGATTTTCTGTTTTTCTTGCTTGAGGGTAGATTTTTCACTTAGGAAGTTTGGTAAACTTACCTTGGTCTAAGTATAAAAAAAAAAAAAACTTACCTTGGTCTGCTTCTGATGTATAATCTGCATATGCACGTAGTCTCATTCATGCTTTCTTTCTCCCTACAGTACGGTCATTCGGAACTGAAGGGCGGAAAAAGGATGGGCCACAAATTCCTCCCAGTGACAAAGTATATGAGTACATACTGTTCCGAGGAACTGACATCAAGGTATTACATAGATTATACAACTTGTATTGATGAGGCTCTGGATTCCCTCTCGCTTAATAGAGAGCATTGTTCCTTCGTTACCTGTGAAGCCTGGTCTGACACATTAACGTATTGTAATATTTGGAAATGATGGATTACAGAAAGAAGCTCTCGATAAATTGATTATTGTGAAGTTATTGATGTAAAATTAGAGGGAAGCATACCGGTGCAACCGATAGCTTCCTTCTACAGGATGGGGATCCTTAATTGCCATTGTCATGTTGATGTCTGGAATATATATATATATATATTTCCTGGTTAAGGTTGCAATGCAGTCAAAAGCGAAATTTTAAGTTGAAGCGTTTTGGTGACTTAGTAGCGCTAAACTGTAAGCTTTTAAGCTTGAATACGTAGATTTTGACTACACTTGTAAAAGAGAATTGTGATTCTACTTAGAAACGTTTTGGTGACCAAGAAACGTAAAAGCTTAATCTTTAAAGCGTGATTTTGACTGCATTGGACATATATCAGTTAAGTGTCTTCTGATTCGTTTGCTGTTTACAACATCTGTCATGCCTAATTGTCGTATATGTGAACAGTGTGAGCGTATATGTTTGTCTTGCTGGTGGGTGTTCTTGTCAGTTTAATCAGTTGAAACTCTCTTTTGTTGCGTCTTCACAAATTACATTTGTATTTGTATAGGATTAAGGTGCCAGCTATTGTTGAGTTGCTAATCAGTTGAAACTCTCTTTTGTTGCGTCTTCACATATTAGTGACCTAATTGTTCTATCTTGCATTGTACATTTGTACTTCATGCATATGTACACGCAAGCACAGATACACAGTGAAGTTGATTTTTTTTTTCCACTTCTGCTGCAGGACTTGCAGGTTAAGTCATCACCTCCTGTGCAGCCTACAGCACCTATAAACAATGATCCAGCTATAATACAGGTAAAAACTGGGGGATCAAAAGTGGTTGCACTTATGTGCATGTAATGATATTCTGTTACCCTTGCTAATTAACCAGGATCTTTCATGCAGTCTCACTATCCTCGACCAGTTTCAACTTCTTCTAGCTTGCCTTCAGCTGTTACTGGACCTCTGACTGATCCTGGATCCCACCATGCACAAATGGGAATGTCTGCACCAAATTATCAAAGTGGTTTGCCATTGTATCAACCTGCAGGGGCATTAGGATCATGGGGGGCTTCACCTCCACCAAACGCAAATGGAGCTGGTCTTGCTATGCCAATGTACTGGCAAGGGTATTATGGCCCTCCAAATGGGCTTCCACCACAGCTTCACCAGCAGTCTTTGCTTCGACCACCACCAGGGTTAGCAATGGGTTCATCCATGCAGCAGCAGCAGATGCAATATCCCAACTTTAATGGCCCCTTACCAACGGGACCCTCAAACTTGCCTGTTTCAAATTTGCCCACTCAGAACCTGCCACCTTCCAACTTGCAAACCTCGAACTTGCCACCTTCAAACTTGCAAGCCTCAAACTTTCCATCTTCAAACTTGCAAGCCTCCAACTTTCCCCTTTCAAACTTGCAATCCTCGAACATGCCACCATCTTCAAGTTTGGGAGCTTCAAACTTGTCAACCACCATCCCTGATATTCCACCTCTGCTGCCTACTAGCATCTCTCTCAACCCTGTCTCACTAGCCTCAACCCTCCCTTCAACCCTCTCTTCGGTACCCTCTGCCACCCTACCTTCTGAAACTTTGCATGGCTTGGCACCTGGTCGGGCTGCAAATTCAATTCTTCCTGCTTCCAGTTTAAGTCCCAACTTACCCTCTCTAACACCACCGTCAACATCAAGCCCAGAATTGAATCCCATTTTGTTACCAACTTCCAGCAAGGCTAACTCTGGTGCTGCTCCAGCAATTCCTTATCAAAGCACTGTACAGCAAACATCATCGGCTGCTGTAGCATCTAGCTCTTTGCGCTCAGAAGCTCCATCCCCTTCACTGGTAACCCCTGGCCAGTTGTTGCAATCTGGAGCAACTACTGTTCCGTCATCCCAGCATGTGCAAACATCCCTTAAGAATGTGGAGGTTATTCAAGCATCAGCGACGTCTTCATCAGAATCTCCTCTTCCCATTGCTACTGAAGCTCAACCTCCAATCCTACCATTGCCCGTAGCTTCCCGAACTGGCCATAAGGTACACCTTCTGCATGCCTACAATTGATCCATATTTACATTCAGAAATCACTCAGTTTAATACTTGCATGAGATCTGTTGCGCATCTTTTGACTTATCCCCCGCTGCCTTCATATTTTTGGATTGTGCCTTAAGGTGTAACTTCTATATCCAAATATGTCCATAGTTGCACTAAGAAACGAATTCTTAGTAAGATATTGCCGGATATCCTGTCAGTACTCTGTATATATAAATTATAAGTGTTTTGTTCATTGCTTGTGTCTTGTCTTCTTTTGTAGTGTAATGTCAAGTCATGTAACCAATTCTTTTTGCTGTAGACCATTTTAGCTGTTGGGTGATAGGTGTATTGTCTATTGGTTTCATTTGACCAAGTTTCTCTTAGACTTATGGTTTTCACTGGGATGGAATAAGGATAAGTTCATATCTGTTTGTTTGGGTTCTTGCAATGGAGATATGTTGTTACTCGAACTTCATTCCTTACAATTCTGTGGATGCTTTGTGGGGCCTACGAATACTACAGTTGGCCGAATGATCTAGTATGCCTACTATTTGAGCTTTACGATTTACATTTTTCTGAATATATGCTTGACATTTGTTTATGTTTCCCCCCCAATTGTTGCCAGCCAAATGGAGCTCCATTCTATGCTCGTAATAATCATGGATTTCGTGGACGGGATAGAGGAAGAGGAACTGGGGTAATGTCTCGATCATACCTGCGTTCATATGTAATTATGTTGGCGTTATTAGCTTTTTGTAAATCTGCTCTGATCCAAGGTTTCAGGAACTGGAGAGGCATCCAATTTATTTTTCTCTGATTGGCTGCCATAGTCCCTTTATCAAACGAGCATTGCCATATTTTTACCTTGAGTAGAGCTTATTTCAGGCACTCCCAACCTCTGTTGCCGCAAATTCTGAATGAGTTCTTGCTTAGCTGTTCTACTTCCACTGGCCTAGTTTTTGGAGTGCTTTTGAATATTGTGTTAACAAATGCAAATGAAATGCTCATGCAGGGTTCGCGTCCTATGACAAAATTTACTGAGGATTTTGATTTTATGGCAATGAATGAGAAATTCAACAAGGACGAAGTCTGGGGTCACCTGGGGAAGAACAAGGCTAAAGACAAAGAAGATGGCGGAGTGAGCGATGAAGATGATTTTGAAGAGGATGATGATGCCGGAAAGGCTGATCAAAAGGTGGTGGCATATTGGTTCTATATCTCACCTTCTGTTTGCTGCATTATACACAAGATAGTCGTGGTCAACATTTTGAAAAATGGTTTACAATGGATTTCTAGAGGTAACATTTTTCTAAATTTTGGATTTTTTTTCTCTGTAGCCTGTGTACAACAAGGATGACTTTTTTGATACCCTTTCCTGCCATACACTCGACCACAATTCACAAAATGGAAGGCCTAAATTCTCTGAGCAAATGAAGATCGACACTGAGGTAATTGGTTGTCACCTGGTTATTGCTGGCATGCCTTTTCATGCATCTTGTTGATTCCCTTTTCCCTTTCATGAACGGTTGTAGACTTTCGGGGACTTTCCAAGATATCGAGGCCGTGGTGGTCGTGGACCACGTGGAAGATCTCGTGGGTCTTACTATGGAAGGGGTGGATACGGATATGGAGGCGGTGGTTATGGAGGAGGCGGTGGATATGGAGGCGGCGGTGGCTACGGAGGTGGCGGATATGTCGCAAGGGGTCGTGGGAGGGGAGGCATGCCCAACCGTGCTTCTTCTTAAGTGTCTGTTTGTTACTTAGTCAAATCTAGCAAAGGGGTTGAGGCTAGAGCCCAACTTTTTTGCGGTGAAGCCGCGGAGCATAACTGGTTGTTTAGAGGGTGCTCTGCTAGGTCGTCGTCGGTGGTTCCTTTTTCTATTTCAGTTTGCCAGAGAAATAAGGTCAGGAGATGATGATATTTGTGGGTTTCCTTTTGTCTGGCTTGATTTCTTCTTACTTCTCTCCTTCCAATTCCTTCATCGCTTTCCTACTCCTGTTTAATGGTGGTCGGATAGAGCCTAGTGAGGAAGGGGTTCTGCTTTCTAAGTGATTTTTAACTTTCTGTAAGCATGTTTCAAGCTTTAGCTGCCTTTTGAGTCAGTTGTAATGGAGGGGCTAGTGAAGAAGAAGCATAGCACTTCAGCTACAAATGGCGGTGGTCGCGTGACATTTGGTTCAGTTTCTAGTTAAGGTGTTGCTTCTGTACATCTGACATGGTGGTAAATTGATCAGTGGAAGTGGGTTAGCAATAGCTTATGTGGTGTTGTACCTTCTTTTGCCGAATTGTTTCAACTTTTAAGAGATGTTTCAGAATGATTATGGTATTCTAACTTTTATGGTTGTGTTCTGTGTTAATGTTCTTTATTTTATTGTTGGTTCAATATTTCTCCTCCCAGTCATTATTGTGCTCCGTCACATTAACCAGTGGAGGAAACTATGTAGAGCAGTAGACTGGGCTTTGACTTGCAATTTTAAGAAGAGCGAGAATCCTTGCGCATAGAGTTGCAAATGAGCTGAGTTTTACCCCAATTTGAGCTAGATTCGTTCGCAAATGAGCTGAGCTTGAGCCATTTATTTACGAGTCGAATTCGAGTTAGACTTGTTTACTAAATTCTTAGATCGTATTTGATACATTCATTTTGTATGTCGTGTATGGTACATGTGATTGATGTAACGATTAAAAAAATAATCAAATTTTCAACATTAGTTAATCTTATTTTATAATTTGTAGGTGTCCTATTGTTTAGTTAATAAATTTTGACTTGTTCAAATCAAGTTATTTCATAGTATCGAAACAATTTTGTACATAATTTTTTTATAGAATTAAAAAGAAGACATATTTTCTTACATGTTCAACATGTTAAACTTCACATGATGTGAGATATATAATTTAGGCAAAATACACTTGTGTAGCCAAAACTTTGACGTTGGCAAAATATAGCCACTTTTGGCGAAATACCAAAAATAGCCACTTCCGTCCAATTCTTTAACGGTGTGAGTTAACGTGCTGACTGGACTAACAGCAACGGTTGACGTGTCATATTTTATTAAAAAATAATATTAAGTGAAAATAATCAAAAAATTTATCCTTTATTTTAATCAAATTAAATAAAAAATCTTAAAAGCAATAATCACTTCTCTCCCCCCACCGCCTAATCCTATTCACCTTCATCAACCCTAAACTCCCAGAAGCTTCTTCTACTCTCATCACCATCATCGCCTGTTCACCTTCATCGTAACGCCTGCCGATGCCAGAGTCGCCACGAGTCGCCGCTCTCACCCTCAGAATCTCCAGCAACTCCGCCACTGCCTAGTCCTTAACCCTTCGATTGTTAATCAACACCTCGCTCACTGACGCGAGGTCATCTCCGCCTTATTAATCACCGCCTCAATCTCCTTCCAAACGTCGGTGCTTTCGGTGGCTCCTCCTCTCATCTTCGCTGCCTCCGCCTCGTAGATGCCTAACAAGCCTCCTCTGTTTCCGCACTGCTCGAGCTGCCCTTCTTGCGATTCCCAAGGTAAATCGAGCATCCCTCATCCGCTTCCAACCCTCCGCGAAATCCCTCAGATCTTGCATGATTTTGAGCTTCTTCGCCGGATTCATGGCGAGGATCTCGGTTTCACTGCCGGATGCAGGGGAAGAAGTCGCCATCTTCCTCGTTTCAATATCCATGGCCGGCAACAGAGCCTCTGGGAATGAAACATGGGCTTCTTAATAAATTGAGGAGATGGGAGTTTTCGAGAGCCAAAAATGGGTCCTTCATTAAGGGAGTTGCTAATTGTCGCCCTAAGTTTATTATATCGCCCTAATTTACACATTGAAAATTACCCTTTTATCCTTTTCTTTATTTATTAAAAATATTGTATTTTAACATAAAATAGCACCTGTCTGCTATTAAACATTTTATATTAACTAAATAAATTGACCTAAATCCTAAACGGTGGTCGGTGTTTCTCCAAGTGCCGCAATCCAATGCATGCGGCGGCCACAAGGAATGAAGAAACCATTTTTCCCTAACTCGTCTCTACTTTTCCTTCACAAACCACAGCCGCAGGAACTCATCTCCATCATCATCGTTTCCGTCTCCTCCTGTCACCACCGCAGCTCTAGTTGTCTCACGTTCCAATCTTGGTCAGCAAATTACAGAGTGCTCAAACGACGACTAATCTAGGAGAATAGGCCAGTAGGAGAGGTTCGTGATTCTCTATGGTGTTTTGGTGAATGAAGTTTTTCAGCGAGCCCACTTTCCACTTCCCCGTTGGATAGATAGGAGATTAGCGAGAATCGCGTGCTTATCTACCAAGTTGATCTCCGAATCACCCCCAAGATGCCTCCTCAGTCCTAGCTTACCTCAACCGTTGAAGTTCGTCGAGAATTTCTAAACCCTGTGGAACCAATTCAGTTGGCAGTGAAGGATCGAATTTCGGACTATCCAGGGAGAGTGAAGCAAATGCGCATTGTGTGCAGCTGTTGGAAATGAATGTATATGAATAGCTTTGAAAGCTATAGAGTCTCTAGTGGAAAAAACTACCACATTGGTAGTTTTACTTGGTGAAATGTGTATAAAGATAGGAGCCTCTCTCCCAAGGGCATGCCCCTTGGGGTGACCCACTTTTGTGGGAGAGGGAGGACCTAATGGACCACCACACACACGCGCGCCGGTCGGTTGGTTGGTTCACTTGAGACTATATATATATTTTTGGAGAAATTCCGAACGAAATTAATTATTTAATTATTATTCTGTTATTCTGTAAGGATAATCGACTAAAACGGAATATTCGAAGGATAATCCCTCCGGGTTTATCTTAACCGAGGGTTTTAATTAAGGAAGTAATTATCTTCCTTAATTAATCCGACTTATTCCCCAAGCAAGAGGGTATATTCCTAGGGGTTCGGCTCCTATAAATAGCCGCCTCCCCAGCCCCTCTAAAGACATCACAACGAGCAGAAACACAATAGAGAGAGTGTTTAGAGAGCTTCGGTTTTCGCACAAAACCGCGAGTATTGAGAGGAGCTGTTTTATCCTGGAGACGACCGGTTGATAGTCTGCCGTGCGCATCGAAGGCAGTGCCGCGAACGTCTTAAAGAAAGCGACCTAGTCCGCGACTCAGCTCCAGATTCGGTAACCTCGTTCCTTTTGTTGTTCTGTTCCTAACAATTTTAAGACGTTCGGCTGCTGCTATGTCGACTGAACAGAACAACATGCCCGGATCTGGTGCTGTCGATATCAATCGACCCTTTCGCTTCGTTGGGGTCAACTTCCGTCGCTGGAGGCAAAAGATGGAGTTCTACCTGACAACCAAGAAGCTGGCCCACTGCCTCACCAGCATGCCTGTCGAGCTGCCGGAAGAAGCGACCGATGAGGAGAGGGCTGCTTCTGCCAGGGAAAGGGAGCATGACTTCCTGTGCAAGAACTACATCCTCAACGGCCTGGCAGACGATCTGTACGACTACTATGCGGACAGTAAGAACACCGCAATGATGATCTGGGATGCGCTTCAAAAGAAGTACGACACGGAGGAGGCTGGAGCTAAGAAGTATGCTGTCAGCCGCTACCTGCGCTACCAGATGGTGGATGACAAGTCCGTCGAAGTTCAGTCCCACGAACTTCAGAAAATAGCTCATGAGATCGTCTCTGAAGGTATGCCTCTGGACGATCAATTTCAAGTTGCTTGCATTATTGATAAGCTGCCCCCTTCGTGGAAAGATTTTAAGAATATGCTTAGGCACAAAACCAAAGAATTTTCACTGGAAAGCTTGATTACTCGCCTAAGGATTGAGGAAGAGTCCCGCAAGCAGGATATGAAAGAAGAGGTGATGGTCGTCACTGCTAAACGACCCACCCCTAGAGCTCTTAAACCTAACCAGAAAGGGTTTAAGAGTAAGAACCAGCAGGTCCGCCCCCACCAGAATGGTGCCTCTCGAGGTAACCAAAGGGTCATGGCCCAAACCTCTAAGAATGACCCACCGTTTATCTGCTATAACTGTGGAAAACCGGGTCATATGGCAAAGAAGTGCCGGAACAAGCAAAACCCTGCCGCTGCGGCCAGGGTTAACTTGACAGAAGAGGATTTGATAGCCATGATCACAGATATGATTGCTGAAGTTAACCTCACCGGTGACTCAGAAGGATGGTGGCTGGATACAGGTGCATCGAAGCATGTATGCAACAATCGTGCTATGTTCAAAACATACACAGAAGCACCTGCTGACAAAAAAGTATTGTTGGGGACTACCCACACTACTATGGTTGCTGGTTCTGGTGAAGTGGAGCTGAACTTCACCTCTGGGAAGAAGATGGTGCTCAAGGATGTGTTGCACACTCCAGAGATAAGGAAGAATCTTGTTTCTGGATATCTTCTTAATAAGGCTGGGTTTAATCAAACTATTGGGGCAGACTTGTATACCCTTACTAAGAATGGGAGTTTTGTGGGAAAGGGATATGCATGTAATGGGATGTTCAAGTTGAATGTCGAAATTAATAAGATGAATTCTTCAGTTTACATGGTGTGTGATTTGAATGTTTGGCATGCTCGTCTTTGTCATGTGAACACACGAATTGTGAAGAATTTAAGCAAGCTAGGGCATATCCCTAAACTCTCAATGAATGAATTTGATAAATGTGATTTCTGTAGCCAAGCTAAAATAACGAAAACGCCCCATAAATCTGTGAGTAGAGAATCAGAACCCTTAGATCTTATTCATTCTGATATTTGTGAACTAGATGGGACGTTAACTAGGTCTGGCAAGAGATACTTTATCACTTTCATAGATGATTGCTCTGATTATTGCTTTGTTTATTTGATGAAAAACAAAAGTGAAGCCCTTGATATGTTCAAGGTATTTGTGGTTGAATTTGAAAATCAGTGCAATCGAAAGATAAAAAGACTTAGGAGTGATAGAGGATCAGAGTATGACTCTAATCCCTTCAAGGAATTCTATAGCTCACATGGTATCATTCATGAAACCACGGCACCATATTCACCAGAAATGAATGGTAAAGCTGAGCGGAAAAATAGGACGTTTACAGAATTAGTCGTGGCTATTATGCTCAATTATGGAGCTGCTTCTTCTTGGTGGGGTGATATTTTGTTGACAGTTTGCTATGTGCTAAACCGTCTTCCAAAAACAAATAGAAAAGAATCACCCTATGAGATCTTGAAGAATAAGCCACCTAATCTGTCCTATTTAAGAACGTGGGGCTGTTTGGCCTACGTAAGAATTCCGGATCCTAAGAGGATTAAATTGGCTAGTCGAGCATATGAATGTGTCTTCGTTGGCTATGCGGCCAATAGTAAGGCATATAGATTCTATGATTTGAATGCTCGTACTATAATAGAATCCATTGATGCTGATTTCTTTGAGACACGATTTCCATTTAAAACGAGAAATAGTGGGGGGAATGTACTACCCGCTATTAGAGATAACGGAACTAGTGGGGGTGTTGGTTCTGAGGATGAACTCAGAAGAAGTAAAAGAGCTAGAATCTCTAAAGATTTTGGTGATGACTTTACTACAGTATTCACCCTCGAAGATCCAAAAAGTTTGCAGGAAGCATTAACTTCCGTAGATGCAGATTTTTGGAATGAGGCCGTTATAGATGAAATGGAATCGTTAGAAGCTAATAAGACTTGGCATCTAACAGACTTACCTCCTGGCTGCAAAGTCTTAGGTAATAAATGGGTTCTAAAAACGAAACGGAAACCTGATGGTGCAATCGAAAGGTTCCGAGCTCGCCTAGTAGTTAAGGGCTACAGGCAGAGAGAGAATATAGATTTCTTCGATACCTATTCACCAGTATCTAGAATAACATCCATTCGTGTTATGATTGCTCTTGCTGCCTTGAACAACCTCGTGGTACACCAAATGGATGTTAAGACCGCTTTTTTGAACGGTGATCTAGATGAAGAAATCTATATGGAACAACCAGAAGGGTTTGTTATCCCCGAACATGCCTCGAAAGTCTGTAAGTTAGACAAATCATTATATGGTTTGAAACAGGCTCCAAAACAGTGGCATGAGAAGTTTGACACTCTCGTTCTCTCACATGGCTTTAAGGTGAATGAAAGTGACAAGTGTATTTACTGCAAGTCAGAAAATAACACTTGTACTATCATATGTTTGTATGTAGATGACATGTTGATATTTGGTACAAATATTCACGTGGTCAATGAAGCAAAAGCCATGTTAAAAGAGAGCTTTGAAGTGAAAGATCTGGGAGAAGCAAAGTTTATGCTTGGAATCCAGATAACTAGAACAGCAAATGGTTATTCTCTAGATCAATCTAGCTACATAGAGAAGATCTTGAAGAAGTATAACTATTTCGACTGTAAACCTGCGTGTACTCCGTATGATGCTAGTGTAAAGCTATTTAAGAACACTGGAGACAGTGTAAGACAATCAGAATATGCTAGCATCATTGGCAGTCTCCGTTATGCTGCGGATTACACTCGACCAGACATTGCATATGTCGTGGGATTGCTTGACAGGTTTAACAGCTGTCCTAGTAGAGAGCATTGGAATGCTATAGAGAGGGTCATGAGATACCTCAAGAGAACAGCAAACCTTGGTATACATTATCAAAGGTTTCCTGCTGTACTAGAAGGGTATAGTGATGCGGATTGGAATACTCTATCAGATGACTCCAAGGCAACCAGCGGGTATGTTTTCAACATCGCTGGTGGAGCTGTGTCTTGGAAGTCAAAGAAACAAACAATCCTAGCTCAATCAACTATGGAATCAGAGATGATAGCTCTAGCAACGGCTAGTGAAGAAGCAAGTTGGTTGAGAGGATTGTTGTCAGAGATTCCCCTATGGGAAAGACCGGTCCCTCCGGTATTGATCCATTGTGATAGTACCGCAGCTATCGCTAAAGTTGAGAACCGGTTCTATAACGGAAAGAAACGACAGATTCGTCGTAAGCACAGTACTGTAAGAGAACTCCTAACGATAGGAGCAGTGAGGGTGGATCATATAAGATCCGAACAGAATCTAGCTGATCCTTTGACGAAAGGATTACCTAGAGAGAAAGTCCAGAATACCGCCAAGGGTATGGGACTTATGCCTACCGAACCACGGACTACAAGTGATGGTAACCCGACCCAATAGACTGGAGATCCCAAGAAATGGGTTCAATGGGTAATAACAAGTCATGAGTAGTATGCGAAAAGTTCATGCATAGTGAAGCATGAATCCCAAAGCAATGGAGGTTGAGTTAATAACTCTTAATGAGATCTATACCCTATGTGGGGTGGAGTACTTTACTTTGGGGGTACTCTTGATAGACTCACCTATGTGAATGTGGGAGTGGGGCCGCTCCCTATGGAACTTTGGAGGCACAAAGTTGCTAGAGCGTTCACTAAACCAGGGTAACGTGCATGGCCATAAACGCACGGGCTATGAAGAGAACACAACTCAATGAAAAGATCCGGTGTGCTACACTGTCTGAGATAGGGTTCAAGACTACGAGTCACCCTTATGAAATCGGAAGTGTAACCACTACGCTAAGGTTCAAATCTTCGCGATACCTTAGCTTATGCCCGATCTTATGGAACTGTTGATGCTCAGAGATAGTTTCAAAACTATTCAAGTGGGGGATTGTTGGAAATGAATGTATATGAATAGCTTTGAAAGCTATAGAGTCTCTAGTGGAAAAAACTACCACATTGGTAGTTTTACTTGGTGAAATGTGTATAAAGATAGGAGCCTCTCTCCCAAGGGCATGCCCCTTGGGGTGACCCACTTTTGTGGGAGAGGGAGGACCTAATGGACCACCACACACACGCGCGCGCGTGCGCCGTCCGTCCGTCCGACCGGTCGGCCGGTCGGTTGGTTGGTTGGTTGGTTCACTTGAGACTATATATATATTTTTGGAGAAATTCCGAACGAAATTAATTATTTAATAATTAATTATTAATCTGTTATTCTGAGGTATATTCCTAAGGATAATCGACTAAAATGGAATATTCGAAGGATAATCCCTCCGGGTTTATCTTAACCGACGGTTTTAATTAAGGAAGTAATTATCTTCCTTAATTAATCCGACTTATTCCCCAAGCAAGAGGGTATATTCCTAGGGGTTCGGCTCCTATAAATAGCCGCCTCCCCAGCCCCTCTAAAGACATCACAACGAGCAGAAACACAATAGAGAGAGTGTTTAGAGAGCTTCGGTTTTCGCACAAAACCGCGAGTATTGAGAGGAGCTGTTTTATCCTGGAGACGACCGGTTGATAGTCTGCCGTGCGCATCGAAGGCAGTGCCGCGAACGTCTTAAAGAAAGCGACCTAGTCCGCGACTCAGCTCCAGATTCGGTAACCTCGTTCCTTTTGTTGTTCTGTTCCTAACAGCAGCACTAGGGTTCCGGTCGGTGGCGCAAGTATTGACACAAGAGCGGTGTTTAATTTCTTTGGTGGAATGCAGGGGAAGTACGCCCGTGAAGGGGTGAATTTAACTTTATTTGAATAATTTAATAAAGGATAATTTAGTAATAATACATTCTAGATTAGGGCGATAATAGTAAAACTAGGGAGACGAATTATCGCCCTAATCTAGAATCTTATTCCACCGCTACATCCATTTGCCACCAACGAATTATTCTTTGCCACTAAACTCCAAACCAACCACCGTCCCTACCTCTTCCGATTCGTCTATCTTCTCCAATCGTCGATTCGACGCGGAGAAGAGATGGGTACCATTGACTCGCAGCTCCTCGTCGTCGCATGTTCCTCGGGGACCGTCGTGCAAAATCCAAAGCCTAGCGGCGGCTGCTCCAACTCCTCGCAGATCCATCTTCTTCCTTTAGCGACGGCTGCTCCAACTCCTCCGCCGGCGGACAGACAAGGGTATCGGAGGTGTAGGGGGTTTCAAGATTCAAGAGCTTGGGTGGAGTTCGGTGAGGGCTGGTGGCGGCGGAGGAGAGGCAGAGGAAGGTGTGTATTCCGATTTTGAGGCGAATGGTGGAGTGGTTTGCGATAGGGGAGAAATAATTTCCCTTTATTTGTTTTTTTGTGTGAAATTTTCCTTTATTTCTTTATGATTAATATATGAAATTTTCGTTTGTTTTAAAAAAAAAATATGACGTGTCACCTACGTGGCGAATGTGGTTTAATTGTCGCTGACGTGTGCGATAATTTGGCATCCTAGTCAGCCTAACGTTAAACTAACTGACGGAGTCTCTAACACCATTAAAGTTTGTAACGGAAGTGGCTATATTTGGCACAAAAGTTTCAAAATTCTAGCTATAAGTGGTATTTCTCCAAATTTGGCTATTATTGTCACAAGTGCAAAAGTTTTGGCTATACAAGTGTATTTTGCCTATAATCTAACAATCATATGAATTATGAAAGTCCAAATTAGATCGATTCATCCATAAGTCGGTGATCAAGTTGGCTCTCAAACCACAATGTTGAGGCATCTCATGAGCTCTAAACGAGCCAACTCACGAGTTGAGCTCAATAAGCCACTGAGTCGAGCTAGCTCGCGAGCTTCGCGAGCTGAACAAGGCTATGCTCAAACTTGGCTCGTTAGTAAACGAGTCGAGTTTCGAACGAGTTTTTCCCGATTCGAGCCTCGAGTTGATCGCGAGTAGCTCGGCTCATTTGCAGCCCTATGGATTCGGTAAATGTCATTGTAGCTTAGTTCTGGTTGGGACTTGGGGCTTGGGAGTTGATTTTCTTTCAAAATGGGAGGGGACACATGTAGGGTTAAGGGTTTGTCCCAATTGCTGGAAATGGTAACTAATGTATGTATCACATAGCTTGACTTTACAGTTGGGAAGGGTAAAATATGGAGTTTTCTTAAATTGTGAAACTCCATAAAAATACCTCTATTATGTCTAACAATAGAGATTATTGAAATGCATGACACGAAATCAGACTCAGTTGACTATCTGTTATTGGCATATTAATCGAATGAGTTGTCTAAGTCAAAGGTGGGCTATAGACAAACAAAGTAAAGCATAAGTTAAACAAACAAGAACGTTAATACCTAAAGTACTAGCTTGTAATTCTTTCGTGATAACAAAGAAGTTCCCGACAAAGGAGCCAAAATTTTGGTTGCGGCCTTCAAGGACTAACAATATATGATGAGTTTGCGACAAATGTACCTTAACCGAACACATAGTATATCGGGCTCCAAAACCTGTGTTTTAGCATTCTTGGAAGTAAAATCATGCACACTTAAAAAATAACGGAAGAGAGAAAAAGGAGCCATGTATAGTTTTGAACCTATATCTATCTTTTACGGTCTTACCATATATCTCAAATCGACTACAACGACTCTGAAATCTTCGATAATCTAAGTTCATATATATGACTCACCTTTTACTATATCTTTTCATCTTTATAAGAGTAAAATAAAATATATAAGCTACACCATGAAATCCCTGACATACACGCATATCATCTCAGGGGTCCGTAATATTTAAGAGATCATTTATCACTTGCAAGTGGCGACAAGCACTTTCCTCGGAGGCAGAGAAGGCCTCCTGCCATGGAGCAAAGCCCAGTTATCGAAGAAGGCAACATCTCCCTTCTGCCATTTGAACTGGATGCTCTCTTCCTCTATGATCTCCTCACACCTCTTCACGAACTTCAATGGCAACTCCGTCCCATCCGCCATTGTTGCCGAGCTCTGCTCCTTGCCATGCATCCCCACGATAGTGTTGAACCACATCCTCCTTTCTTTTCTCCCTTCAAACACCCTCGTCAGAGGTCTTGGCCCCAGTATTGTCTTGGCGCCTCCATCTTCAAGCCACTCGATTTCCATCCCCAGAGCCCTGGCTCTAAACATGTTAATCAAGGGTGGGATATATCCCCATTTAGTACTAAATTGAGAGAATCAACACATATAGTTCAACACCCAGAAAGGAAAAGTAAATCTGTTTGAAAACCCGTCTCAGATATGAAACTTTGAGTATTCAGAGAAGCTCGCGTTATTATTTATTCTAAAACAAGTAAAAGTAACACTGATGTGAACATGTTCTTCTCATCTAAGGAAATGTCAAAAGAGACTCTTTGCTTTCAGGACGAAGGAAATGTCAAAAGAGAAGTTACAAATGAAGAAAATCAACTACGGCTGGCTATTTGGTCCCGGACTGTTTGGTTTTACCCGAAACCGGACCGTATAACCCGGACCAGACTGGGACCGGATAGCAAACAATGCAATCTCATATTCGGCTTAGATTTGAGGTAAAAAACCGGATAAAGACCGAATAAGAGACCCCCAACACCAAAAATCAAGATAAAATTGGGACCGGACCGGGTCAAGACCGGACTCTATCCAATCCAATATTTGGTTCCTTACATTCCCGAAAGACCGGACTGGGACCGGATCAATTTGGTCCAATTTAACCGGACCGAACAGTATAGCCACCCCTAAAATCAACCGAGTTAAGAAAATAGTTGGGAAAAACAAAACACAATTTATTATAGATGACGCCAACCAAGATTGATCGTAATCTCTTAGCTCACATGTTCTTCATATAATTGAGAATGACATGTGGATTGACTTTAGCAGATTGTGGCCTTATAAAATTTTTTGGAGGTCTAAGTTAGATATAGTCATGACGCTGACACATATTACATATATATACATATGTGTGTATAAAATAAAAATGGATCGTATACAATATGTAAATATGTAATATATATATATTGAAGTGTTAATATACAAATCACCTTATTTGAGCCAGCTGCTTGTCGGCAGTGGCGAAAGCATCCTCCCAGCCACGGCCTCTCATGGAGGTAGAATTGTTTCTGCCTGGGGCGCAGAACGTGTATTTCAGCCCTCTCTTCTCTATCTCCTCCACTTCCGCCGGGAACTCCTCCACCATCTTCTCCGTCACTTTGAAGCTCGGCACGAATGGCGTCTCCCCGCCTTCCGGCGGCGGAACCTCACAGAACAGTACCACTTTCTTCGGGAACTCCTTCATCTACAGTTACCACCACCACCACCACATCAGCATGTAATTAATTATAAAACATTAATACTGTCGTTTTGTGTTTGGTTCTTAAGGGGTACATCTAGGGCTGGATTTCGGTCGGTTTCGGTTAAACCGAATATCGAAGGATCGGTTTTAGGTTAGATGAGCGACCCTCTAATAACTATCGAACATCGATCGACGTGGCGCATACAGTCCACCTCGTAACCGACCAGTCAGTTATCGGTTATAATCGTGGTTAACCGGGTTTACAAAAAATGAAATTGCAATCGATTTTTGATCGGTTAAAACTGATAACCGAACCGATCAGCAACCTGGCCTGCTTGAAAAACACGAGGAATCACCTAAAATTGAAGCATAAAAACTGCATCTAAATCACCCAAATTAACGTCTCAAATCCAACAAGTGACCACCCCAAATTTTTAGGGTTTGAGAATAAGATTGGGGGACAATTTTTCGTTTTGATTTGGGGAGAGGGAAGGCAGATTAATGAATTTTTGGTAGTGATTGGTTAGCCGCCTTTGGTTACGGGGTTAACCGAAAACCCCAAAATTCCCGCCAACCACCGACCGATGCCCCTCATCCGTCGGTTTTCTGTTTGCCGTTAACCGACGGTTTTTCGATTATAACCATCGGTTAATCGCTAACCGAAAACCGAATGGCCCCGCCCTAAGTACATCCATTACATGACGCCAGAGTCGTCTTCTCCACTGCCGAATGGAGCGATTTGTGGTCTAAGTAAAGCCATATATATCTCGACACTCGCTCGCCGACGAGAGATACAAAACAATACCATCCTATGGCGGCAGCCAAATTTTTTTTTCTTCCCCCGTATTAACATAACTACGCAAATTATTGAAAGATTATTTATCTCTGAACACTAACTAAACGCCATAATTAGGTTAGTAAAAAATATAATTTACCAGGACCATCTCGTGGTGGAAGTAGATGAAGTCGGAGAGTGGGCCCTCGTTGGCGGTCCAGACCCGCTTGTGGACGTGGGTCCGGGGAGCCGGCCCAACGTACCGGATGTCGGCCCACTCGAAGGCCTCCACGACGTCGTTGAAGCTGACCGCGTTCCTCACGTCGAAGCCGCGCAGGAGGACGGCGCTGTGCTTGGTGATGAGGCCGTCGAACCACTCCTTGTCCTCCCTCAGGGCCGCCACCAGGGATACGACGTCGTTCTTCGCCGGGTCGGCCGGCTCCAGCACCAGCGGCATCGTCTCTCCGTCCACCACCTTCTGCCCCTCGCAGCTCCCCGTCGCGAAGAAGTTGTTGAAATAGCAGTACTCCGGCGCCATTTCTGCTGATCGATGAAGTTGGTATGATGAATGGGTTGTTTGGCTCATATATTTATACTAAGGTTAGGGGTTTAGGTGGAGACTGATGACGAGAAGTAAGTATATATAGTTACTCTTCCATTTGTTTAATTTACTTTGTTTGTGTTGAGAGTCGGTCACACACCGGCCGGCCACTATGCAAGGCAGGCTAGGCACGAATATGATTAACGAAAATAATTTAGGGCTCGTTTGGAGAACGGGATTTAGGTCGTGGATTCATTGAATCCGTAGATTCTGTAGAAAGTTATATTTTTTTGTTGCTTTTTGTATTGTGGATTTTAGCTTTAGAGATTTCAAATCTCTAAAATCTATGGATATCAAATCTCTCATAATCAGAGAGATTCTATATCTTGATTCTTGAGATTTTTTTCCCTCCTACCTTTTCACTTTCTTTTATTTATTTATCATATTAAATATATTTATTAACAAAGTTTATAATATTTCTCGAACCACTCTAATTTTTTATTAAAGATAAACACATTATTTAATATAAAAATAATTTCTTTATTTTCATTGAATGTTAACAATCACAGTTACCAAACAATAAACATTTTAAAATCTATTTTCAACAATCCGAAGAGTTAGAATCTTTAGATTGTTGAAAATCTATAGATTTAAACTCATATTCTCCAAACGACCCCTTAGATATATGTTATTGTGGATGATGAACATTTAATAGGATTTTACATCATGTGTAAACTTTATTTTTTTTTTGGTAACTCGGGTACTATATTAAAAAAGAATGGGTTCTGATAATCTAATTAACGTTAGTGCGTGATGATTGAGGATAAGTCAAAAAATGACGAACTCTCTCACATACTCACACTCGAAAACTCTCGAGTCAGAGATCCATAAGATTATAAAATTTAGTTTGTTGAACAACTAATGATAGACTAATTACATGGGCTATGTCTCTTGTGTTTGGTGATATGCAACATGCATCTTTGTTCATGTTGAAAAGAAAATGAGAAATGGGCTGTTCCTTTGTGTTTGGTGATATGCTAAAGAACATGAAAAATAGTGGGATTGTCAATTTGAATCTATTTCATCAAGTACTATCCAATCTGATTCGTAATGCTTTGATTGGGTCAAACAACCTTTTGCCTTTTTATTTTTATCGGTGTACGCTTAACCGGAAAAAGGAAAGGAGAAGATGAGAAATTCGGTTGCATATTAGAATATTGGAATCAATATATTTGAATTCAAAATCCGATCAAACGACAATTCAACCAAACAAATATTGTACCCTATATCATTCTCAATCCGTAGTATATCATTTACATAATTTGTATTTGTTTAACACTTGGTAATCTAGTCTCTTGGGATGGAGATTTCTAGACTCTAGCACCGTATGCCTTTTTGATTGGTATGTTTCGATTTTGATATGAAATTAAAGAAGTGCAATTGACTTCGTAGGACTATAAATCAATGAAGTGGTGTCTAATACTCAACTATTTTGATTGTGGCAACATATTTATTGTCGAGGGGAAAAAAACCCCTTTTCATAAGCAGTTCGATTGCATACGAACTACCATATTTAGTTGCAAATCGATCTTATAATTGTAAAAAAAAAAAAAACGATCTTATAGTTGAATCTTTGTATTACGCCATTTGAGCTTATTGGGGGCAAAAAAAATTAGCCATTTTATTTCGGAAGAAGTCCACCCTATGACTAATTTGCTGATTATATAAATGCGTGTATTGGTATAGCATTATTAGCAGCAAACCCAAAACATCCAAAGATCTAGAAATGTTATCTCTTTTGCCAAAATCCAACGAAAAATGCTTCTCTTTCTTGCGTTCGGCCCGGAATCGCTATTGTTTGAAGGAGATAAAATGCACAACTCCAAATTTGCCACTAAACTGAAGTCCAGATTTGTTCGAAGTTGTGTCTTATGGATGGAAGCAAAGCAAGACGTCTGCTTCACCTCAAAGGACTTCCGACATCTTCTAGGCCGCCGGCAAAAGATTCACAATAAGGTAAATAAATAAATAAACACCCGTGAAATAAATAAGTATAATTTTGATGCTCAATAATGTTTCTGATTAGTGGATACTTGAGTATTATTTTCACTGATACAAGGTGGAATCAAATTTATTTCACCGGCCTCCATCACAACCCATCTACCTAGCTAGCTAGCAAGCACATTATTACTACGAAAATATCGATAAGATTCAACATTCAAAATCCATATTTTCTTACGTTTATTTATGATACATGAGTACGCTCACCTCACGTGGTTGAGAACACATGTATTTTCAAAATTCGAAATATACAATTAATCCTACCGTTTCGAAATTTATTTTTGAGAATCCTCCGAACTAATTAAAGTGTATTTATTACATTTACACACCACACACATTCTCATAAAATAATGCACTCGCACATACGATGGACGGATCGATGTGACACGAATACTTACTATTACAATCAACTCTTACTGCTGCATATTCATGAAATGACCCTCTGTTCTCATTCGTTTATCTACTGATTCTTTCTCGGTTGTTTCTATAAGTCCTTCCTTGTGCGATCCATTGTTGACGTGGGGTTTTTTCTTGCATATTCCGCTTTGGTACACTTCTGCCATCCCGCCCTGCTAGCCTTTTTTTACTGGCCAAGACTACTTTTGCGCGGCCATTTTTGTCTCCTAACGCAGTGAAGGAAAAAGGAATCCCTCTGTTCCATGGCACTATTGCTATGCATCTTGCAGCGAAAACGTTAGCACAAATGTCCAAAAAAACCGTCCGATAAGAACAACATTTATGGTTCCTATAACTACCTCTCAAATCAACCGTAATTCTATCTACTGCAACATTCGCGCAACATACTTAAACAAGAAAGAAAAAACCCAAGGGGTGACGTTGAGAAATGGCGGCGTACTGCAGCAAGTTCTTCAAGATCGGGAGCTGCGACGGGCAGAAGGTCGTCGACGGCGAAGTGATGCCGTTGGTGCTCGAGCCGGCGGACCCGGAGAACAAGGACATCGAGTCGCTGGTGGAGGCTCTGGGGAACAACAAGGAATGGTTCGACCAGATGATCACCAAAAACAGCGCCGTTTTGCTGCGGGGATTCGGCGTGGAAAACGCAGTCGACTTCAACGACGTCGTTGAATCGTGTGACTGGGAGGACATCCGCTACGTTGGGCCGGCTCCCCGGACCCATATTCACAAGCGGATCTGGACCGCCAACGAGGGCCCCTTGTCCGAGTTCATCTACTACCACCACGAGATGGTCCTGGTAAATCACTAATATACCGCTTTGGTATAAATGAATTCCATAAGATTTTAGCAATTCATTTTGAAATAAAATTTTTTTGTGTTTGATATTTAAAAAAATTCATTTTCAATTCTAAATTTTGAATTCTACGGAATTGGAACTAGTTATAGCAATTCCAGAGAAATTGAGATGGAATTTTCAAATGAATTCCACAAGTATTTACCAATTATGATAAAATGACATAAGTATTCCCATTTATTAACAAAATTACTTCTACATATATTATTTGGCGCCAATTCATGCAGTATGAGGAACGTCGACAAGAATTTGATTGTAATGCTAATAGCATAAACCAAACACGTGAATTCATTTGGCAATGAATTCTACACGTGAATTCATTTTAAAATGAAATGAATTCTAGATTCATTTGGTACCAAATGGTCTGTAAAACTAATTATGTTCTCGCGATCAATTTGAATTTGATAATGTGACCATTTGCATTATTTTTTTGTTTTTGAGACTGTAAATTATGATGTGACAAAAATAGATAAAGGAGTTCCCGAAGAAAGTGATACTGTTCTGCGAGATTCCTCCGCCGGAAGGAGGCGAGACGCCGTTCGTGCCAAGCTTCAAGGTGACGGAAAAGATGCTGAAGGAGTTCCCGGAAGAAGTCGAGGAGATAGAGAAGAGAGGTCTGATGTATTCTTTCTCTGCACCTACTCGAAACACCACTGCTTCCATGAGAGGCCGAGGTTGGGAGGATGCTTTTGCTACATCCGACAAGCAGGAAGCCGAGCGCAGGTACGATAATGTTGTTTTGATTCATAATGATGTTTTCAACCGAGTTCTCAGCTGATTGATTACTAAAACGTATTTTTTTTTTATGCATATAGGGCCAATGCTCTAGGGATGGAAATCGAGTGGCTTGCAGATGGAGGTGCGAAGACGATACTGAGGCCGAGGGCACTGACGAGGGTGTTCGAAGGGAGGAACGGGAGGAGGATGTGGTTCAACACTGTGGTGGGGATGCATGGGAAGGAGCAGAGCTCGGCAACAATGGCGGATGGGACGGAGTTGCCATTGAAGTTCGTGAAGAGGTGTGAAGAGATCATAGAGGAAGAGAGCATCCAGTTCAAATGGCAGAAGGGGGATGTTGCATTCTTTGATAACTGGGCTTTGCTTCATGGAAGGAGGCCTTCTCTGCCTCCGAGGAAAGTGCTTGTCGCCACTTGCAAGTGAGAATATGATCATCTTAGGGATATGGTAATGCTTCCATTGTGAATGGAGGAATTAGAAGAAAAATAAAGGAGTCCTGAAGTTTCATATATATGTTTTGTTTTTCTACCTTTGATTTTTCCCCTTTCATTTAGCAAGGGAAGGGAGGAATTAGAAAAATAAAGGAGTCCGGAAGTTCCATATATGTTTGGTTTTGTACCTTTGATTATGCTTTTCTTTAGGAAAAAAGAGTAAACAAAATGAAGTTTTATATATGTTTGCTTTTCTACCTTTGATTGTACTTTACTTCAACAAAAATAACATGAAGTTTCATATATTTTTGCTTTCTCACTTCGATTCGGCTTTCTTTCGACATAATAGAGTACGCGCAAAATTGCGCATCCGGGGAATCGAACCCCGGTCAGTACCGTGGGAGGGTACTATGATACCACTACACTAGATGCGCTCCTGATGGTCAAAACTTAACAAAGTATTTGTATTTATATACGAAATGTAGTTCATAGAAGAGTAGCTAGTTTGTTGGATTCATTTTTATCTCTTTATGCAACATTTATTTCATTAGTAACTTTCAAATAAATGGAATATTTTCTTCCTCAAAAATGAAACGATTAAAGTACGTCTCAACCTTTATTCATTAATAGCTTTCATGGTTTATGATAGTTTTATGAAATTACAACCAATAATTCAAATATAATTCAAAGTAGTAAACACATGCTCCTCCTACCGACATACTTTTAAGGTTATATTTCTTCACATACTGTAACTTCCTAATGTTTTTTTATCACCCTTATAAAAAAAACTTGCTGATTTTTTTCATAAAAATTTTGTAGTTAGATAATTTAAACGATTATAGCACACTGCCTTTTCCTCTTTTACTGAAATCAATTATTGTTAGAAGAACTTAAGAAAATAGTTATTGACTTATTGTTGAAACAACTTCAAAAGTCGATTATAACTTATTACCTTTTTCTCTTTGTATGAGAGCCGAAAGTGATGAGGCCTAATGTATATGAAGAAAAATAAAGGAGTCTCGCAGTTCCATATATGTTTGCTTTTATACATTTTCTTTCCTTTAGCAAAAAGGACTATGCAAAATGAAATTTTATATATGTTTGCTTTTCTACCTTTGATTGTACTTTACTTGGGCAAAAAATAAAAGTTTCATATATTTTTACTTTCCAACCTTTGATTCGGCTTTCCTTCGACAAAATAGAGTTCCATATATGTTTGCTTTTATACATTTGATATATTATGCTTTCCTTTAGCAAAAATGACTATGCAGCTTTTATACATTTGATATATTATGCTTTCCTTTAGCAAAAATGACTATGCAAAATGAAATTTTATACATGTTTGCTTTTCTACCTTCGATTGTACTTTACTTCAGAAAAAAAAAGTTTTATATATTTTTACTTTCCAACCTTTGATTCGGCTTTCCTTCGACAAAAAAGAGTTCCATATATGTTTGCTTTTATACATTTGATATATTATGCTTTCCTTTAGCAAAAATGACTATGCAGCTTTTATACATTTGATATACTATGCTTTCCTTTAGCAAAAATGACTATGCAAAATGAAATTTTATATATGTTTGCTTTTCTACCTTTGATTGCACTTTACTTTAGAAAAAAAAAGTTTCATATATTTTTACTTTCCAACCTTTGAGAATGGCTTCCCTTCGACAAAATAGAGTACGCGCAAAATTGCGCATAAGGGGAATCGAACCCCGATCAGTACCGTGGGAGGGCACTATGATACCACTACACTAGATGCGCTCTTGATGGTCAAAACTCAACAAAGTATTTGTATTTATATACGTAGTTCTATCCCTGCTGAAAATGTAGTTCATAGAAGAGTAGCTAGTTTGTTGGATTCATTTTTATCTCTTTATGCAACGTTTATTCACTAGTAAGTTTCAAAGAAACGAATATTTTCTTCCTAAAAAATGAAACGATTAAAGTTCGTCTCAACCTTTATTCATTAATAACTTTCATGGTTTATCATAATTTTATCAAAGTACAACCAATGATTCAAATACACTTCAAAGCAGTAAACACATTCTCCTCCTGCTGACATACTTTTAAGGTTATATTTCTTCACATACTATAACTTACTAAATTTTTTTATCACCCTTATCCAAAAAAAACTAATTTTAATAAAAAATTTGAATTTCAGATAATTAAAACGGTTATAGCATACCGCCTTTTCCTCTTTGTACTGAAATCAATTATTGTTAAAACAACTTAAGAAAATAGTTATTGTTAAAACAAATTAAAAAGATGATTATAACTTATTACCATTTTCTCTTTGTATGAGAGTCGAAAGTGACTAGGCCTAACACATATAATTGAATTTTGAGTTTGGGTTGCCATTCAATTTTATTAAATCGAGTTTAACCTACAATTTTCTTAAATGCGTCAAATTGAATTTGATTTCTGAAACTCATAAGTTCACGTTAAATTTTTTAAGCTAAACTTAAACCAAGTCAAATCGATTTTGCTCATTAGGAATCCTACAAAAGAAAGCAATAAAGCCTGACATATGTGCACACAAGTAAATATTTTCATTAGAGAATTCGCTTGGGCTCCGATCCATGGGCCCGGGGAAGAAGCCTGTAAGACTCGATCCATGGTCCCGGGGAAGAATTCGCTTGGGCTCCGATCTATGGCGGTCAATTTTGAGATATTTCTATATATTTGTATGTTGGTTTCATAGTTTAGTATAGAGAATTAATTTTAGAAAAAATATCAATTGAATTTTTGGCTTGTTCAAGTTTATCGTGAACGTCTATTTTTACGTTAAAATACGAGAATCAATATCTCAAACAGCTCAAGAACGGAGGCAAAATACGTGCAATCAATGGTCTATCAGGAACATTAAGCTTGTGGTTTGTGAACATTAAGCTTGTGGTTTTGTACTAGTTTCTAAAAATGTATTTGGATGATTATGAGGTTTATCAGGAACATTAAACTTTGTTGAATGTTACCTAAGCTTATTTACCCTTTTACAGTTTCTTAGGCGGTATAATCCGGTTTTATTCCGGTATTTTCCCGGTATGGTACCCTAATTTTGCCGGTACTGTTTTTTAACAAAAAAATAATTTTTTTATCCCAAAAACGGTATTTACCGGTAGGAAACGGTTGTACCACAATTTACCGTGCCAAAGACGATTCCGGTTTGATGTCCGGTACGGTTTCGTAATCCATGCTATGTTTCCTCTATATACTCTCTCTCTGTCTTTTACTCATACGAAAAGATTCCATTTAGAATCCGACCTCCACTAACCAGCTCAAAGTGTCGGCACACAGCAAAAATACGACCCGAAATGGCGCCACCACAGTCCTTTTCACTCCCACTGCTCCTCTTTTCCAGGAGGACTACATCTCCACCTCGGGGAATGGATCAACCGAGACGAACTCAACGAAGAGTGATCGGTGAACCTCCAATGCCACCGCGAATGGAACCGGTCATCGTCAATGCCGAGGGAGCAGAGCAGGCGCTGGAAATTGAGCAGGAAGTGGCTGTGGGAGTCGCGCAAGAGCTGGCGCTTGGAGTCGATCAGGAGCAGGCTTTGGGAATCGCGCAGGAGCAGGCGCTGGAAGTCGCGGAGGAGCAGGATCCAGAGCCGACAGCTGCGATTCCAAACGGAACTAACTCGGGAGACGCCAACGAGTTGACCTATCAAGCTGACACAATCTCAGAAGCTCTGACCGAGGCCATTGGCTCTGGCTCTAACTCGGGAGACGCAAATGATTTGACCGATCTAGCTCACATCTCAGAAACTCTCTCCGAGGCCATTGGATCTGGCTCTAACTCGGTAGAGTAGGCAGCAGCAGCTCTTCAGAGCAACGAAATCTACAAGTAAGTTTTCAACTCTCACGTCTGTTCATTTCAGATATGCAAATAGTAAGTTTTCATCACTCGTTAAGTAGAACAACCTGTTCACTTTTGATTTGCGGATAGGGACATCATAGCATTCTGGAAATATGGAAATATAATTAGGTAGATCTGACTAGTCTCCAGATCATGTTCTGCCATTCCATATTCAGTTTGCATGAAGTTCATTTCAGTCTTCAGATTTGCGGATAGGATCATCATAGCATTCTAGATATATGGAAAGTATAATTCGGTAGATCTGATTAGTCTTCAGATCCTGTGCGGCCATTCCATTATAAGTTTGCTAGAAGATTATAATTGACGTCAATGATTCAGAAATTGTAAAAAATGTACAACAAACATGCTGGATGACTACTGTTTCAGAATCTTTTGCATCCGTTTGCTTGAGGTCTTTCAAAAGTGTTGTTTGCATGATGGATTTAGTGATGGATTTATTGATAAATATGAATCCATCATGGATTTTGTCCAAAATATTAGAAATAACAAATACTTTAGCCCCGCAAACTTTGAGATTGCAAATCCAATGACCTAAATGACTTGAAAAACACCCCTCTTTAAACGGAAATTGATCATAGACCTAGAAATTCTTAGTTTATGACCAATGTACCCTTCTTATTTTCTTTCTTTTTCTTCATTCATATGATGACAATAAAGTCCCTTTATCTCTTCAACCATAAAAATCTAATCAACAAAGTCCATAATGAAATATATGAAACAAATAATTGTGTTTTCCAAGTCCATAATGAACCAAAACCCTAGTATATCCATGGATATTCAAAATTCAAGTTATACAAAAACATTTCATTTTTTAAATCCAATAAGCAAACAACCGGCCACGATTTTGCAAAACTCAAGTTCTACCAAAATAGTTGTGCTAAACATCTTATGCCATAGTTAAACATCTTATTACCTCCGTTAAACACAAAAAAGATTTCATAAGATTCTGATCAAACTTACTGGCTGATGCATCTTCACCATTTGTATATAGTGAGTCCTGAAATTCTGCTTCTGTTATACACGAAAAAGACTTCATCAGATATTATACCAGATACTGAAACTTACAGGCACAAAGAAAAACATCCCATAACTATCATACAAGTAAATGAATTGCATACATGAGCTAAAGACTAAATCTAAAGTTAAGCAAAACTCCACAAAGTAGTTCCACACTGCCATTACTGCGTCAAAACGCCCCCTTCCCCACACAGTTCATCCAAATTTCGGGATGAGGTCGGATCTGACCAAAAATGATACCAGTATATAGATAAAAAAAATCAATTTAATGGTAAGAAATTCTTCTTAATACCTTGAGAGAGGATTCAATATCAAACAGAACACTGCATTCACAAACAGAACAAGTCATTTAACCAAAAACCACAAAAAGGGGAAGAAATACACAAGCCATAAACTGGAATCATAGGGAAGTTCAATGGAGGGAGCGGACTAATGTTCTTCAGGGCTTCAAATGAATAGGTAAAAGTCATCTGGTGACCACCAAAAGGACGGACTTTTCATATGCTGGCTAACGTGAAAAAGAACAAGATCGGACTTCAAACCGATCAACGAAGAGAAATCACAACACAAAAAACATATGAAACCCAGATCTAAAAACTTAAGTTGGGATCTTTTTCGTTAAAAAAATAGAGAGAGTTGATGAAAGAATCAGATGTAGATCGCGTAAAAACAAAAACATGGAGATAGCCCTCCCATCTCCGTGGATCTGACTTTGTTATACACAAAGAACCCATCACGGAACGGTCACCGGGTTAACAATGGGGACGGCGAGAAGAGAAGGCAGATAGAACGGAGGGAGAGGGAAGAGCGGCCACACACAAAAAGAAAATTCAGCCGCTTAGAGAGAGAGAGGGGGTGAAGAAAAAAGAAAAGGTAGGGTTAGATTGTATGGTTTTTTTTTTGTAGAAGATTGTAGGTTTTTCAGTTTGTAGCTTTAGGAGATCTGACCATTAGATCTACTAGGGGAGGTAGACGCGCACAACAAGGAAGGGATATGATCACACTTTCATCGGGAAGGGAGGAATTAGAAATAAACATAAAGGAGTCCGGAAGTTTCATATATGTTTGGTTTTGTGCCTTTGATTATACTTTCCTTTAAGAAAAAAGAGTACACAAATTAAAGTTTTATATATGTTTGTTTTTCTACCTTTGATTGTACTTTACTCCAGCCAAAAAAATATGAAGTTTCATATATTTTTGCTTTCTCACTTCGATTCGGCTTTCTTTCCACATAATAGAGTAGGCAAAATTGCGCATCTGGGGAATCGAACCCCGGTCAGTACCGTGGGAGGGTACTATGATACCACTACACTAGATGCGCTCCTGATGGTCAAAACTCAACAACGTATTTGTATTTTTATACGAAATGTAGTTCATAGAAGAGTAGCTAGTTTGTTGGATTCATTTTTATCTCTTTATGCAACGTTTATTCCACTAGTAACTTCCAAATAAACGAATATTTTCTTCCTAAAAAATGAAACGATTAAAGTACGTCTCAACCTTTATTCATTAATAGCTTTCATGGTTTATCATAGTTTTATCAAAGTACAACCAATAATTCAAATACAATTCAAAGCCATAAACACATGCTCCTCCTACGGGCCTGCTTTTAAGTTATAATTCTCACATACTATAACTTACTGATTTTTTTATCACCCTTATATAAAAAAAACTTACTGATTTTTTCATAAAATTTTTGTAGTTCAGATAATTTAAACAATTATAGCATACTGCCTTTTCTTCTTTGTACTGAAATCAATTATTGTTAAAAGAACTTAAGAAAATAGTTATTGATTTTTGTTGAAACAACTTCAAAAGACGATTATAACTTATTACTTTTTGGTCTTTGTATGAGAGTCGAAAGTGATGAGGCCTAATGTATATGAAGAAATAAAGGAGTCCCGAAGTTCCATATATATTTGCTTTTATACGTTTGATATATTATGCTTTCCTTTAGCAAAAAGGAGTATGCAAAATGATATTTTATATGTGTTTGCTTTTCTACTTTTGATTGTACTTTACTTCAGCAAAAAAAAAAAGTTTCATATATTTTTACTTCGACAAAATAGAGTATGCGCAAAATTGTGCATCCAGGGAATCGCACCTCGGTCAGTACCACGGGAGGGTACTATGATACCACTACACTAGATGCGCTCTTGATGGTCAAAACTCAACAAAGTATTTGTATTTATATACGAAATGTAGTTCATAGAAGAGTAGCTAGTTTGTTGGATTCCTTTTTATCTCTTTATGCATCGTTTATTTCACTAGTAACTTTCAAATAAACTAATATTTTCTTCCTAAAAAATGAAACAATTAAAGTACGTCTCAACCTTTATTCATTAATAGTTTTCATGGTTTATTATAATTTTAGCAAAGTACAACCAATAATTCAAATACAATTCAAAGCCATAAACACATGCTCCTCCTACTGACAGGCTTTTAAGGTTATAATTCTCACAAACTATAACTTACTGATTTTTTTATCACTTTTATTTTAAAAAAACTTACTTATTTTTTTCATAAAATTTTTATAATTCAGATAATTTAAACAATTATAGCATACTGCACTTTCCTCTTTGTACTGAAATCAATTATTGTTAAAAGAACTTAAGATAATAGTTATTGACTTATTGTTGAAACAACTCCAAAAAACGATTATAACTTATTACTTTTTTCTCTTTTTACGAGAGCCGAAAGTGATGAGGCCTAATGTATATGAAGAAAAATAAAGGAGTCCCGAAGTTCCATATATATTTGCTTTTATATCTTTGATATATTATGCTTTCCTTTAGCAAAAAGACTATGCAAAATGAAATTTTATATATGTTTGCTTTTCTACCTTTGATTGTACTTTACTTCAGCAAAAAAAAAAAAAAGTTTTCATATATTTTTGCTTCGACAAAATAGAGTACGCGCAAAATTGCGCATCCGGGGAATCGAACCCCGGTCAGTACCGTGGGAGGGTACTATGATATCACTACACTAGATGCCCTCTTGATGGTCAAAACTCAACAAAGTATTTGTATTTATATATGAAATGTAGTTCATAGAAGAGTAGCTAGTTTGTTGGATTCATTATTATCTCTTTATGCAACGTTTATTCACTAGTAAGTTTCAAAGAAACGAATATATTCTTCATAAAAAATGAAACGATTAAAGTTCGTCTCAACCTTTATTCATTAATAACTTTCATGATTTATCATAATTTTATCAAATTACAACCAATAATTTTTTTTGATGAATAAAGTACAACCAATAATTCAAATACACTTCAAAGCAGTAAACACATTCTCCTCCTACTTACATACTTTTAAGGTTGTATTTCTTCACATCCTATAATTTACTGATTTTTCAATCACCCTTATCCAAAAAAAATTAATAAAAAATTTATATTTCAGATAATTAAACAATTATAGCATACTGCCTTTTTCTCTTTGTACTAAAATCGATTATTGTTAAAACAACTTAGGAAAATAGTTAGGATTTTGCTACGGTGACATGCATGTCACCGTGACATGGACTTTTCGGTCGACCTCTTACATAATATGGTCGACCGCTTTGGTGGTCTAACAGAATGAAAGGTCGACCCAAATATCTCATAAGCCGACCCTTGTGCACCTAACAGGTCGACCGAATTATGAAGAGGTCGACCGCCTTCACACCGTATCCGTATTGGATATGGATTCCAACACCAGAAAGGTACCACAATTGGACAAGGAAACGAATTGGGTCTACCCATTCAAGTCCTAAATCTCTATAAATACGAATATAAGTCCACTTCAACGCCTCCAAGTCTGAATTAGGTTTTTTTCCGATTTAGAGCCTGTGTGAAGAAGATCGTTCGCGGTTGCTGTTGTACGTGTTGGAAGTGGTCGACCAGGTCTAAGGTGCGGTCGACCTAATGTAGCATTCGCCGTCATCTTTTCTAATGCGTGATTTCCACCGGCTAATTTGATATATTGTTGGGTGCAGAATTCCATTCGGTCGACCGTGACGTCAACCAGGTCGACCTGACGAGATAATTCTTCGTATTTGAATTTAGGCCACAACACTTGGACTTCTGTACTTGCGAGGTAACGAAGATCAACCCAATTGGTCGACCTAATGTGTTTCAAGGTCGACCGTTTATGTTTTTTTGGTTATTCAACCTGAATGTCGACTTTGGCTTTGTTTGTATGACTATGTTGTGCTTGAAAAGGTCGACCGCGCCATATATATCTGGTCGACCTATCCTTTTTTCGGTTTAATTTTGAACTTACTTTTCGTTGTTAATTGTTATTTTCCTGCTGGATAGGTCGACCTAGGAATAACAGAGGTCGACCTTAATGGTTGTGGTAGTCACTATTTGTCTTCCAGGTCGACCACGTCTTTGTTTTTTGATCAATTGTAGAAATTTGTAGTTGAATTATGATTTGAATTTTTCTTTAAATTGTTTAGACGATGACGCATGATGAGAAACTGCATCAAGATTTGGGTGAAATCATGAAATTGTTGAAAGCCACACAAGAGAAGCTGGTGGTGTGTCAAACACAAGTCAATGACTTTCAGAAGTCCATGCGTGATAGAGTGGAGCAATTGTCAGTTCGACTGACAGATATGACAGGGATGATGCATGACGGGTTTGAGAGGCTATAAGGTGCTATCAAAGATATAAGTGCAGAACGAATGGAGAATGGCGGAAGAAATGGTAAAGGAAAGAAATTTGACTTTGGTAAAGAGGAGGAAGACCATGATGACTCTGAAAATTGCTACCAGAGCATAGATGATTTATTGAAAGAGCACATTTTAAAGGTATCCAAGTATATTCATATGTGATTGAAGATATTAGTATTACTATCATTAGTGCTAATTTGTTTTGTTTATATGTTTGACAGAGTGAAACAACGAATGGCAGCAAGGGTTCCTCTCCTGAGCACAATGCAGGTGACCGTGAATGAGATGCGAGATGAGTGGCGATCTTTCAGCGGAAGATACATGCATCCCACCACATCCGACCACCATCATGCTAGCACAACCAATGAAGAAAACGTGGGTGAGGGAGAGGGGGGAGATGAGTAGGATCATTAGTGCTAATTTGTTTTGTTTATATGTTTGACAGAGTGAAACAACGAATGGCAGCAAGGGTTCCTCTCCTGAGCACAATGCAGGTGACCGTGAATGAGATGCGAGATGAGTGGCGATCTTTCAGCGGAAGATACATGCATCCCACCACATCCGACCACCGTCATGCTAGCACAACCAATGAAGAAAATGTGGGTGAGGGAGAGGGGGGATATGAGTAGGAGCGCGGAGATTTTAGATTGTGTGTTTTTATTGTTAAGTGGTCAAAACGATTGTTGATTATTATTCTGTTGTTTTTTTAGTTTTATTTTTATGTGTGAACAATTATGATTTCTCTTTTATTGTATTTCTTGTTAGTTTGTTTAGTTGTTATGCTATGAATTGATGAGTCCTTGTTATCATTATTTATGACTATTTATGATGGTTTGAAACATAATTTATACGATCAAAAGAACCACACAAATCGACATACATAAGCAAAAAAGACACGGGGCATAGGTTGACTTTCTTGTATTCGGTCGACCTCGTACCGGATTAGGTCGACCGCGAAACCAACACTTGATCTTCATTTTACGTCAAATGATTGGACACTTTGATAGAACACTTATCTTCTATCTGGTCGATCTCTTTCCTTATCCGGTCGACCATTTTGTTAATGACTGCCATCAAGTGGTAGACCTATATACCTTAGGTGGTCGACCATGTTGCAACTGACGCCAGCGAAATGGCCGACCGAGGTTTTATTCTGGTCGACCAAAAATAACAACTTAAACTAAGTGCGGTCGACCAAGTGGTCGTTGAGGTCGACCGCAATGCTTTCTCGTGCTGCCCAAATTAGTCAATTCGGTCGACCGCCTTCAGGAATAGGTCGACCGAAAAGTGCATGTCACCATGGCATGCATGTCATAGTAGGCATACCCAAATAGTTATTGTTGAAACAAATTCAAAAAATGATTATAACATATTACCTTTTTCTTTTTGTATGAGAGTCGAAAGTGACTAGGCCTAACACATATAAATGAATTTTGAATTTGGGTTGCCATACAAATTTATTAAATCGAGTTTAACCTACAATTTTCTAAAATGCCTCAAGTTGAATTTGATTTCTGAAACTCATAAGTTCATGTTAAATTTTGGCAAAATACACTTGTATAGCCATAACTTTCACGTTTTTGACAAATATAGCCAAAACTATCCGAAAACACAAAATAGCCTAAAAATTGGATGGTATGTGACAAATCTAGCCATTTTTGTTAGAAACTTTGACGGTGTTACAAACTCCGTCAGTTAGGTTAACGTTAGGCTGACTAAGATGCCAAATCATCGCACACGTCAGCGACCAGTCATCATATCATTGCCACGTCATTTTAAATTATAAAAATAATTAATTTTGAAATAAAAAAACTTCACTAAATTTTTCCCTACCCCTTCCACTTTCCCTCGTCGCCGCCCCTCAAGCCTGCAAACCCTCATCGATATCCCCGATTCACCCATCCCTGCCGACGCCGCAGATACCACAAGCTCCCCGGTGGTGGGATTGAAGTCGAGCTCCGCCAACAACAATTGAATCCCAATAAAAATACCCCTAACCACTACCAACAATGGCGGCAACACCTCCTGCCCCCTGCTTCTTCTCAATTCAAGCTCGGCGGCTATCTAGGAAACGGGAAGCGGAATCGATTGACTATCGATTCATCGCCAACTCTGCGATACCCTTCCCCTTCCCCCTTTGCTTCGTCATCGTCTGTTGTGTGCCTTTCTTCTCGATGGGTTTCAAGAGGGATTTGGGACTCTGTTTTGTAAGAATGGAACAGAGGGGTTAAGAAAAAGAGAAAGAGGGAAACGAAGAGAAGGGAAGAAGAGTTGAGAATGGCTTCTTCGAGGCAAAGCCGGCCTCCTTAACACTAACGTGTTCCTTTAATTAATCTTCTTGGCTCCCAATTACAACCATTCAAACTGAATTAAATAGGCAAAGCTCAAACCTACTACTCCTAAAAACTAGCTACGGAGCACTATCCCACTACCAACAACCCAATTAAAAAACCCTAATTTCCAGCTAATAATTTGCACGTAACATACCATCCCTCTTTGAAAGATTCTTGACCACAAGAATCAACAGAGAACAATGATCCTTCTTTCTATACTTCCAATTGGTGGGAGGAGATGGCAGACACCCACTGTACTTGCCACAATTCTCTTCGTCAATCGCCCCATATTCATTCCTAGGCGATACAAGCCCATTCACCTGGCTTTGAAGCTCACACTCTTGCCCCTTCAGGTCACAATCACCCGAAGCCGGAGCCATGGTGGCGGGATGGGTTTTAGCGGAAGAAAAGTTGTTGGTTAGTTGGGCTACAGATGAAGCGACACTTTTGTTTGGTTGTGCGGCCTCTTCGGCTTCCTTTAGAGCAGCGATGCTTCCCGAGGCCAGGGTGATGACCTACGGAAGGTTGGCTTTGAGCAGCACCTCAACTTGGAGAGTGGCGGCAGGGGTTAATGGATGTGGCACATTCGCTGGCGGAGCGGTGACTGATACTGATGGCGCAGTTTCAACGCCATCGTCGACCTCTTCCTTAAGAACTTGGGGCCAATTTATTTTGGACTTCATTGGGTTGTCGATTCCTAACTTGCAGGCGCCATTAAATAGCTTCATGCTGGGATCCTTCTTCTCGCTCAATGCTAGCAATCGATCGAACCTCACATTGAGAGCGGCAAAACCTTCCTGCATCACCTGTCTCAACTTGGTGTTTTCTTGCACAATCCCCTCCAGCGTAGCTTCAAGTTGTTTTGCACAAGCATCCATAGCAGTAGGATCGGTCGGCTCTGATACCAAATGTTGTGTGCCTTTCTTCTCGATGGGTTTCAAGAGGGATTTGGGACTCTGTTTTGTAAGAATGGAACAGAGGGGTTAAGAAAAAGAGAAAGAGGGAAACGAAGAGAAGGGAAGAAGAGTTGAGAATGGCTTCTTCGAGGCAAAGCCGGCCTCCTTAACACTAACGTGTTAATCAGCATTAGGAGTAAGTGTTATGGGTTGTTAGACGTGAGAGAGTGGGTTAGTTGCTAGCTAGGATTAAGGACCTATAATTTAGGAATAATTGCTGATAGGTCTTTTACGTTGGATTGGGGGGATTTAGGATTAGTTCTCTATTTAAGGTAGCAAAGGGACAGAGGAAAGGATCAATCAAGTATAATCGAGAAAAGGGTTTTACACACCTACGTGTTAATGTGGGAGGTTGGCTTTCCTCAAAAAAGCTTAGGGGTTCCGTTCTGGCCATCAAAGGGAACAATTCTCTTTTACCAATCTATCTATCTTTCCTCTATTCTTCTTCTTCCTATTCCAATCTTTCTCCGTAAATCATATTCTACAAAACGTGCACGTAACATTTGGTATCAGAGCCGGCCGATCCTACAACAATGACGGTTTGTGAAAAACCACTTGATTCGTTGCTGGAGGAGATGGCGCAAGAGACAGCAAGGACAAGGCAGGAGATGCGTGAGAGTTTTGCGGCCCTCATCGCAAGGTTCGATCGATTTCTTGGACGACGACCATATATGGAGATTGGTGAATCCGCCGCCAATGGGAACAAGCGTGTAGAAGGCCAAGTAGCCACCAAGTTCGCCGTGAAAGGATTGAAGGCCGAGCAGCCCGCTGCCGGACCTTCACCTGACCCTCCGGCGCTGGCAAGGGAGAAATCGGCGCGGTTGGCAAAAGTGGCGCACCCAACAAACCCCGCCACTGCGGCTGTCCTAGTTGAGGCACGGTACGAAGCTGCCTTGCCGCAAGTCACCGCCACAGCCCTGAGCATCACCGCTATGCATGAGGCCGAAGAGGAAGACGAAGGCCATCTGAAGATCGGTGAAACTACAATAAACGTGAAAGAAATTTGGGAAGCAGCAGCTTCTGAGGGTAATATATCAATTGCCAATTGTCATGGTCATTCAACTGTAGTTCGTTGTCCATCTCAAGAAAGGCAAGAGGAGCTACACCAAGAGCATGAAACCAGTAGCAAAGGCGTTGCTTGCAAGCTCATGGTCCCTAAAATAGAAAAGGCATATGGACAAAAGGCTATTGGGAAGCTTGATGATTATCAAAGATGGGGAAACACCACACCAAATCATGTTACCCAGGGGGTTTCTCTTTGGGGTCCTCGCCATGTGTTCAATGGCCCACCATTATCAATATTGGAAGAAAAGGATCCTTGGTTGCAAGAAGAAATTTTTGGCAAAAGGTCTCAATGGTGGTGGCTAATTCTCCATGGAGATCCAGGTTGAAGAAGATTAATTAAAGGAACACGTTAGTGTTAAGGAGGCCGGCTTTGCCTCGAAGAAGCCATTCTCAACTCTTCTTCCCTTCTCTTCGTTTCCCTCTTTCTCTTTTTCTTAACCCCTCTGTTCCATTCTTACAAAACAGAGTCCCAAATCCCTCTTGAAACCCATCGAGAAGAAAGGCACACAACATCGTCACAGTCGGAGATTCTTTGCCTCTGTCGACGGCGGTTTCCTTTCCTTCCATCTCTCCCCGTCTGAAACTTCTCCTTCGACGCTCTCTTGTCGCCAGCGGTAGCAAACTGTGGCCAAGGTGAAGCTGGGCGGCGGCAATCAAGATGGTTCAACTATTAAGAAGATCGAGAGCTCTAGCAAACAATTGGCTGATTCGAAGAACAAATCCATTTCAACTTCGGTGCGCATCTCAAATTTTCCACCCTTTTCTCTATCTCCATTCAGCTACAGCGACAACCCAAACTGCTGGAGTGAAGAAAGTCTTCTCCTTGGCTGGCCAGAAATATGACCTGAAGAGGTTCTGACTTCTGAGGAGTTCTATAGCATTCGCTGCCGCCATCCTCATCATCGCCTGCGTCAAACACCTTCGTCACTGTCGTCCTCAATTACCGGCTTTCTTTTCCTCTCGTCATTTTCAGAAAGGGAGAGAGGAGAGAGAGAGAGAGAGAGAGAGAGCAGATCGGCGCTAGTTGGGGAAGAATAGGGGACGATCGAGAAAGGGAAGGATCAGAAGATCAAGAGAGACGGGCAGATCGACTGGATTTCATCCGTATTCTTCTCTTCTTTTTCGTTGGTTTTCCAGAAAGAATAAGAGAGAATGAGGGAGATAAGGTTTGTGCGGCTAGGGTTCTTGAGGGTTTTCTTCTTTTATATTTTACTAAATAAAAAAAAATTTTTTTTGTTTTTTTTTGTTAATCCACGTGTCTGATGAGAAATTGTCAGCTCAGCATTTCCGTTTGTATAGTCAGATTGTTAAGTAACACCGTTAAAGAGATGGACATAAGTGGCTATTTGTGGTTTTTAAATAGTAATGGACTAATGGCTATATTTGTCAAAAGTGTGAAAGTTATAACTATACAGATGTATTTTGCATTAAATCTTTCAAGCTAAACTTAAACTAAGTCAAATTGATTTTGCTCGTTAGGAATCCTACAAAAGAAAGCAATAAAACCTGACATATGTGCACACAAGTAAAATATTTTCATTAGAGAATTCGCTTGGGCTCCGATCCATGGCCCCGGGGAAGAAGCCTGTAAGACCGGCAAAACAGGAGTACTACTATGTTTCCTCTATATTCTCTCTCTGTCTTTTACTCATAGTCTCATAAGAAAAGATTCCATTTAGAATCCGACGTCCTCCACTAACCAGCTCAAAGTGTCGGCAGATAGCAAAAATCCGACCCGAAATGGCGCCACCACAGTCCTTTTCACTCCCACTGCTCCTCTTTGCCAGAACATCAGCTCTCACAGTTGCAGCTCTACTCCTCTACTAGGCTCTGGCTTTCAACTCTCACCACTCCTCCTCTCAACATTCCCGCATTTATGCTGTAGGCACTACAATCTAAATGATCAAATCCCCTCCCTTTCGGCTTCCAATGTCTTTTTCTTTCTTCACCCATCGATTCTTAACTAAACCCAGAATCGCAAATTTTGTCTCGGTTTCCTTCTGTGTTTTGCAGGCTCGGCATATGCTCCTGATGGTGATCGGTTTCATCCTTGTTAGTGGGGAAGGTTGGTACTGAATTTCATCACAGCGCCTTAGATAATATCTGTGGCCTGATTGTGTGATTTGCTAAGCTTAATTAGTTAATTGCTGGCTGTGTTTCAGCAATTTTGGTACACAGATGGCTGCCCTGTTCCAGGAGCGGAAAGAAATTGGCGCATTTAGGTCTCCAAGGAGTGGCTTTGAGCTGTGGGGTATTAGACCACCCACAGTGTGGATTGGTTTTGTGGGAAAAAGGGGAAATGTGACCACAATGTGGGGGGAATAGGGGATTAAATGGGTTTAGTGGGTTTAGTGGGTGGGAAAACCCACCAGATGAGACAAATGGTGGGGGGGGGGGGGGGGGGGGGGGGGGGGGGGGGGGGGGGGGGGGGGAGTGACAGATGGGAAAGGACAACCATTTTTTCTGATTTTAGCAAAGGCTTGTTTGGAAAGCTGTGTTTTTGTCTCCTCGTATTATTGTGATTTTGTCATTGATGATGTCATACTTAATTAGTGATGAATAAATATGTCTAAATTAAAAAAAATTATGTCGAAATGTTCGTATTAATTAATTATCACTAAGTACGTAATAATAATGATCATTATATGAAAATAAAGTGACAAAATCAACTATAGATTGATTTTAACAAAAAAGTACTAAACTGATTACCCACTTTTTCCACCAGCACACTGTGACCAAATCATCCAATTTTCCCACTTTTCCCTCTTTTCCCACATTTTCCCCCACCCACATTGTGGATGGTCTTAGGGGTTTGGACAAAGTTCCATGTTCGAAAGGGTATCATGGGCAACTTCTTGAGCTTGCATTCTTGGATGGGATTGATTTGCATTTCCTTGTTTGGTGCTCAGGTATTCAGTTCTTCAACCCACTCTCTCTATCTAGGCAACTACAGTCTGCTAGTACTGTCTATGCTAGATTCTAGAAGTGAGGGCCTCTGTGGTCATAACGATTATTATAATGTCGGCGCCGTTGATTTGATCGATTAAACAGAAACCAAGATGACTGTCAAATATCCACCGCCGGTGTCGGCGATGTTGATTCGATCAATACACCTTTGACTTCTAATCAAACAACCGTTACTCGGTTCACCACCTCTCCAAACTACGTTCGAACGAGGGTGTTCAACGAGAAACGAGAAACCAAACCGGGAGTGTTCTAAGTTACGTTACCTCTACTCCTATGGAGGTTCCTCTGGAGAGCTCCGCAACTACGACTACGACTACTACGACTCTGCAAAGGAGGTCTTTGACAGAGAAGTTCTACGAACTAGAGAAAAAAAGATAAATCTGCGTAGGTGCAGTTTGTGATGTGATTTTGCCGTCTTGAGATTCTCTCTCTTCCCAATCTTTATACTTCGCGCTTCTCCCCGTCGTAGTAACTGCCTTCGCGCCTTTGTCTCCCACGTCTTCACTCCTGTCAACCGTGCAGGTAACTTCCTCCCTGTTGCGTGATAGTCACGTGCCCTTGAAACCGCTCTTGCCTTGCAGAAACTTGGCAAAACGACCTACATCCTTGTCCAGGTAACGATGCCGTTTCACCAATACCACGACATCGCCCTTCCCCAACCGATGCCGTTTCATAATCCAACTCAACTGCTCCGACCCGGTTTAACCAACGACATTGTTAGTCTACCGCGATGTCGTTTTGCTTTTCCGCGGCATCGCTTTTCATTAAACGACACCGTCTAAAATACTCATAAAATACTGATTAATTAAACCAGCCCTTATTGTTAACTCGCCGTCGAACTTTCACCCCTCGGCGTCGTTCTTAGTTAAACGACATCGTTTCCTTGTCCCGCGATGTCGTTGAACTTTTGAGCTTCGCGACGCTGTTTCAATTTTAACACTGTCGTTTTACCTGTTGCGGCATCGTTTGGCCTACTCGCGGTTTTGTTTTATAATCCGCGATGTCGCTTCTTTCCTCTTGCGGCATCGTTTCCGACTAAACGACACCGTCCTAAAAAATAATTAACCATATTAGTTAATTAATCCGGCCAATAACTAGTCAAACCGACGACATCATTAGCGCCCAAAACGGCTCCGTTTGCCTTTCCCTTCGCGACATTGTTTTTAATTTAAACACTGTCGTTTGCTAATCCGCGGTATCGTTGAGCTTACTGGCGGTACCGTTTTGAATTAAACGACACCGCCGATATAGCCAAAAAATATTAATCCATAGAACCGCCGCAGTCGGCGCTGGGCCGGGTGAATTTTGGTCACTTGCTCGATATGATTTTTTAATTAATCGGTACCGCTTACCAGACTCTCGCGGCACCGTTTTTTAAATCCGCGGTACCGCTTTAGCTCTCCACGATACCGCTTATCTCCATGCGATACCGATTTTCCCCTTCCAACAAGGAGTAAAAATAATAATAATAAAATAATCAAAACTCCTCCTCCAACCTTCATTAAACGCGCGGCCCTTTATTTTATTTTCGGTGTCCGGTGCCGTTTCCAATGCCGCGGTACCGCTGAGCTCCCTTGCGGTACCGTTTTTCTGTTTCGCGGCGCCGCTCAACTCCAAACGACACCGTTTTTTTACCCACGGTATCGAATTAAATGCCGAGACTAATTAATGCGGCATTTAATTCAGGCCAAATTAATTTTAGGTGTCAACAGGAGGAACCATGACCTTGCTGCTACTGTAACTTCTTTTATAAATTCCAAGGCGCCCAAAGTTGAGTTTCGTCTAATCGATCTCAAGCGTTAAATGTATGTGGTAGTTTTAGTATTTGTCCCAAGTGTTGAAGCCATTCATTCAGCATGCTAGCATGTGAATTTGTTCAGCTTAATCAAGTTCTACTTTCTTACTCCCGAAGGAGAGCTCATCAATGTTCTGATTATATCTCGCTCGATGCATACATGCAGTGGTTGAATGGGTTCCTGAGCTTTTGGTACCGAGGCGAGATGCGAACGGTGCGGGCAAGCAGATTGCCATGGCACATCTTCCTTGGTCTCTACACTTACGCCCTTGCAGTTGCAACCGCGGAGACAGGGTTGATGGAGAAGCTCACTTTCACGGAAATGAGAAAGCACAGTGACAGTACTGCCTCCAAACGCTCTACAGAAACAGCGGTTGCTAATGGATTAGGGCTGGGGTTGGCTTTGCTCGGTGGAGTTGTAATATTGGCAGCAATTTCTCCAAAGCACCAAGCTACCCTTCAACGCAAAAGTGTGTACTCTGCGTCAAACTCCAAGTGCTAATTCAGTCTTCTTTGGAAACCAAGTTGAGTGTACAGTGTGTAGTGTAACTTTCTATTTGATTTCTGTTGTATTTGAATCCCATATCTGTGGATAGTCAGAAGTAAGCAATTGCTCTGATCATTCAATTAGGCCTTTTGTAATCATATTTCAGTAAAGAGTACGAGCAATTAAGCTATCAATAACAAAAACAAAAGTACAAGATTTTGTCTATTGTATCGCATAAGATTTTGCTATTACATCTCTATACTATCTGGTTATCCCACATAATGAATCCTTTTGGTGACCAACTGTCGTCGAGATCAGGATAAGGCTTGGATACTGAAATGCTACCATCTCCATAGTCAAACCGATAAAGGTATTTCTCGTCCAGTTGCAAGAAGTAAATGGAATTTCTCTCCAAGCCTGATTTGCTAGCAGAACATGGATAACAACCCCAAGTATTGCTCCAGAGAAATGCTCGATCACCCAAATCGTCGATCCTTATCCATCGCATCATCTCCATATCCATCTTGTACACTTTCATATCAATAACAACACGTAGCCTTGGGGTCTCGTGACCAAGAGCGTCATACATGGCAAAAAGTAAGATTTCACCCCTACATTCCACCAACGACATCACCATGTCACCTGATCCTTTCGGAATGTCTGGAAAATCAACTTCCGGTAGAACTCTTGTTATGTACGTTTCTGGTTGTAGTTCGACCGAAACGAATTCTTGTTTCATAACTGGATATCCAAAAATCTTACCTAGGTTGAGAACAGCTACTGCGTTGAACTCAGCAGCTCCTTGCTCACTTGGTCCTGTATGAATTGTCCATTCACTATCACCATCTCGCCAAAGCATTGCAAGACCATCATCCTTCTCCGCCTCTAAGTTCGATTCAGCGACACCCTCAGCTACACCAAAAACCAATACCACAAATTTGGATTCGCCATGGGGTAAATGAAGCACAACATGTAAGCACTCGAAACGCCTTTCCCAAGTTGGCAACGTCGTTTCAACCATGGATACCGGATCCAATAAAGAACACGAACGAGCCTCGTCGTCCATCAAAACGAGAAGCCCATGAGCACTGCTATATACTTTCTTTCCCCTCATTCTTGCTTCCAATTCTGTGATTCTTGAATGGCTCACTGCTGGCCCCTTGGCCAAGCTAACCAACATTCGTTCACCCTCGTGGTTGCACAGGACGAGGAAGGCTTGTGTTGTTGGTGATTCTTGCTTCCTCCCCTTCTCATAATCTTCTAATTCTGTGCACGCCGCCGATGGGTCACCCGACGATGTGAAAGTTAAGCTCCTTATGACATAATGTGGATGAATGTGATGAAGCCCCACATCTGCATCTTTTTTGCTTGTTAGCTGCTTCTTGGGTTTTGATGACCAATGTAGCTGCTGGCGAGAGAAAAACTGGAAACTTGGTCGATGGACGGATATCCTGGTTCGAAGGAGTGAAACTGTTCAGTCGAAAGTGAGTAGAACACATGGCGCCTTTCATGAAATCTCGGAAAGTGAACAGTGTTCTCCAATCCCGTGCCTCGCGCCTCATTACTCATTAGGACCACACATCCCGTGGGACTGCAAAAGACCGTTCGATCCTTGAGATCGTCCACGACTCGCCATGAATCCGTGAGCTTGAAGAATTTGTAGATTCTTACGAATTCTCCGATTGGTCCTACCACTATCGAGATCAATTCTCCATTGCACTCCAGTAAATAAGCCATATTGCGTGGGTTATCCATGAAAGCAGCTGGTTTGGTTGCATCAAGTAGCCTCCACTTCATGCTTTCCTTCTTCGCATTGGGATTGAAAACTCCTAGCCTCCCATCTTGGCCCAAACAATAGAAGACTCCCTTGTGGAAAACAGGGGAAGAACTAGAATTAGACCACAAGAAATTTCCGATACTGGGAAATCTTCTCAAGTTCACTTGGTATGTATTGGATTTAACCCTAACCATCTTGATATTGCTAGTATTTAATTTCAGAGGACTAGGGTTCGTCCATCTCATCATGTTTGGGACGCCATTAATATAGTGTTTCCAAGAATGCTGTCCTCGACGAATCAAAGAAATGTACACTCTTTTGTTGTAGTACGAATCTGCCAGGCCAAAAACTATGCAATCTGGAGACGTAGGCGAAGCCGAAAAACTCATTCGATTGAAGGAATCATTAACCACTGATGTAATATCTGGGAGGTGAATAGTGTTCCCCGTAGACGGATGATAGAAGAATATGCGCCTGGACGTCGACAAGAGCAACCAACCATAGTTGGAACAGTGAATTTTGGCGCCAACGAGTTCCGATGAAGCACGAACGTAGAACGACTTGTCGTAAGCCGGAGAATAGGCTTGGCAGCAACAAGAGGATGAGTCGTGGCCACTCCTAGGGAGGCCCAACAAAAATGGAGATTTAACATTCTCATAAATGGCGTGGTCGAAGAAAGCTCTGAAGTTCCAATTGCGACAGGTAGCTCTGAAATTAGAGTAATCTTCCCATAACAATTTCCGGCGAATCAAATTCAATACCCCGTCAGGAAGATCAGCCCACGATCTTGCTTCGCTCATCTTTGCTCTCCACTCGGAAAGGGGGGCGGATACTAGGGGTGGCTATACGGTCCGGACCGGTTAAATTGGCCTAAATTGATCCGGTCCAGTCCGGTCTTTTTGAAAATATAAGGACCGAAAATTGGATTGGATACAGTCCGGTCTTGATCTGGTCCGGTTTTGATCCGGTCATGTCCCAATTCGGTCTTGATTTTACATTGATATTGTGGGATTTGAGTGGCCTAAGGCCTTAAAGGGTGAGGAGTTGGTTAAGTTTTGTACTAAGTGCAAAGGTTTGTGACCGTTTATGCAAATTACCCTTAAGTTTTGGGTGTTGAGCTCTCTTATCCGGTCTTTATCCGGTTTTTTACCTCAAATCTAAGCCCAAAGATTGGATTGGATTGTTTACTATCCGGTCTCGGTCCGGGTTATACGGTCCGGTTTCCAGTTTTTAATCCGGTCCTGGTCCAAATAGCCACCCCTAGCGGATACTATAACAACACCGTTAGTGTTGTTACAGTAACAACAGGGGTAAAACAGTAAAACAAAAAGAAAAATAATAAAACAAAAATTAAACTATTTTCCAAACGTGTTTCTTCTCCAGGACTCCACCCTGTACTTCCATATCTAAAACGTTGCTTATCCCTACTCCAGCCCTCGCCAACTTCTCATCGGATTACGGATTTCCTACTCCTCTGCCGGCGGCGAGGAGCTCTCTACTGTTTCAGTTCGAAACAGATGAATCTGTCGGACAGTGGCTCGGTCTGGATCGGCCGCGCGGCTAGTCAATGACTTCCAGAGTCCTTTTTGGATATATACGGGGATAAGTGTGCGAATTTGATAAGATTGAAGCCGGTAAATGTTGGCGTCGACGAGAGGCAGCTTGCTGATGAACCGTCGTGGACTACAGAGATTTCGGCAACTGGCCGTTATAGCCACTGGATCGACGAATATCGAGATCCTGCTCTTCTGCTGGATCGCTTTCCCATTGATCACCTGCACTCACACACAAAAATGGTTCCCAATTGCTTCCCTCCGGAAAACAAAGGTGGACCTATATATCTCCTCCCATTTTCTTTATGAGACTCCCCATAGTTTGCGGCAGTAGGGAAGCTTTTCACTATGTTTGGGAAGGGGTGTAAATGGAAGGGGGTGCAAGTTTGGGAGTAAACACAAGTTCCAAGGTGTTTACCCCCGTTTGGTTATTTTGTAACAGTAGGGGGTGTAAAACGTGAGCGTAAATTCACTGTTTCGGCTTACCCCCAAATTGGGGTGCAAGGGAAGGAAGGAAGGGAGGGGGAAGGGGGAGGAGGGGAATTATGAATATTTAATTAGATTATAATTACATAATAATTAATATTATTAATTTTTCTTATATCTATATTAGTGTAGAAGTTGTTTGGGATTGACCGTTTGACTCAGAGAGCAAGTTTGTCAATGTTCGCCTAGTTAAATCGATATCTCTTAGTTGACCCGAATTTGCATTGAAAATTAGAGATAAGAAGCGTTTGTTGAAAAGATAGAGAGGAACAGTTTAGTTAACTGGATTTACTTTAATAAGTAGTTAAAACTTACAGATTCAACGTGTTTGACTAAGTTTGACCATATTCAATTTAAAGTTAGGCACGAGAACCCCCTTAGGATGACCAGTTACGAGTTGGATTTCGAGTTTCGAGGTTGCTCGACCAATGTTTATTATTGTTGTTAAAAATAATTATATTTGAGCATTATTATATAATAATTATTTTTATTAAGATTATTTTTATTTATTATTATTATATATTGAATTTTCATGTTATTATTTTGTGATAATATTTTATAAATTGATAAATCTATTTTATAATAATATAATTACTTACTTTTTACTCTATTTGCACCCCCTACTTTTTCATCCAAACAACAATTTACCCCTCCACTTACACCCTCCACCAAGTTGCACCCCCAAACAATTTACCCCTCAACTTGCAACCCACTCGAACTTGCACCCCCCTTGTTGCCAAACATAGTGTTTATGTGTTTGTTCATGTCCAATCTCCAATGGTTCATGCTTAGGGAAGGAAGAGTTAATAATTTAAAATAGATGTAGTAGTGCCAGGAGATGGAGAAGAATGAATTCATGTTTTATTAATTAATTATTCTATTTCTCGTATGCATTTGTTGAGGGTATTAATTATTCTATTTCTCGTAAAACATACTAGAAATCTCACAAAATACACCAGAAACCTTCTAATGCAGACAATAAGTATGATAAAATAAACAACAAAAAACATACCAGAAACATCTCAATGCATGCCACAAATTCTCTAAAACAAACCAACAATCTCACAAAGCAAACCATAAATATTTTGAAAAGCACACGAGAAACCCTCTAATGCAAACCACAAACACGGTAAAGCAAACAAAAAACGTCCTAATGCAGACCACAAATATATTTAAACAAACCAGAAACCTCGCAAAGCAAAACACAAATATATTAAAACAAACCAGAAATCTCGCAAAGCAAACCACAAAAGTTTCGAAAGCACACCAAAAACTTCTTAATGCAAACAAGAAACCTCCTAATGCATACCACAAATATCCTAAAACAAACTAGAAACCCCACAATGCAAACCACAACATTTGCGAAAGCACACCAGAAACCTCATAATGCAAACCACAAACACAGTAAATCAAACCATAAACGTCCTAATGCATACCACAAATATACTAAAACAAACCAAAAACCTCACAATGCAAACCACAAAGTTGTTGAAAGCAAACCAGAAACTTCTCAATGCAAACCAGAAACACGATAAAACTAACCACAAAAGCATAAAAAAATATGAGAAACCAAACCATAAATCTCACAATGCTAACCATAACATCCGGTGATCGTTGACCGGTCAACGAAGACCTTTGACCGATCAACGAAAATCATTGACCAAACTCCGATGACCGTCACTGACCGGATTCCGGCGCTGATAGGCATATTCCGGCCCCGATGACTAGATTCCGACGCCGGTAAGCATATTCCGACCACGGTGAGCATATTCCGGCGAAGATTATCTCTAATTTAATTATCGTCCTCCAAAATTAGTCGAAGATTATCTCTTCCAATGTAGTCAAAATCGCGCTTTAAACCTTAAAAACTTACGGATTTACGTTTTTAGGTCACTAAAACGCTTCTACACAAAATCTTAGTTTTTATAACTTATGTAGTTAAAAACTCCGGTTTAAAACTTAAAAACTTACGATTTTACGCTTCTAGATCATCAAAACGTTTCTACATAGAAACTCGCTTTTGACTACATTGATCTCTTCAACCCTAAAAACAATGAATCAGTAATTATCACATCTCCTAATATTTCTCCATGTTAAATGCAATATATGTGCTGATAAAAAATAAATTAAAAATTTTGTCATTTATTTCACTGCTATCACATATCCCTACACCTACACAAATACAACTTAAACGAAAAAGGAAAATAGGCAACGCAGGAGAAAAAAAAATATTAGTTAATAATGATGTTTTATTCGTTAATTAACCATACAATTGATAAAATCATAAATTATATTTGATAATCTTATAATCTGTGCCCATAAAATAAAATACAAAAAATCGTTTACCCATCCAATCGTCGTGGAAAGCCAAACAATAAGCAAGAAAGAAAGAATAAAAAATAAGAAAATGCTTGAGAAAGATGGCTTTCCTCTCAAATTGGGGGTCGGGGGTCAGGTAAAACAGTACATTTTTTGCACAGAATCCTTTCCTCCGGTCCTGTAGCAAGTTTGGAGAACGAGGGAAAATTTCTTGGGTTCTGGAATTTCTCTCCATTTCTTCCCTTCCCCTCCCTTTTCTCTCCTTAAAAAAAAAAACAGAGGGTATTGATTCTAAGAATCGGGAATTATTTGTTTTGGACGAAAACAATGCATTCATTGAATGATAGTCAAGCAACTTAATGGTATTATTGCACTGTAAAAAAAAAAAAAACTTGATGGTATTATTGACCATTTGACCGTATTTGCTCTCGCTGGTGGGTAGGGGTGGCAGTCGGTCGGTTTCGGTTTGACCAAAAACCGAAAACCCGGTTATCGGTTAAACCGAGACACCCCCTATAACTGCCGACCACCGACCGAAGAGAGGTCACGGTTAGCCGGCCAACCGATAAAAATACATTTTCCAAAATTTTTTTTTTTTTTTAAATAAACCAAAAAAAACTCCACCTCTCCTTCCTTATCTCCTCCTCTCTCCTTCCTTCCTCCACTAGACCTCTTCTCTCTCCTTCCTTCTTCTTCTCTCAACTTCTTTCTCCATGGCCCATGCAAACAGATTTGCAGGGGTGGCGAGGCACGCGCGACGGCAGCGAGGCGCGTGGCGCCGGGGAGGAGGTGGGTCGTCGGGGAGGAGGTGGGTCGCCGGGGAGGAGGAGGTGGGTCGTCGGGGTATTTTGGTGGCGGTGGAAGGAGGGGTAGCGGAGGAGGCAGGGGAGGGCGGCCGGAGTCGTCGTCGGAGGGAGGATGGGGGAGGAGGAGGAAGGATGGAGGAACGAGAGGTCAGAGGAGGGAGGATGGGGGAGAAGGAGGGAGGATGGGGGAGGATCAGAGAATGGGGGCGGCTCTCACGGCTGCTAGGGTTTAGGAAGAGGTGGCCAGGTGGGTAGTTTTATTTAGGCCAATCATGGTTTACACAATTTGAGCTCTTTTCCATTGTACTAATGAAAGCCCATTTGCTCGAGTATCTAATATGTACGTAGAAGCGAAACTCGACTCAATTTTTAATGAGTTAAGGTTGAGCTAAGCATTGTTTGCTTTACAAGGTTAGATTAGGTAGATTGTTGAGCTAAATTCGTGAGCTAGCTCGTTTTAAAATAAGAGTTGGCTCGAAAGTATGCCTAGCGAGTTATCTCAACTACAAACTTATGAACGAATAAATTAATAACTTATCCTTGGATTGTTGATAGTTCATATGTTTGGTAGAATAACGGCAATGTCTATTTTTTATGACCATGTATAATGTTTAAGAATTTGAGAGTGTGCTTCAAATATGACTCATTTGTTAATTAAAAGGGAAATTGTGTATCATAGATTGCTCATATACTAATAATTATTAAATAACATGATATGAACAAAATGATAAGAGACATGTGCTGAAGCCGATCTCATGAGCTACCCGATAAGCAGAGCTCGAGTAGAGCTTGTGATCTCATTAATGAGTCAAGCTCGACTCTACCTCGAATCAAACACAAACAAATGTTTTAGTAAACAAGCCTATATCGAGCTCCACTCGTTTATTAATGAGTCGAGTCTAAACTAGATCAAAACTCCACTCAACTTGACTTATTTGCAGCCATAGTCACTGTTATCATATCTACCGCCTACCGGTATGTGACTAGCCATGCGAAAATGTTGTAATATGTGAGGTCGTTTGGTATTTGCGAATGTTATAATCGTTGTATTCTATGAATGCATGCATTGTAAATTGATGTATTATACAAATGTGCCCCTCCTTATTGCCACTTCATCATTAAGGCAGTTGCTATTAGCAATTTTCTCAATGTTCACAGTACCTCTCCATGAGCGGGTGCAATTTTGCTATCTCAGATGCCACAACAGTACTCGAAGCTTCTTTCTTATCATTCCTGGAACGTTTGTTGCCTCTAGGCTTGTCGGTTCGGGTCGGGTAACCGAACCCGAAACCCACGAAAAACCGAAAACCCGAACCCGCGTCACACAACCCGAAACCGAACCCGAACTGTACTTTGTGGGTTTCGGGTACTGGAATCCAAAAATTATGCTGACGGTTTTGGTTCGACAGAACCGTTTTGGGGTTTTTTTTTTTGTACTTTTGTGATTTGAGAATAGTCAGATTTGGATCTTGTTGTATGCTCGTTAGCTTCAGAGTTCGCCATCCATGGCGGTCTATCATCTCAAATAGCCAACAAATGGGAGCTTAACACTTAAGCAAGTGAAAATGAAATAACCATGAAAAATGAATGCAGTAACAAGAAATTGGGCGTAAACAAAATGTTTCAATCCATAAGAGCTTCAATCACTACAATCCTTACCCATCCAGAACAAGAAATTGGGCGGAAACAAGAAATTGGTCATCCTACCACTATGATAACAAAGATGAGTAGAGAAGAAAGGAGATGCCCCTTTTTTTGGACGAAAACAATGCATTCATTGAATGATAGTCAAGCAACTTAATGGTATTATTGCACTGTAAAAAAAAAAAAAACTTGATGGTATTATTGACCATTTGACCGTATTTGCTCTCGCTGGTGGGTAGGGGTGGCAGTCGGTCGGTTTCGGTTTGACCAAAAACCGAAAACCCGGTTATCGGTTAAACCGAGACACCCCCTATAACTGCCGACCACCGACCGAAGAGAGGTCACGGTTAGCCGGCCAACCGATAAAAATACATTTTCCAAAATTTTTTTTTTTTTTTAAATAAACCAAAAAAAACTCCACCTCTCCTTCCTTATCTCCTCCTCTCTCCTTCCTTCCTCCACTAGACCTCTTCTCTCTCCTTCCTTCTTCTTCTCTCAACTTCTTTCTCCATGGCCCATGCAAACAGATTTGCAGGGGTGGCGAGGCACGCGCGACGGCAGCGAGGCGCGTGGCGCCGGGGAGGAGGTGGGTCGTCGGGGAGGAGGTGGGTCGCCGGGGAGGAGGAGGTGGGTCGTCGGGGTATTTTGGTGGCGGTGGAAGGAGGGGTAGCGGAGGAGGCAGGGGAGGGCGGCCGGAGTCGTCGTCGGAGGGAGGATGGGGGAGGAGGAGGAAGGATGGAGGAACGAGAGGTCAGAGGAGGGAGGATGGGGGCGGCTCTCACGGCTGCTAGGGTTTAGGAAGAGGTGGCCAGGTGGGTAGTTTTATTTAGGCCAATCATGGTTTACACAATTTGAGCTCTTTTCCATTGTACTAATGAAAGCCCATTTGCTCGAGTATCTAATATGTACGTAGAAGCGAAACTCGACTCAATTTTTAATGAGTTAAGGTTGAGCTAAGCATTGTTTGCTTTACAAGGTTATATTAGGTAGATTGTTGAGCTAAATTCGTGAGCTAGCTCGTTTTAAAATAAGAGTTGGCTCGAAAGTATGCCTAGCGAGTTATCTCAACTACCAACTTATGAACGAATAAATTAATAACTTATCCTTGGATTGTTGATAGTTCATATGTTTGGTAGAATAACGGCAATGTCTATTTTTTATGACCATGTATAATGTTTAAGAATTTGAGAGTGTGCTTCAAATATGACTCATTTGTTAATTAAAAGGGAAATTGTGTATCATAGATTGCTCATATACTAATAATTATTAAATAACATGATATGAACAAAATGATAAGAGACATGTGCTGAAGCCGATCTCATGAGCTACCCGATAAGCAGAGCTCGAGTAGAGCTTGTGATCTCATTAATGAGTCAAGCTCGACTCTACCTCGAATCAAACACAAACAAATGTTTTAGTAAACAAGCCTATATCGAGCTCCACTCGTTTATTAATGAGTCGAGTCTAAACTAGATCAAAACTCCACTCAACTTGACTTATTTGCAGCCATAGTCACTGTTATCATATCTACCGCCTACCGGTATGTGACTAGCCATGCGAAAATGTTGTAATATGTGAGGTCGTTTGGTATTTGCGAATGTTATAATCGTTGTATTCTATGAATGCATGCATTGTAAATTGATGTATTATACAAATGTGCCCCTCCTTATTGCCACTTCATCATTAAGGCAGTTGCTATTAGCAATTTTCTCAATGTTCACAGTACCTCTCCATGAGCGGGTGCAATTTTGCTATCTCAGATGCCACAACAGTACTCGAAGCTTCTTTCTTATCATTCCTGGAACGTTTGTTGCCTCTAGGCTTGTCGGTTCGGGTCGGGTAACCGAACCCGAAACCCACGAAAAACCGAAAACCCGAACCCGCGTCACACAACCCGAAACCGAACCCGAACTGTACTTTGTGGGTTTCGGGTACTGGAATCCAAAAATTATGCTGACGGTTTTGGTTCGACAGAACCGTTTTGGGGTTTTTTTTTTGTACTTTTGTGATTTGAGAATAGTCAGATTTGGATCTTGTTGTATGCTCGTTAGCTTCAGAGTTCGCCATCCATGGCGGTCTATCATCTCAAATAGCCAACAAATGGGAGCTTAACACTTAAGCAAGTGAAAATGAAATAACCATGAAAAATGAATGCAGTAACAAGAAATTGGGCGTAAACAAAATGTTTCAATCCATAAGAGCTTCAATCACTACAATCCTTACCCATCCAGAACAAGAAATTGGGCGGAAACAAGAAATTGGTCATCCTACCACTATGATAACAAAGATGAGTAGAGAAGAAAGGAGATGCCCCTTTTTGAAACTGAATTCCCAATTACACTCTGCTTCCAGAACAATAGGCAGGGGAAACGAAAACAGAGCACTAAACACATATTCGAAATCGACAGACCGGCAGCAAAAAGTAAAGCTACCCACCAACCACAATCATGTATAAAGAAAGAATCACACAAAATTTCCAGTCGATACACAAGACTCCACAACCATCTGGTCGCCAAGGAAAAGAGGAAAAGGGTTGATACCCAGATGCGCCGGCATCGACCCCCGACGGGGAAGCTTCGATCTTGAACGAACGGATGAGTTCGCCGGCGACAGGGGAGTCTCTGACTGCGATCCAGCCTGCAGGGTAGGGATGGCGATGGGTGTTTGTTGCGAATGGCGATGCCTCTCGGGTTTCGGGTTTATGAAACCGAAACCGACATGTACATTCTCAGGTTGAAACCGAAAAACCGAACCCGCAGACACTTGCTGGCGGTTCGGGTTGGGGTTAAACCGAAAACCCGAAACCATTTTGACAACCCTAGTTGCCTCCAATTGAGTTTGAGGGATTTGCCCGTCGTGAATCTTGGGCATTGGTGAAGTTCCTATGGTCCAATACATGTTGGCTTGTTTCATCAAAACAAACACAGAATCCACCTGAATGCTAGGAGTACAGTCCACCTCAATCTTAAGATGACTATACAACCTAAACACATCAGCCATCACCATCCATTTTGTACGCCGTCCACCTTTCCAAATGATGAATCGGTGCCCAAATGGAATAAAACTGGTCTTCGCATATTAGTGAAGCAAGGTCCATGAAAGATGAGCAAAATAATGAGTTGGCTTTGTGATTAACAAAATAATGAAAGATGAGCAAAATATGCTTCCGCATTGATCTAATCCTCCTATCAGTCTGTCAAATCAATCATTCAAATCTTATTCGTAATATTTATCAAATTTACCTTGAGATCTATGTGGTGATTTTTCCCGAGGTGCCAGCATCTGATGTGACGAGTTCGACCTCCGGTGCGATGACAGGTTCGATCTCTGGTGCGACGAGTCCATGCTCTGTTGCGATGACAGGTTCGACTTCCTCTCGTGCGATGACAGGCTCGACCACTGGTGCGACGACAACGACGTGTTCTTCCTCAGGTTCGACCTCTGGTGCGACGACACCTCCCTCTGCTGCGATGACAGGTTCGACCTCTGGTACGACGATAGCAACGATTCCTTCCTCTGCTGCTGATGGCCTTGCAAGGAAGGACTAGTTGAAGTGGAGGTCGCTGTCGTCGCACCAGAGGAAGGAATCGTCGCACCAGAGGTCGAACCTGTCATCGCAGCAGAGGAAGGAATCGTTGCTATCGTCGTACTAGAGGTCGAACCTGTCATCGCATCAGAGGGATGTGTCGTCGCACCAGAGGTCGAACCTGAGGAAGAACACGTCGCTGTCGTCACACCAGTGCTCGAGCCTGTCATCGCACGAGAGGAAGTCGAACCTGTCATCGCAATAGAGCATGGACTCGTCGCTGTCGTCGCACCAGAGATCGAACCTGTCATCGCACCCGAGGTCGAACTCGTCACATCAGATGCTGGCACCTCGGGAAAAATCACCACATAGATCTCAAGGTAAGTTTGATAAATATTACGAATAAGATTTGAATGATTGATTTGACAGACTGATAGGAGGATTAGATCAATGTGGAAGCATATTTTAGCTCAGCGATGTTGTTTGCTTAACTAGTTAACTTAGTCTCCCTGTCAACTCTGATTCGCCATGCCAAGTTCTTTTGCTCTGGAAAACAGCGAACTGTAAGTTCAGAGATTATCTAGATGCATTCAGATTTGATAAATATTACGAATAAGATTTGAATGATTGATTTTACAAACTGATAGGAGGATTAGATCAATATGGAAGCATATTTTAGTTCAGCTATGTTGTTTGTTTGAAGGATGCTTTACTTAGTATCCCTGTTAACTCTGATTTGCCATGCCAAATTCTTTTGCTCTAGAAAACACTGAACTATAGGTTTAGAGATTATTTAGATGCACTCAGTTCATTATCTAGAATATTACTTGGTAGCTTTGTCCCTCCAATCTGCCATACCATTATGACTTTGAATAAGATTAAGACTAACATTTTCCAGCAAACACTAAACTATATGCTTTGTTAACATTTATATCTTCTACATGCATTCAATTCATTTACCATCACTGTACTATGATCTTAGATTCTTAGTCTACAAGTATTCACAATACATACATGCTACAAATCAAGGACTCTTAACATAGAGATAACTAAATCTGATTTTACTACCTGGGATTTTTTCACTTGTACGTAGACTCAACCATATGCTTATTCACATGATGCATTTGCAGGTTCAAGTGATTCAGAGTACAGCTTAAATGAAGACTGGAAGCTGAGAGATTCTACTTCACTGGCAGTTACTGGTTCTTTTTGATTCGGAATATTAGAATACTAGTAGCCTCCCTATCCTTTCGTTATGTTGCAACCTAGTTCTTGTGCCTTTAGCAACACACCATTTGAAGTACATTTTCACACTTACCATCACTAACTCTGTTGTGCACCAAAATACTCCATATGCTTCACAAACTCACTGGAGTTGCATCTTCAGTCAGTATATAGGCAGTCCTGATCCTGAAAAAGTGATCACATAAGTAAGCATTTGTTCTCCATATATTAGGAAGGGAATCTATAGTCTATAGATGACGAATGGTGAGGGACTGAGGCTTATAGCCACAGATATATTCTCGAACAACTAGTCTATTTCAAGTTGTAACGAATGACAGCAATGATCATTAGTTACCATATTAGTCCGTAGTCATTAGTAAGAGAACTAGAGCATACCTATTATTTTGTTGAACATATATATATATCTTTCCAATTTATTTCCAAATCTAGAGTTCTCCATCGCTCTGCATTTTTCTTGTCAGCCAGAGATTGATGCTTTCCTGGACCTGTTATTAGGTCACACAATTCGCGCAACAGGGGTCGACACTCGGGCTCTGGAAACCAAAATCGCGAACTAGAAGAAATTCCTGCAAAATTCGCGAATTTTATTAATTCGAGCGCGGATTATAGCAAATCAGAACAATTTGAGATCATGGGGAAAAGGGGAGCGATTGGCTGATGGAGTACCTCGATTACCAACAGAGGAAGGCGTTGGAAACCCAGAAGCGTGAATATAACATGATGCATGTCTGGATGGACAACTGATGCGATGAAGGCGAAGGAATCGCTAGATGGTTGATGGGGGGGAGCCGAAAAGATGCCGAAGTTCTGCATCAGGAAGAGAATCGAGTAATTTGAGGGAGATCTTGAACATTGAGGGGATGAACGGCACAAGAAATTGCAGACTGGAATCAGGGATTTCGAAAAAATGGATGTGAGGAGTCGATTGAGCTCGCATGGGTTTTGAAGGATGGTAGGGAGACATGGGGGATTTGTCGATGGGAAGAAGGGATAGAGTGAAAATTTGGAAGGGATCGAGAGAGGAGGATGCTGCTGGCATGAGGAAGAAGAGAGCAGGGGACCGAGTCGGGCAGTCGGCAACGTTTGTGGGACTGGAGAGGAGAGACCTGCTCGTTTAGGGTTTTGAGTGCAGCCAAGTTTGGGCTCAATAGTTGGGCCATGGAAACCCGCGGGTTTGTATGGGCTCAATAGTTGGGCCATGGAAAGCCGTCATTCCCAGTTCTTCCGATTCCTTTCTCCGGGTCCGGATACTATAACAAAGTGTTAGAGTAACAACAGGGGTAAAAACGGAAACTCACAAAAAGTAATAAATTAAAAATTAAATTAAATGATTCATTACCCTACCCGTCATCGTGCTCCGCGGCTGAGCGGACAGTGGGAGCCAGAGTGGGAATAGATCGCCAGTACCGGCAACGGCGGTGAGAGCGGAGGAGGCGGAGGCTGTGGATTCGAGTTGTATTACGACGACGGCGTCGGTTCTGGATTGAGGCCGCTGCCGCCGAGCATGTCGGAGTTTCTGCTCGGATCTGGATCGTGCTCATTGATGTCGCGTCCAATACAATCGTCACGTCGGGTCCGCTGTCTTCCCTCAAGATTGAAATCGTTGTCCTGGACGGCGATTTTGGCTCTGTCGAAGATTGGTGCGCGAAGGCTTTCAACGACAGTGTTATCAGAGAACAGCAAGGGAGGAGGCCGCTGGTGGCGGGAGAGTTCAGCGTTGTGCTGAAGGACGGAGCTGGGCAGATTAGCGACGTGGTTTTCACCGACAACTCCAACTGGCAACGGAGCAGGAATTTCGATTCTCTACAACGTTTCAGTTTCCGTCTTTTCATAACAAAGCGTAATTGTAAGGTGATGCAAGGTTTACTTGGATAAACTAGGATTGCTATTCGGGTCTGAGGTTAAGGAAATTGATGTTAAGCTTAAGCCGGAAAATTCATATGGATCTCCCCCTTGGAGTTGTATTTGGTGGATTCCAGAGAGCTTCTACACTTTGAAAAATCTTAAAGTTGCAAAGCTCAATGGTGTTGTGATGGGTGCGAAAGGGTCGGTTTCTCTTCCTAGTTTGAAAAGCTTTGAGCTTTTGAATGTGGTAATTAAGGACTTTTGAGTCCTTTAGTAGGCTCATTTCTGGTTGCCCTATTGTGGAGACTCTTTCTTTGGAGTTGTGTGACATAGCAGACATGGACGAGGACGACGTACTCATTGCTTCCATGCCATTCTTGAAAGATTTAAGGATCATTGGTGTTCTTGATGGCGATGGTTATGAGTGTTTGTGTCGCATTATGATGGAAGCACCAAAGCTTATGTATCTTTACCTTGAGGATTTCACAGAGTTACAATTTCGAGGAAGTAGTCCTGGCAGTGATTGAGTTGATGATGTTGATGAAGGAGATGGAAAACATGTTTTATGTTTCACTAATTTGTGGGGGAAATAAAATTAACTCAACGAGACTGCTTCTGTATTACTGAAAGAGAGACCGAGGTATTTTGATAAATCCAATAAAACATACTATAAAACACACCAAAAACCTTGTAATGTAAATCATAACAAATCGCCTAAAACATACTAGAAACACCACAAAGCAAACCACAACTATTTCTAAAACACACCAAAAACCTCCTAATGCAAACCACAAATGCGATATAACTAACCACAAAAAAGCATACTAGAAACCTCCTAAAACAAACCACAAGTCTCCTAAAACAAACTAGAAATTTCACAAAGCAAACCATAAATATTTTGAAAAGCACACCAGAAACACCCTAATGCAAACCACAAACACAGAAAAGCAAACCACAAAAAAAACAAACCAGAAACCTTCTAATGCAAACCACAAATATATTAAAATAAACCAGAAACCTCACAATGCAAACCACAAAATTTTTGAAAGAAAACCATAAACGTCCTAATGCAGACCACAAATATATTAAAACAAACCCGAAACCCCTCAATGCAAACCACAAACACGATAAAGCAAACCAGAAACTTCTTAATGCAAACCACAAACACGATAAAGCAAACCACAAAAGACATACAAAAATATGAGAAACCAAACCATAAATCTCACAATGCATATGGTCGTTGGCCGTTGACCGGTCAACGAAGACCGTTGACCAAACTCCGATGACCGTCAGTGACCGGATTCAGGCGCCGATAAGCATATTCCGGCCCCGGTGACTAGATTTCGATGCCGGTAAGCATATTCCGATGACAAAATAGCATATTCCGGCGACAAAAAAGCATATTCCGGTGACCGTCGACCAGATTCCGGCGACCGGTGGCCGAATTCCGGCGACCAAAAATTTGGACAGAAAATAAAAAAATATTTTTTTAATTTTTTAATTTTTTATTATTATTTAAACATATTTTCATAATGACAATTATACTCCTGCCTTGATTTTACACTAGGTCAACTCATCTAATAAAAAGTAATCACAATCCTAGATTCCTATTGGTTGGAGGCTAGTGTTGTTACAATAACAACACAAAGGGTGTTGTCACACTATCTACTCCCCCTTTCTCCGATCCAGAAACCCTAGGTTACTCCACCTCTCCGCTTCATTCACCGACGGTCAACTTGAACTGTCCTGGTTCCTCCCTACCGCTAACCCTCCCACTCCAGATGGCCGCAGCAGTGATGAATTCAACGGCTGGGCTGTCGTCGAAGCCCCTGCAACCCACAACAAGAGGAAGAAAGGTATCTCAAACTCTTTGTTGACGAAATTCATCTGATTTCTTCCGTTTTCGAATGCTTAAAGTTCAGATTACAATCGCAGGGCTGCCAAGAGCTTTGATCGGTGGGATTGGGGTTTGTGTTGCCGCTGCTGCGGTGGCAGCTGGTGCATATTTCTCGCTCTCCAGAAATGGTTAGTTCTGTTTCGTTTGATGGGCGGCCATATCGTACCTTCATGTGAATTTTAGAATTTCGGGTTGTTAAGGTGTCTTTCGATTGGTATTTCACAGGGGGGAATTTGCAACTTCGTAGTCCTTCGGATGCTGCCATTATGACTTCCGTGGGCGACGAAAGTGAAGCCAAGGACTTGGCTTCGCGTGGTGAAAATGTTGGTGTTCCTGAGGCCATCCCAGAGTCTGTTCCTGAGCCTCCTGCTGTATCCCACACTTCTGGTACATTCTACTTATCTAATCTTCTTTCCTTCAGTTTTACACGCTAGCTTTTTGTTCCCATCAAGGAAATTGATAATTCGTACCTGTAGAACTATGAAACGACTTTGATCCTTACATATGGGTTTACTACACCCAGCTTGGCGTATCATATAGCTTGTGGGTTCTTGAATGAAAATTTGCTGATATTGCTTTACCTTAGTCTCTTCTCATTTCATCTCCCCCTCCATTCTCTTCGGTTCTATTTCATCTGCAGAGAAGCGTTTTAAAGTTTCGGTTGCTTTGGATTCAACACAGTTGGAAGCCCTAGCGAGCTTGCAGAAACTAAAGGTGTGTTGTTTTAGTAATGTCTCTGACATGATCCTCTTCATTTCTTTTTATGTTGCTACAGAGGCTATGCTGTGATCTAGAGCATTTTTCTGTGGAAGGATTTTCATCTTAGTGTTATGCTGACTCCCTTCTTTGACATATAGTTGTTACTTGCCACAATTCAACTGTTAATAAGAACATGGATTTTCACATCTGGGAACTTTTGGGTTGTCCTGCTGCTTCATAACACGCATTAGCTCTGCTCCAATAAGCAATTAGCTACGATATTCATTTGCTCCAATTTAGACTACTTCCTCATGCACTATTTTTCCTTTTCTGTCCCAAATATACTCTTTCGTGAGAGCCTACTGTTCTAAATAGCTTCTCTTGATGAACTAAGTTATGTATGGTTCTAAGCATTACTGTTTTTCCTTTTAATTAAGATATACAGATCATTGAAGACGACATAAGAGTTGACGAATTATGCACTAGAAGAGAATATGCAAGATGGTTAGTTCGTCTGAATTCCCTACTCGAGAGGTAGTAAATTACAGCTAATTCAAGTTACAGGACTGCTTGCTCGTGTCATATCTGTCAGCTTTTTGTGCTGATTTTGCAGAAATCCCAAGCACAGAGTTGTCCCAACTATATCCCTTTCAGGATCACTTGCTGCTGGATTTGATGACATCAACATTGATGATCCGGATTTTGTGTATATTCAAGGTGAGACATTTGTAGTTTTAGAAGGTCACAGGGTTGTGTTTTTGGTAGAAGGGTCCTGAAATGTCTCTTTCTGCTTGCCATATCAGCTCTAGCTGAGGCCGGCATCATACCAAGCAAATTGTCTTCAACAAGTGAGTTTTCTATCACTTCAGAAGATGGAAGCTTCTACTTTTATCCAAATAGGTATGAGGGTGGAAATAACTTGTGAATGTCCCTATCCATGACTCAATTTCGTTTTAATATTTCCACTTAAACAAATGAAATGCATTTTCATGTAGGTACCTGTCCCGGAAGGAAATGATCAACTGGAGAGCTCAGTTAGAGTATGCCATCTTGCCTGGAACAAAAGAGCAGGTAAAATGTACCTCAAATTGTGGCTCATTATGTTACATGATGAATGAAGAGGCAAAGTAATTATTCTCTTTGAAATTGGCCTTTTTGTAGCTTCTTAAAACTTGACTTGTCTACAGTCCAGATGTCAAGAATAAGAGCAGATTACATGGATGTGAAGGACATCACTTCAGATACATCACCTGAATTCTTTGCTGACATGTTGGCCGGGGAGAAAAGCATAATCAGAAAAGTGTTTGGTATGTCTCTCATATACTCTGCTAAATTTCACCATTGGCAATTGCATTGTGAAAACTGTACACGAGTACCATTTTAAAGTCCCATTGAAACATATCAGGTAAGCACCTAGTCGTATGTGCCAATAAGACCAGGGAACAAACATGGGCAATGTGTTTTTCTCTTTTGTGTTCCTTGAACCTGGAAACCATCAGAACGAAAGAAAAATGAAGAAGCAATCAGGATTCATGAATCATTTGAGATCCATTTTTGTTTTGCTGAATAAACCAAATCAAGTTGCTGATATGTATTATACAATACCATTGCAGCATGTCATTATGGGGGGCATGGTTAAGACTTGTGGATAGTGATAGGTTACTGTCTTGAGTAATCTTCTATAACTTCCAGACTTAATGTAATAATTATTTTTTTCAGGACAGAGTAGGCGTTTTCAGCCAAATAAACCTTCAACCAAGGCACAGGCAGCTGTGACGCTGACAAGTGGCAGAATGTCCGAAGCGGTTCACCACGAATTACTCAGACTGAAAGCAGAGAGTTCTTCAAGGCAGGCTGCTGCTGAAGAAATTAAGTCTGAGCTGCTCGAAAGAGGCGATATCAAGAACTTTTGGAATGAAAAGCTTCTTTTTGAAAGAAACCATGGAGTTGAAGTGCAGAAGCTCTACATTGCCACCTTGCAGGATTTGGATAAGGAGAAGGATCTTCAAGTCAAAACTCTGACTGAGAACATGAAGGAAAAAGCAGCTATGGACTGTCAGAGACATCTAATTCTCACTCTTAAGGAAGAGATAGAAGATATGGCAGAAAGGCTTGCATCCGAGAGGACTTCATATGTAGCTGAGCAGTGTAACATTCAGGAGTTGAGGAAAGCAGTGCTGATGGATCAGGAAGGGGTTCTTGATTCAAAATCCATTCTGGAAGCCGAAATAGAAGCTCTCCGAGTTCTCAGGTACAATCATTGTCATGAACCACTTATCCGTTTTAATCGAATATACACCTTTGCTAGCTCAGCGTAAAAGTGGAAACCTTAATCAGAGATGGTGTGTTTGATGAATTCAGGACTTGGGTAGAAGATGAAGCGAAGAAAAGCCAGGCGCGGGCTAAAGTTCTTAAGGAGGTAGGACGGCGGTGGAAATGGGACAACCAAGCTTGAATTATCGTCGTGTTGTACAAGTAAAAAACTGCATAATAATTAACCTATCATTCGTTAGTTTCTTCATCTTCAGGGGAATATAAGGTTGTGTAAAAAAGTCCGGCAGTGATGGGCTTAATGTTTAGAACTGGGCATTAGGCGTCATCATCATGATGTGATTACGTGAGGATAAATTAGGCCGATGCAATAAGATAAGAACTTGGGTGGATATTTTTTTTCTTCTTCTTTTTCCGGGCCAGGTTCCGAGAGACATTCCTGGTCCTGGAAGCATGTTTCTACTTTAGACCGGATGGAGGTTGAAGGAACAGCTTACAGCCTGCAAGAAAACATTATGGTCAGTTCGAATGCCTATGCCTTCTAGATCGGGTCATATGGTACAATTTCGTGTAAAGATGTTATGCTCGCCGTGATGGCAAATATGAATGTCGTGCTGGTTTTTGCTGTCATTTTTCATTTTCTGTCCTTGAATGTTTATGGATCCAGTATATATCTCGTTAAAAAGTATTGTAAGAGCTTGGAGCAACATTTGAAGATCTCTAGCTAGTTTGGACCTTGAGACACAGGAAAATATGCTTTCAGACGGACTCGTTGTAGAGGTTGAAACAAGGCATCCTTGCTTAGTTTGGACTAGAGATTGTAATTTGTTTGCTGATAACTTATCTTAGTATTACTAAGCAACAAAATTTTGTGATGAAAACATTATAATGGGCGGGGTAAGTTTGAACTTTTTACCGTGTTTTATTTTATGTGGGGTTTAGTTTCTTCCACTCCCACTTCGCTTCCTTTCCCTACCTTCCATCACATTTCTAGACAGACTCTAGAAGAACGTTTCCACGGCAAAGTACTGATGCTTCCTCATCCAGCAGCAACAGCAGCTAAGTCCAGTCATGCCCCACTTTCCTCGTCCCTGTAACCAGGTATCTCTCTTCCTCCATCCCTTACCTGGATTTTCCTTTTCCATACAAAATCACGTGAGAGATGGAAAAAAACCTGCAGAGGTTAACTCAGTAGTGAAAATGGAACTTTTTTGTTTCCCAGCACAGTCCGTGAGGCCAGAGCATCACAGCTATTATAATGGCGATGTGGATAACCCTTTTTTGGCTGATACCACTACAAGTGGAGACCATAATCCACAAAGCATTTCCTTTTTTTCTCCTTCTTTCTGCCTTTTACCAGTTTGTCTCAGCAAATTCCTTGGTGAAAACAGTTAACTACCCAACTTCTCTGCTCCCAAATTTCCCACCTTAAGCATTTTGACTTGTTTATATGCAGCGCTGCAAAAATGGCGGCCTTAAAGTTGCCTAAATCATCCAAGTGCATAACATCCCAACAAAGGCATATGACTTTTCTAGTCAATTAGCCCCTATTTAGGTTTGTTTTAGGAAACAGATAGGCCAAAAAGAGGATATGAAATCAAAGCAATCAATCACCCAAAAGGTGTGGCTGCCTTTGTATCTGTTTGGATTATTTCTCCCAACATGCTCCAGTCCACAAAGTAAAATCTCAGCCTTACCTCTGTTTAACCCTTATCCATCTTCCCTTCTGCTTAATTCTACTTAATGGGTAGATGCCAAAAGGGGAAGATGCCTGTCCTTTTTGAAGCTGGACCCACCTCCAGATAATGTTCCCTAGTTCTTGGCTTCACCACCTTATAATCAAAATCCTTCTTATTTGTCCCTTTCCATATTGGGATTGGCTGTCAGTCATATGGAAGTTGCACATTCTCAAGGCATCAAGTTCACCTTTCAGGTTAAACATTTTCTGGGTTATTGTTCTTATAATCTGAGATAGGCTGTACTTTTGCCATGCAGAAGCAAAAATGGTGGGGTTTACTCTAATTTATCAATTCAGCTGCCAGATTGGAATTAAGTTTTGGCAGTTATGAAATTAGACATGGACTGATAGCTAACTTGCGGAGCTCCTCATAACAGCCAGCAGAGCTCATTAATTAGAGAGTTAAGATTGGCAGTGGGCCAGTTCTTTTTGCTCTTCTGTTACAGTTTTTGCAGGTTTAACCTTGTTTGTGTCGCTTTCAGGCTGTTAAGTGTTAACGGTTTTCCCCCCTCTGAATTGGAGAACTTACATACCTATCGGGAGCAAAAAACATGGGCCACTTGTTATACTCGTGGTTGCTGTATCCCTTAGCTTGACAATTGCGTTGGAATTCTGCTTATCTCCAACCTTCTTTGGTTTTCGGCAGCTGTCCCTCTCCCTCGTCTGAAAATTCTGTGAAACTGTTAACGTAGATACCCATATTCCGAGCGTTAGCTTGCTGGACTTGTCTGTGCATTAACTCTCACATGCATTATGTGGGATTCATGTCGGAATAATCATCATTCAATAAGCCTCTGTTGACTGCTGCAGGAGGGTTCTGGGTCAGTCTGCAATTCCCCTTTGGCTCGCTCATCCCTTGAGTTAGTTTTCCTGTCATGGAGCAGCGGAAGAAGAGGGCAAGAGGGTATTGGAAACCCTTGGTTTCTGGCTATAGATGTTTGGAAAGATAAGAGTTTTCTATCTTCAGTACCCATATGATTGTCAGGGTAGGCCTCGTGGTCGCAGCTTCGATTGCAGCCTATGCTGTTAAGCAGAAAGCTTCAGGTAATAACTAAACCTCATTCCTGCCCCTTCTCTTCGTCTATCCATTTTGGAAGAAAAAAATGTAACCTTTCCTTTCTTCTTACTCATAAAATATAGCAGAATTAGGCCATAATGCTTAGTGGAGAGAAATTTTGCTTGGTGAAGGATTCTCATTCTGTTTCTCAAAGTGCTTTGCATTGCTTCTCTCATGATTGCTTTCAGAAAATGGTAAGCGTCGAAGCAAACGTAATGGCAGAGAGCAGATTCCTTATCCAGATGGTAACATCAAGGAGAAGGAAGAAGAAGAAGAGAAAGAGGAGGTTAAATTGATCAACAGCATATCAAATGGTGTTCATGGTGGTATGCCACCTGGTATGGACGATGAAGATGACATTTTACCTGAATTCGAGGATTTCTTATCAGGGGAGATCGAGTATTCATTACCAAGTGACAAGTTCGATTTGTCTGAGGAAAAAAACAAGGTCTATGAAAGTGAGATGGCAAACCATGCCAGCGAACTCGAACGCCTTCGCAAGTTAGTCAATGAACTGGAAGAAAGAGAAGTGAAACTTGAAGGTGAGCTGTTGGAGTACTATGGCTTAAAGGAGCAAGAATCAGACATTGTTGAATTGCAGAGGCAGTTAAAAATTAAGACTGTGGAGGTTGACATGTTGAACATAACCATTAACTCGCTTCAATCTGAAAAGAAGAGACTTCAGGATGAACTTGCACAAGGTGGAGGATCTGCAAGGAAAGAGCTAGAAGCTGCAAGGAAGAAAATCAGAGAGCTTCAGAGACAGATACAACTGGATTCTAACCAGACAAAGGGACAGCTATTGTTGCTGAAACAACAGGTTTTGGGTCTACAGGCGAAAGAGGAAGAAGCTGTAAGGAAAGGTGTTGAGGTTGAAAAGAAGATGAAGGTTGTGAAGGAACTAGAGATGGAGGTTGTTGAGCTAAAGAGGAAGAATCGAGAGCTTCAGCATGAGAAGAGACAGTTGACTGTCAAGCTGGATGCTGCTGAAGGGAAGATAACAGCCATATCCAATATGACAGAGGTAAGTTGCTAACTGCTGCTATAAGTGCATATTTGTTTCCAATACTGTTTTTCATTAACACTTCTTATTTATTAGAGTGTATTTGCAATAGCACGTGGTAATCTCAAATGTATCAAAATTATGCAATCGCAAATGCATGGTGGGTAGAGTAGTATTTGAAAGAGCATCTGAAGAAGTGAATCTTTTTTCATTTTTTCTTACACAATTTTCTAAGAGAACTACACCAAGCACCCTGAGTGAATAAGGTTTCTGGTGCTTTGTATTATTATTGATTGCAGAATGAGCTAGTGGCAAACGCAAGAGAGGAAGTCAGCAATATTCGGCATGCAAATGAAGACCTACTGAAGCAAGTGGAAGGACTTCAAATGAACAGGTTCAGCGAAGTCGAAGAACTAGTCTATCTCCGCTGGGTCAATGCATGCTTGAGATATGAGCTCCGCAACTACCAAGCACCCCCTGGAAAAGTTTCAGCTCGCGATCTCAGCAAAAACTTAAGCCCCAAGTCACAAGAAACGGCCAAACAGCTAATGCTAGACTATGCCGGATCAGAACGTGGCGGCCAAGGTGGTGACACTGACATGGAAAGCAACTTCTCCCAGCCATCTTCACCTGGAAGCGAAGATTTCGACAATGCCTCCATGGACAGTTCCTTTAGCAGGTACAGCAGTCTCAGTAGGAAGCCCAGTTTGATGCAGAAGCTGAAGAAATGGGGAAGCAGGGGCAAAGATGATTCAAGCGCTTTTTCATCGCCTGCCAGGTCTCTAACTGGATCCCCAAGCATGAGCTTCAAGCCTAGGGGGCCACTAGAAGCATTAATGCTGAGAAATGCAGGGGATAATATGGCCATTACTACATTTGGGAAGATGGATCAAGATGCTGCTCCTGACTCTCCGGAAACCTTAAATCTTCCTCCCATAAAAACACAGGCCTCTCAGACCGATTCTCTAAACTCTGTCGCTTCATCGTTCCAGTTAATGTCAAAGTCTGTTCATGGAGTCATGGATGAGAAGTACCCGGCTTACAAAGACCGGCATAAGTTGGCACTGGAGAGGGAGAAGCATATCAAGGAAAGAGCTGAGCAAGCTAGGGCTGTGAAGTTTGGTAATGCGACACAATTTGACTCCTCCAGAGGGAAGGGGGGTAGACCTGTAAATCTGCCATCACAACTAGCTCGTCTGAAAGAGAAACCGCTTGTTACTGGTGAGTCAAAGGAGGAGCAGTCAGCAGATGGGAAGTCCTCTGACTCTCCAGTTGTCAGCAAGATTCAACTTGCTGACATTGAGAAGAGGCCTCCTAGAGTGCCTAGGCCGCCACCTAAACAGTCTGGAGGTTCTTCTCTATCTGGTGGAGTGCCTAGTGCTCCACCGCGTGGCCCAGGTGGACCACCACCACCACCACCTCCTCCTCCTGGAGGTGCAGGTGGGCCGCCTCCACCACCTCCGCCACCTGGAAGCTTGCCGAGAGGTGGGGGAGGGAGTAAAGTTCACAGGGCACCTGAGCTGGTGGAATTCTATCAGTCATTGATGAAGAGGGAGGCAAAGAAGGATACAACGTCGTTGATTTCTTCATCAACAGGCAATGCTTCGGATGCTAGAAGCAATATGATTGGGGAGATTGAGAACAGGTCATCATTCCTCATGGCTGTTAAAGCTGACGTGGAAACTCAAGGCGAATTTGTGGAGTCATTGGCAAGTGAAGTCAGGGCATCCTCTTTTACCAACATAAATGACTTGTTAGCATTTGTGAATTGGTTAGATGAGGAACTCTCGTTCTTGGTAAGCTACCCTTTCGTTGAATCGTTCCCTCGTAGCTTTCTCATATTCAAACTGTCTTAATAATGCTGTATTTTCTTTATCTCTATATGAACAGGTGGATGAACGGGCAGTCCTGAAGCACTTTGAGTGGCCTGAAAGCAAGGCTGACGCGTTGAGAGAGGCAGCATTCGAGTACCAGGACTTGATGAAGCTGGAGAAACATGTTACATCGTTTGAGGATGACCCTAGTCTCCAATGTGAGGCTGCTCTCAAGAAGATGTACAAACTGCTGGAGAAGTACGTTAGCAGCAGCTCTCATTTTCTGGCCAACATTTCCCTCTTTGATTCTTTACTTGACGTTTCACTGCGCCACTTTTTTTTTTTTTTACCAGGGTGGAGAATAGTGTGTATGCACTTCTGCGAACAAGGGACATGGCGATGTCTCGGTACAAGGAGTTTGGGATTCCAGTTGATTGGCTGCAAGACTCTGGAGTTGTTGGCAAGGTAGCAAAAGGGATTCGACAAAGTTTCTTGATTTCTCCCACTTATATTAGTTAGATAATGCATGATATCTAATTCGTTCATGCCTTGCAGATCAAGCTATCCTCAGTTCAGTTGGCAAGAAAGTACATGAAACGTGTTTCAGAGGAGCTCGATGTCATGACCGGACCTGAGAAGGAACCCAACAGGGAGTTCTTGCTACTGCAAGGCGTACGTTTTGCTTTCCGTGTTCATCAGGTAGGTGTTCTCTTCTATCTGTCCTTGACACCCCTTTCATTATCATCCCCAAGTTCTTATTCACAGGCTTAAACAATATCTGAACTTTGGGCAGTTTGCTGGAGGGTTTGACGCTGAGAGCATGAGGGCTTTTGAAGAGTTGAGGAGTCGTGTAAATTCCAAAGGCGAAAATGATGGGAGTAATGATTTAGAAGTAGCAGCAGAACAGTGATTGATATCATATGGCTTCTTCAGGTTTCTTCTGGGAATGTATATGGTGTGTATATCTATTTGTCAACTGCATATTGCAAAGTTCAAAGGAAAGGAAAAGAATAAGAGATTGATCGATAACCCTTTTGTTTTCTTTATATTCTGTCTGGTGCTTTTTCTTTTATTATTTTGCAGCTGGTTCGCCCTGATATTATACTACACAACGGAAGTAGAAAAAGAAAGCAGCTCTTCTTTCCAGTCCCACTTCTTACTGAGAAACCAAAATCAAGAAACCAGGAACTACTATAGGAAAGAAAAAAAGCCCATAAAAAAAAACTCAGGCACAGGTTGATTACATATGAAAAGAGAGAATTTGGAAATCCACCGCAAAATTTCAAGTTCAAGGCCACCCGCCGCGGCGCCGGTAGAAAGGGATTTCCCAAAACCCAAATCACTACTGAATCCGCCCTCCGACAAACAAAGGCTCCCCCGAAAACGCTGCGTTTCGTTTATTCCGCAACCTGGATCTGATTCCCTCGGCTGTCGTAAAATATGACGCCGGAGAACTCCGGCAGCTGACACTTCTCCCCTCTTAAAATCGATTTCTGCCACAACCCGCCTTCCCCGAACCCTCCCGTCGCCACCTTCGCCCCGATCTTCCCCTTCTTCTCACACCCTCCTCCGCCGCCTCCGTCGCTGCCGTCCCTCCTCCTGCTGCTCGCGCTCAAGTCCTTGCTGTTCTTCCGATGCGGCGCCCCCGGCGGCGAGATCTTCTCCCTCCTCTTCTCCGCCGCGGGCTGCGGCGGCGGCGGCGGGGGAGTCGAGGAAGGAAGGGGCACCTGAGCACTGACGTCGACCCTAATCTCGTGGGCGTGATCGTCCCCGCCTCTCTTCTTCTGGGTCGCCGACGGATTGATCTTGTTCCGGCTGATTGTCCTGTTCATTAGCTTCTTCGAATTTGTTCTGTCCGTCGTTGAATTCGAATTCGGCTTCTCTTTAGCCGGCTGGTGGGCGCACAATGCCACCAGAGCCACAACCGCCACGAACAACCCGATGGATACCGGCGTGGACGGCCAGGACCCGAACCCGTGACCCGCAACCGTCATCAACCCGTGCTCAATTAGGCGCAGCCGTGCCATATTATCTCCTCTCCCAGGAAACTAAACCGAAAATGGAGGAAACCCAGAAGGCTAACTGAACATAGAAATGTGGATTAGAAATTGTTTGATGACTGATTGATTCTGCTGCGAGGAGCGATTGGAGAGCGAATACTTATATAGTGACTGTGACACATTGACGAACAGAAGATGCCAGGGGGAGATGGCAGAAGGGGCAGAGAACTGGATTTCTTTGGACATGATAATTAGTTTAAAATCTTGACTAACGTTTTGTAGGTAATGGAAGGAGGTGGGATGAATGGAGATGATTAGAAGAATTCCAAAAACACTTGGGAGAATGATCAGTAGTGCCTTGCCTTGCCTTGTTTGTACTAGTACTTGTTTTAAACATATTCTGGAATTTTTTGTGGGTAGTAAGAATTCGGAATATGGGATAGGCAGTAGGGAAATGTACAAAAGAGGATTTTTGCCTTGGAATTAATGTGAATTGTTCATATATATAGATGTATATTTGTGTTTTTTTGTTGAATTCAGTCGATTGGTTCGTACAAACATTATCGATCTTTTGTCAATGTAAACCAATCGACCGCAATTTCTTAAGAATACCGTAACTATGACTACAATCAAACACCTATATTACATAGGAAGTATCCGCGTGAAAGGAGAGTTTTGCCGTAGCCCGTAGGCCTTGAACCACCTTGTTAGTGTGGTCTGAATTATGGCGAGGTTGGCATGGGAGGCGCGACAATGAGCGTTGTACCGCACTTCAAATGTATGGTATGACTCATGTCAACTTCCAGGTGAGATCTCTCGCGTCGTAACTTAAATCATATTAAGTCCAAAGATTCAACATTTGTCGGTACACTCAAAGTGAAGTTTCGTCAATCTTTTTGGTATGTGAAATATAGCTAGTCGAGTTAATCGTATTCTTGTATTAGTTATCACTCTCCTTCGCGGAATAATTCTCTTACTTGTGGAGAGACTTTGGAATATAATTTCTGTGCAGGTACTTTATATAGTTTTGTATGTACTGCATTATGCTTTAGTCGTTGTTAATATGCACAAGTAGGCTCCAAAAATAAGTTTGTCAAAGCTCCTGCTCTGCGTGGTATAATATTTGACTATTTGGATAGAGACGTACGGCGCCTTGTGCTGGGATTTTCTTTCTCCAGTTATGCTGGAAATTGTCTGGTATGCAAGTGGCAGGGAAGAGTTTGAAGGTGTTGGGGTTTCCATTTCCTTTGAGATTTCCAAGTTCGTGCACCATGTGATTTGGATTTACTATGGTAATGGTAGCAGAGGCGGTTAGTGGATTTCATTTTTCTTCTTTCTTTTAAATGTAATGAAAGAACTTATTAAAGAGTAAGTTAGGAATGAATATTTATTAATGATAAATGACGGGAGACACGTAAAAAAGTTATAAGACGATCGCTAAATCGTAAACCACTAATTTTTTCGGCTTATCGCGCTCCGATTTCGAAAATAGAACGCATTTAAAACTCAAGTCAGATCTCTCTCCCCCAACTACTAAAGGCGGCTTTTTATGGTTATATTTACATGCAACCAAATCAATCCAATTTCCATTTCACGTGACAAAGATGGAAATTAAATTTGGAGGTTAATTAATTTATGACATCTTACCAGGATAGTTATGTTTTGGTGGAAGACAAGGGTGCATCAAAACATGCTTGTTTTGGAGCCAATGATGTTGAGAATTGGGTGGCCAATCAATTGGAATTTCCTGATTTGATTTTGCCTTTCAGCTAGCTTTTTGCGTTAGGTAAGTGAAGATTTGGGGAGGATGACATGTGATCATGGTTAATGATCCTGTGTCTAAATACTGCACCTTAATTATATAATGGCGTTTGATTAGCCATAACTCATAAGGGAGAGTGGGGAACTTATACTTGTGTAGAATTGTAAATGCAAAATACATGTGATTTGAAAGTTACGAATATGATTATCAAATAGCTAGGTGTTTCATGAGTGACTGAAACATAGCACAATATAATCTTTAAGGGGTCGTTTGGATTGAGTATTTGATAAACTTGTTGTTTGGGGCCAATTACCACACAAATACCACATAATATAAAACTTGTTATTTGGTATGTGATATTTGGTCTCAAACTTGTTATTTGGGAAATACCTGCCCCTCCCAAGTATTTGGCAAACAACACTTTTTGTGTTATTTGGTCTCAAACCTGTTATTTGGCAAAACACTACATCCAAATAACACATCCCACTTTTTGTCAGCCAAACATGTTATTTGGGGTTAAATAACAGATTTTGTGTTATTTGACCTCAAATAACACCCCCAAATACTCAATCCAAACGACCCCTAAGGATTTTTCAAGAAGTTTTGGCTTATTGTTAAAGTGGATGTATTGGATGCTTTGAATGAGTTTGCCCACTACCGAATCCTCCCGAAAAGTGTCCAACACACTTTTTTGTGTCTCATTCCTAAAAAGGAGGTAATTGGTGATGTTAAGGATCTACGACCCATTAGTTTAGTGTCTAGCCTCTACAAAATTCTCTCAAAGGTGCTAATGGAAAGATTGAGGGTGTTTATGGGTTGTTTGGTTGCTTTAGAACAATGTGCTTTTGTTGGTGGTCATCAAATCCTTGATGCTGCTTTAATTGCCAATGAGTTGATTGATTCTAGAATATGAGGAGGTCGACCAGGATTGGTATTTAAACTGGACATCGAGAAGGCCTATGATCATGTGAACTGGGAATGTCTCTTGTCTATTTTGAAGAGTATGGATTTCCCTCCCAGGTGGATTTCATGGATGTGGGGGTGCATTATGGTGCCCAATTTCTCAGTGTTCGTCAATGGTGAGGCGGCGGGTTTCTTCCCAAGCGAGAGAGGATTAAGGCAAGGTGACTCTCTCTCTCCCCATATCTTTTCATAGTTGTGATGGAGGTGCTTTCCGGTATCCTCAAAACTCTGCAATCCAATGGACTCGTTTAAGGTTTCTTTATGAATGAGGATTTAAGGAACGGGGAGGTCACACATATCCTCTATGCAGATGACACCTTGCTTTTCTGTGATGCTTCAGAGGAGCAAGTTCGATTCCTCCTTACTGCTTTGGCATTGTTTGAAACTATATCGGGTCTAAGGGTGAATTTGCACAAGAGTTCCATGATGGTTGTAGGAGATGTGGAGGACCCACAACGATTTGCAGACATTTTTGGTTGTGAATTAGGTTCCATGCCTACTACATATCTTGGATTACCATTGGGAGCTAGGAAAACTTCCTTGGCTATTTGGGAACCGATGATCGAAAAGGTGCAATAGCGGTTAACATCTTGGAAGGCCAAGTTACTCTCATTTGGTGGAAGGTTAGTTTCTATTAAAAAGTGTTCTCTCCAATCTACCTATCTACTTCCTTTCTATCTTCAAAGCACCAGCCTCAGTGATTGCGAGATTGGAGAAAATTCAAAATGATTTCCTGCGGTCTGGTGTTTTGGAAGTGAAAAGGCTTCACCCGGTGAGATGGGATATTGTGAAAACTTCTATAACTAGGGGAGGCTTGGGTGTTTTGGATCTTAAGATTGTTAACCGCTCCTTGCTTGGGAAATGGGCATGGAGATTTGGGATTGAGAGAGGGGCATGGTGGAGGAAGTTGATTGTAGTGAAGTGTGGACGAGGAGTTTCGGAGTGGAAACCAGTGTGGAACTTGGGATCTTATGGATTTTCTCTATGGCGGGCGATTGTTAACGAGAGCTATTATTACTTTTGGGATGTAGCCTATGTCGATCCAGGGGGTGGGTATGGGATTTCTTTTTGGCATGATGTGTGAATTCCTGGGAAACACCTGATGAGAGATTTTCCAAGGGTTGGCTTCGTTGCCCAATCCTTGGATGCTTTTGTTTCTGACTTATTTTTCTATGGTTGACAGGCCTTATTGGGAGATCCCCCTCACGATCTCTCTTAAACGAGGAGCTGAAGGAGAGCGTGTTCAGTTGATGGAGTTGTTATCTTTGTTGCCATCGAATTGGATATCCATGGGACCGACACGACTAGTTTGGCCTTTGGAGGCCTCCTCTGCCTTTTCGGTTCATTCTTTCACATCTAATCTCATTCATGGTGCATTTGGAGGGGATGTCTTCTATCCTTCCAAATTAGTTTGGATCCCTGCTATTCCCTCCAAAATCTGTTGCTTCGTCTGGATGGCTTCTCTCTCGAAAATCTCTACCATCGACAACTTGAGGAAGAGAGACATGATTCTTACCAACTGGTGTTCTCTATGCAAATCCCAAGAAGAGTCCGTCTCACATCTCTTATCTCATGCTCCTTTTCGGCGACAATTTGGGCCAAATTTACAAAGATATTTCAGTTTCACGGTCCGTTTCTAGCTAATATCAATTGTTTTCTCTCGGCTTGGAGAGGACTGTGGTGTGATCCACAACTCAAGGATTGTGTCAAGTTCTTACCACATGCGGTGTTTTGGTCCATTTGAAACGAGCGAAACAACAGAATTTTCCATGATTTGGAAGCTACACAGTCTGAGGTTTGCAGTAACATTGTTCAGATGGTCGGCAGGTGGCTGCGGGCTTTTGGACTTATCCCTGATGACTATTTTCAGTAGTGGTCAAGGATTGGGGCATGGTGAGTAAATATATGTCATCATTGTATAAAATTTTTTCTTTCTTTTTCTTTTTCTTTTTCCTCTTTCATTTTTGGGTGCTCTTTTCTTTACTTTGAGTGCAAGTTGGTTTTGACTTTTTTGTTTGTATTTGTTTTTCTCTATTTTTGTAGTCTGTTGTCATCTTCTACTTTCTTTTTTCTTTTTTTTTCTTCTTGTTTGTCCCACATTTGTGTGGGTTTTTTTTTTCATTTAGTGGCACTGGATCCTCTTTTCTTTTACTTCGTTTTGGTAATAATACTTGGTCTCGTCATCCATAAAAAAAATGGTACAGAATTATGTTTAGATGCGCGACAACGATAACAAATTTGTACTTCAGTTCAATAGAATTACACACAGTATTTTTCTACTTCGTAGAGGACCAAGAGATGATATTGTGACCTGAGTAGATGAGATAAGTTGTAGTTGAAGTGGAAAAAGGATAATCAAGATCATTTTGATTGGAGTTGTAAGAAGAAATGATTACTCATGGATAACCGCGGATTCCCAAAATATGAACGAGTATTTGCATGATTTATGTGGTAAAATCCGAACTACTTTGGATAGGACAACGAATATACACTATCTGTCCCGACCCGACAGGATGGGATTAGGTGCTAACTCCTTAGCATCTCCATTGGAATTTCATTTAAAATTGTATTATGACATGACATTCATTTGCAATTGCATTATGAAATTGCATTGATGTAGATGACAATTGCATTTTTGCAAGCCACATAATTTTTTTATTGTTAAATTATTCATTAATTTTATTATTGCATATAATACAATTATGGAATGCAAGCCACATAATTTTTTTATTGTTAAATTATTCATTAATTTTATTATTTGAGTGTTTATGTTTTAATAAATTAAATTAAAAAAATTAGTTGCAATTGCAAGTTAATTGCATTGATGTGGTGCAATGCAAGTAGGGCTGTTAATGAACCAAGCCGCTCATGAACGGCTCGGTGTGCGATTCGAGAAAAACTCGTTTGATACTCGATTCGTTTTAATCGAGCCGGCTCGCGAACAAGCTCGTTAACTAAACGAGCCGAACTCAAGCCATACCATGTTCAGCTCGAAAGCTCGCGAACAAGCTCATTTAATGGTTTGGCATAAAAAAAAGAATTAGAATTCATGGATTTTATGTATTGAAATTGGGATAAATATTGTGTTTTACTTTGCTACAGATTTAAATGTAATTTTGTGCGTAGTTCTAGGACAATCTTGAGCTATCATGAACATTTTATGAGCTGAACTTGATTTTGGGCTCGTTAAGCTTATTTGACGAGCCGAGTTCGAGCTTTCATTTTCATAGACGAGCCGAGCTCGAGCTTGAATATTAAAGCTCGTGACGAATACGAGCCGAGCTCGAGCCTGGAAATATATTAACGAGCCGAGCCCGAACTATGGCAAAGCTCGGCTCGACTCGGCTCATTAACAGCCCTAAATGCAAGTAAGATGAGTTGGATTGCAAAAAAAAAAAAAAAAGAAATAACAATAAAAAACAAATGCAATTGCACCAATGGAGATGCTCTAAGGGCTTAGTACCATGCTAATTAAGTTTTCCACCGTTAGATGTAGTTTTAATCAATAGGTTACAATTTTGAAAAGGTCAATTATGTCAAAAAAAAATTCACACCCCACAAACCCTAATATATATTTGTTTTTGTGGTCGCCTACTTCTAAAACCGTTCCTCTCCACTCACCTTTCAAAAAGCCCCCAAGTTCCCAACTAGATTCTCTCTTTCTTCTTCAGGAGCGGCCTCATCACAGGTTGTCGATGGCAATTAGGGGTATACATGGGTCAGGTGGTTCGGGTTTGGTCATTTTAATCACCTGACTCATATACTACGGTTTTGAAAATGTTAAATCCAACCCACCCAAAAAAATTAAAACCCTACTGTTTGTTTATAATTGGGTTGGGTTGGGTTGGAGATATTTTTAATTAAATATCCAACCCAACACAAAAAGACAACTATTATAAACTACAAAAATATTATATAAATAATTAAGATTTTAAACAAATAAATTGAGGCAAAAAGTTTCAATATGCATAAATATTGTTTGGATTTTAATGAAATGCAATTTATTTCAACGATTTTAATGAAATATTGTACAAAGGAAAACCCTCACCCAACTTTAAACTTTAATTTTGACAATAAATATGGGTGGGTTGGGTCGTTTTGGACGGGTGGGTCGGTTTGCGGGTTGTTTTGTTCACCCCTAATGGTGATGGAGGAGGGCAGGCGCCAAGGGCATCGATAGCGATTCAGGTTGCATGCAGCGAGGGCGTCGATGGTGATGGATTCGACATAGGAAGTGTCAGATCTGGAGACTCGCTTTGATCTCCTGTGGCGACATGGTCTCGTCGACGACGATGGACGAGGTGAGCGGCGGCGACAACGACAACTTGTGATATGAGGGTGGCTGTCGGATTCACCGTATTGGAAGTCGACCACCGTCTCACCGTTACCGCCAATGGCGATCTGGAGCATTGACGAGCAGCTCTAGGTCCATATCTATTGAATGATAACATAGATATGTGTTCCTCCATTGACGATGAGGCAAAATAGTGGTGGAAGCCAGATTCGTTGCACTCCACAACATCATCGGAGTAAGACTTCTTCTTTTTTTTGTAGAAACAAGAGTGCAGAGGGGGGCTCCAACCCTTAAATATTAATCATACGCTGGGTCTGAATCCCAATGGCGTCAAAGTACAACCAGCAGTCGAGCATAGGACTCGGTTTATCCACAAACCGGATCCCAACAGGAAAAGAATGACCAATCGAGGCCAGATAATCTGCTACATAATTTCGCTCCCGAAAAACATGCGTTAACTGAACTTCCCACTCACGAGCCAGCAATTGTAGCACCGAGGCGACTAACGTATGATGAGGATGGTTAGACGTTTCACCATTAATGAGTCTGATAGCTGTGTCGAGTCAGTTTGCACCTAAAGCTTCCGAATCCCTGCGTCCCAAGTCATACGGAGGCCATGAAAGATCACAGCCAATTCCGCATGTGTGATCGAGCCACCACCGAGGTTGGCCGTAAAAACCTCTCAAGAACCGCCCATCCTGGCCGCGCAAGACTCCACCTGTTGTGAGCTGTCGTGACCTATGCTTACAGAACCATCTGTATTCAAACAAGTCCACTCTTGCGGGGGTTGTTCCCAACCAATCATCATGTCCATTTGTGTCATAGCCTTCCCAAAGACCCGCCCGACCCTCCTAGATGAATCGTCCACCTGCGCTCGCATTTGTTGGATCTGGTATGCTTTCTGATTGCAAGAGGAGTGTTTTGATTTGATTGGTAGTGATTTGTGGTAGTGTTTTCATTATTTGTAGTAGTGATTTTTTAGTGTAATAAGCATTTGATTTCTTGTTAGCCAGAAGTAGCGTTTTGTGGAGTATTAGTAGTTTCTTTTTTTTTTTTCTTCATTTGCGATAATTTTTTCATTCTTTTCAATAATGTTTCTTAATAAACATTAAAAGGATCACGCCATGCAACCCTCAAACATTAAGTTCCAAAACAGCATTCGAAACCAACTGCAACATTAATAGCAGCAATATGGGCATAAAATCTGCTCAATGTACGACCCAAACTTTCACGGGGAAATGTAGAAATGAACAGCCCGTTTTTCAGCGAAAGCAAGCTGTAAACTTAACCACCACCACCACTTTGCATTAAATAAAAAGCCTGTGTGGCTAAATGAATCGTCATTAATACTGTAATTTATTTATTGTATGGTTGCAGTTCCCCATTTATATGCCGTGCCGTCACAGCTACTCATGTCCCCTTCCAACCCCAAACAATGAGATCCAATAATCACACCATTCTCACGAGATCCCAAAATAAACTCCACCTAATTAAAAATAAACCCTACCAAAACTTTTGTATTCATGAAAAAATATCCATAAAATTTTTACAAAGCTTAGCTCTTACAAAAATTATACGTAAAATCTTCTCTCTAATCTCTATTATCTACTAATCATGAAAACCAAGGAAAATATTTAGAGCTGGAGAATCAGATATAGGAACAGTAACTATACTACTAGGAAACATGTATCATTCAAGTTGTAATCATGAAAGCTGGCTACCTCTCCCACATTAATTAAATGTCCCTCAAGATACCATGATTAACATTTGGTGAAGATGATCATCATGAGGCATTCATAATAGTAGTAACTTTGGCACCAGAGGCAAAAGATAACAATGGCAGAGAGATTAATTAATTAAAGAGCGCCATCATCATGTAATTTGCTTCAATATCCAACCTTAATTTGGACGACCCATAAGAACTATCATCATCATGATCAATGGTGCAATGGGTTTGGACCCGTAGGAACCAGCCGCTTGTCCACGCCATATCTAGGATCGATCTCCGGCGGACTCGACCCACCACCTCGCCGGTGATGATGATGATGATGAGCTGATGACTTTCGAAACCGAGAGAAGTCGAATTTGCTGGCCAGGACTTTCCTGTGCTTCACCACCGCATCACCATGATTCTGCCGCCGGGGTGCGGTTGATGAAGGGTTGGAGTTGATGACCATGTGTCTCTTGAAGCCGTACAATCCATGGAAGAGAAGGAAGACAAGGGAGAGCCAGAGGAGAAGCAAGAAGACCATGGCTGGCAGTTTCAATGCGGCCATGGAGGAACAACAAGAGCAAGAAGTGGCGGAGAAGGGTTGTTAAGGGAATTGGAGGAAGCATGGAGCAAGAGAAAATGGTGGGAGAGGGAAGAGAAGTAGTGTAGAGAGAAGAGGGTGGTGGGGAAGAGCTAGCTAGTAGTTTTTTTGTTGGGGAAAACGAGAGTTTCGATGATGGAAGGTGCAGTTTGTTTAGTGAGATTAGGTTTGATAGATAGAGAGCTTGAATCTAGCTAATGTGTTGTGTAGTCTTCTTCTAACTTGTGTTGTGTGTGTGTGTGTTGAAGGAAGAAGGGTTACTTACGTTCCCTTTTTTGGGGGCTTCTTGCTGTTCATGATCATGTGGAGATTCGGCAATTACGGGCGCGATCTCCATTATTAATTATGAACTTCTTCGAGATTTTGTGGAAAGAGAGAAGAAAGAGATATTAAAAGAGGTCAAATAGTGAGGAAATGGGGGTTACGGTGTATTGTTATTGGTACAAGCGAGCTAAGCCCTTTTCCCAATAGATGGTTGCTTAAAAATCAAGGAATTGGGGGAGAAAAAAGGGATCATTATGGAGGGTTTTTGTCAAACTTGGAATTATTCCACACTTTGATTATGTTTATGTTGTATTTATTTATTATTAATGGTATTGTATATCTAGCTACATGATTTTTCCCCCCTAAGGAATAAGTACAATGATCAATGACATCCATGATACTAGGTAAGGGTTACGAAAAAACGATACTAGGTAGGGTTGGCTATTTGGTTCTGGACAGTATAACTCGGATCGGGACCGGACTGGGACCGGATAGCAAACAATGCAATCTCATATTCGGGCTTAGATTTAAGATTAAAAAACCGGATAAAGACCGGATAAGAGACCACCAACACCTAAAATCAAGATAAAATTGGGACAGGACCGGGTCAAGACCAGACCGGATCAAGACCGGACTGTATCCAATCCAATCTTTGGTCCTTATATTCCCGAAAAGACCGGACTGGAACCGGATCAATTTGGTCCAATTTAACCGGACCGGACCATATAGCCACCCCTAATACCAGGTAAGGGAAGGTTTATAAGGCATGGCCTCAATAAGAAAGATAATGGTTCTATCACAATTGACAATTAGCTTACATTTTCTATATCAAGTATAAAGTATGCGTCCCAGAAAATCTGTCGCGCTTAATTAGCTTCTGTGCATGTAGATCTCCAAAACGAAACGAAGTATTTCTAGAAGATTTCAAAATGTTTTTCTTACAAAGTGAATTAATCTTGAGCATGACATCCAGTAAACTGTACGCGATTAATGTCAAATATAATTTATTTATCGAATACTATATTGTCGCCATTTCTATGGTTGATTGTTTCCAAGTCGGGGTAATTTTATTAGTTAAGTTCATAGTTGAATTGTGTATATCCCGCGTTGTACACGGTTGTTACACTCTTGGAGTGGAGTTCAAACAAGCTAGCCGCTGGTCAATTAATAATTAAACACGAAAGGAGGTGGTGGAATAATGTGCAATCCACAATTTCTGTGAGCAAAAGCAAAGGTTCGTTGGGGCGGTGGCGTATTAATGTAAAGATCATGAGGAGTATATAATGTGGGACAAAGAAATATGCATAACCGGTTTAAAAAATTCAGTGTGAAAAAAAAAAAAAAAGTTACAAGTTGTAAGTGTATGAATGAAAGACGGTCAAATGAAAAAAAAAAAAATTTGAAAGACGGTCAATAATGATTTGCACGGGTGCGTCATTATTATAAGAGAACTGTTGTAACATTTCGAAATGGCTACTTCATTAATTGGAATAAAAAAAATGATTTAAATTTTACGGTGATCATGTGGGGTTGAATTTGTAAAAGGTTTAATTCACCCGCATAGTCATAACTTTTATGGTTTTGACAAATATAGCCACTTTTTGAATAATACACAGATGTAGCCATTTTCGTCCAATTCTTTGACGGTTCACTTAACTCGCTGACTGGACTAACGGTCGCGGCTGATGTGGCGTGTTTTCTTTTGCGTCTTTGCCACGTGGAAAACAATTTTTTTTTAATAAGAAAGTAAAACGACAAAGAAGAAGACGAAAAGGGGATTCAAATCACTTTCCTCTTTTTCGTTCATCTTTTCCCAAAAAACTCACCTCCTTTTCTCTCGACTGACCCCAATTGTTCGCGATCGTCGACAAAAGGAAGCCATGCATTCGGCCGGCGAGTAGCATCTGACGGTCTTTCTTTGGACGGCGGTACGGACTTCGGCAGTTTGGCTGACGGCGGCTAAGAAAACTCGGCGGAGGAACCTAAATCTCGCGTTGCTAAGAAACCCTAAATCGTGCGATTGGTGAGTCCTTGTGAACTGCTCTGGTTTTCTGCTCTGGTTTTCTTCTTTTGACAGTTTGAATGAATGAAGTGGGTGTTGTGTATTTATAGGTTCAAAGGTGGAAAGCGACATTCCCAACTTCTTCGAGGGACCAGCAGAAGTTTTTTTTCTCCACAAGATTGCCCCTGAAAAAGACGGTAAACACATAGAACCTCTAGTTATAATCGTCATTTACTATAAAAGCTTCCACTTCTCGTGCTTCTCTTTGGCTGTATGTGGAGTTCCCCAATTTGTTTATTCGCTTCTTGGATGTGTGTGTCTGACTTGTTTATTAGAGATTAATCATTAATTAGTAGATTAATGGAATAAACAATGAATTTATGCAGAGAGATGGCAGATTCGTGGGAGGAAGGGAATGGTGAGAATGTCACAAACCAGCAAGGGGAAGAGGATGATTTTATGTCTGTAGAAGATGGGGTAGCAGCTTCTGTTGCAAAGGAGGTGTACCACGTGTATGATTCGGATGATGCCGATACTTCGGATGATGAATATCACGAAGCACGTGATAACTTACGAGCATATGGCGAGACGAGGAAGAGGAGAAAGGTGCAGTCAAAGCGTGCTGCTGATGGGGAAGCGGAGCAATTGGATGAATTTGAAGATGTTGAGGTTGAAAGTGGAGAGGAAGAGGAAGCAGAGAATGATAATGGTGAACATGGAGAGGATGCAGGGGGAGAGGAACCGAGGAATGAGGCTTCAAATCATTCTATATCCAATCATCCTCCCCCTGTTCAAGAACAAGCCGTTGGTGAGAATTCCAATGACTCGTTTTACAGATTGTCTGAAGATTCGGATCATGTTCGTCCGAACTTATCTGATGAAGAGGCTAGGGAAATGTACGATGATGCTCCACACTATGATCCAAAATGTGATCATAAGATCTTCCAATTTGTGTGTCGGATGAAGTTTGAGAGTGCAGAGCAATTCAAGGAGGCTGTTGTTAGACATTCTGTCGCAGCTGGTGCAAGTCTGAGGTGGACTAGGACTAACCCTAATAGGAGGGAGGTGAAATGTAAGGCTCTGAATTGTAAGTGGAAGTTGTATGCCAGTTGGTTCAGATAATGGCCGAGGTTAAGCTGAAACATAATATGGAGGTTAAGTACAGAACTTGTTATAGGGCTAAAGTGGAGGCTATCAAACTGCTTAGTGGTTCATTGATTGATGAGTACATTAAGCTCAGAAGTTATATGGCTGAATTGAAGAAACGAGATCGAGAAGGGCATTTCATCTTGGAGGTAGACCCGCATCCTAATGGCGACAAGGTTTTCTTTCAACGTATGTACATCGGTTTCTCAAGTTTGAGAAAGGGATTTCTCGATGGATGCAGACCAATGATTGCGTTGGATGGATGTCTTCTGAAAGGAGAGGTTAAAGGGATGATACTGACAGCAGTTGGGAAAGATGGAAACAATCAAATGTTTCCTATATGTTGGGCTGTGGTAGAAGGTGAAAACACCAACTCTTGGTGTTGGTTAGTGCAAGCATTAGCTGAAGACCTAAATCTAGTTGGCGGAAGGGGATGGACTATTATTTCTGATCAACAGAAGGTAACGACCAATGCTTGACTTTATTGCTGTCCTTATTCCTTTCCACTTATGACTATATTGCTGACTTTATTCCCAACTCACATTGCAGGGTTTAGTTGAGACAATCCACAGCATTCTGCCCGATGCTGAGCATAGGAAATGTGCAAGACATGTATATGCCAACTGGAAGGCCAAGAACAAAACAGATCGGGTTATGAAGCTGTTTTGGTTTGCCATTTATGCTTGCAACGAAGTCCATTGGAACCATTATACAGCTGAAATGGAGGCAATTGAAAAGTCAGGTGATGGTTCTACCCCATATACAGACTTTATGGCTGCTGAACCTCGTCGTTTCTATCGTGCCTTTTTATCATGTTATTCGAAATGTGACTCGGTTGAGAGCAATGTATGTGAGACATGGAATGGTTGTATTGTTAAATATAGGGGTTTTAGAATTGTAGACATGCTGGAGGGTATAAGGCAGTACATGATGGATAGGGTAGTGCTTAAGTCAGAAATGTTTGCCAAGTGTACAGACACATTGCCTCCAAGGATTAGGAAACGAGTTGAAAGGGAAAAAGAAGAGGCCAGGTTATGTGTAGCTAAGCAAACTCTCGATGCAAGGAGTGAAGTAAAGAAGGGGGGTGAAGGATTTATAGTGGATCTGACCGAATGTAGTTGCTCTTGTGGTTACTGGCAACTTAGTGGCATTCCATGGTGCCACGCGGTTTCAGATATTAGCCATCTAAGAAGGTAAGTTGATGATTATGTGAATTCATACTGTCATGTGTACATGGCTAGTTTCACATACAACTATGGGATACCTTGCCTGGATGGTAGGCAAGCATGGCCTGCACTTGAGGGAACACCTGTTCATCCTCCCAAAATTAGATCAATGCTTGGCAGGCCGAAAAAGAAAAGAAGAAGGAGTGAAAATGAGGTGGAGGAGACCAGGGCACAAAGAAACGGGGTTGGTGAAGAGGTTGCAAGGAGAGGTAATCTCATCCACTGCTCCAAGTGTGGCGGCGAGGGGCACAATGCCAGATCTTGCAAGGCACCCCCTGTTGCTGAAGTTGTGGTGGTAAGATTCTTGTTAATTACTCTTTCTTGGATTGACTATGTGGTGTGATTTAAATGTTTGCTCCTTGGCAGGAGAGAAGTACACAGAGGAATGCTCAGCCACCTGCCACGCGAGAAACAAATGCTCAGCCAATAGGCCAGGATACTAGAAGGAAGAGGGTTATTCATTGTTCCAAATGTCAAAGTTCTACACACAACTGACAGAAGAACAATTGAGAGGGAATTGCGAGGGATGTGATACTCAATGTGGCTGACAGAAGAACAATCGAGAGGGAATTGCGAATTGCAACATCTAGAGTTGGCGTTTATGTTAATGAAAGGACAGGGAACCAGTATGTTAGCGTGTGTTTCCAACCTGTCTTCTAGTTGTAATAAGTCGATTTAATGTATTTGAATTGATTACTAATATGTTTGTTACTCATTTCAGCTTAACGGAGCTGCTGGGAGGCCAGTTCGTGGACCTCAGCCAACTGTCGTGGACCTGCATGGAAGTCATCCACCACCTAGTCAGCCTTAGACTTAGGCAGAATATATTAGACTTAAGTCATCTTTTGTGTAATGTCGATAGTAGACACTTATGTGCACGTTGCTATATAACGACGGTTACATGACTCAGGAAGCAGTTCTTAGCATATTGGTAGCAAGTTATTTTATGCAAATGAGCACACTTTTAGCTATTGCAGACAGCTTGTTAGCTGCAGGTGTATGATGTACTCTATTGAACGCCTTTTTGATGTGCACTTGCTTAATATATGTGTATGAACAAAACAAAGACTATGTTGCTTTAAGGAAATAGAGAGACCACATGTTACATTAATAAGTTAAGATCCTTACATTTAAAGCTTGCATACATTTGCCTAAGCTTACACAGAATGCCAACAACTACATACCAGATTCTGGCCTCCAAATAAGAACAACCAAAATAGCATTCATAAACACAACACCAATCAACAGATATCGAATGATACGGACATCATCATCCAATCTCCTAACACGCATTGCCATAACCTCATGAGCAAGCATCAATCTGCTTAGTTCTTTGGCCATCAATTCTTTTTCCTTCTTTTCTGCTAGCATCAGACTCTCTTCCAGATTCTGAATAGAACCCATTTCATTAGTCCATGAGCCAGTTTCATCATCGTTTGATTCCACCCACCGAAAAAAACGACAATTTTTTTTCCTATCATGCAGCAAAATAATAAGCATGACTGTCGATACTGTAGGTAAAAACCAATTGGGTCACACAAAGAATGTATTGCTTACCTTCCAATAAGGACAACCGTAGAATTGCCGCCCTGGGTTCGTAGAAGTACCCCGAAGTTTTAAGAACACATGGGACGTTGTGCTCGCATCGAACGACACTCCTACTATTGGTGCTTGCTGATCCGGAATCGACAACATTAAAATCCACCTTCTTTCCACACCTATTCGACATGGATTCAACTATCGGAAATGGAGATGAAGGAACGGCTGGGATATTGGTGTATTTAGGCGAAAATGGAAAAAGGGATAACAACAGGGGACGGTAGCAGAGGCGGTGAAGGGGAGGCGATATGGGTATGCTGAGAAGGAGGCGTCGAAGGCAGAGAGTTAGGGTAGAGAGGAGGTCTCGACGGAAGGGATTGAAGATGGCGGAAGGGATTGAAGATGGAAGGAAGAAGGGATTGAAAATGAGTCTATGCTCTATGAACCCTAGAAAATAAGAGAGGAAGGGGATAAAAACGATGACTATGAAGGAGAGAGAGAGTTAAATAAAAAAAATTCTTTTTTTATAGGAAAATAATTTTTTTTTACGATGTGGCGTCCACGTGGCTAACTCCATCCGGTTGGCGATGACGTGTCATCCATTTGGCAGACATATCAGCAAAACGTCCACTTAACTCACGGAGACGTTAACACCGTCAAATGATTTAAGGAAAATGGCTAGATTAGTCCACAATGTTTGAAAAGTGTGGCTACATCTGTGTATTATTCAAAAAGTGGCTATATTTGTCAAAACCGTGAAAGTTATGGCTACGCGGGTGAATTAAATCTTTGTAAACAGAATGCATTTTAGCAGTAAGAAATGGTTGAACCAAAGTTCAACCACAATTTTGGTACAAAATATCTTGCAGTTTAATTTCTGGTACGTTTTCTCAGTCATTAATACCATTACCAATACAACTAGTAATACAAAAATAATATAAGTACCCAAAACCAGAAACATAAAGGGGTCGTTTGGAGAATATGAGTTTAAATCTACAGATTGTCAACAATCTAACGATTCTAACTCTCTAGATTGTTGAAAACAGATTTTAAAATGTTTATTGTTTGGTAACTGTGATTGTTAACATTCAATTAAAATTTTAATTTTAATTTTATATTAAATAAAATGTTTATCCTAAATAAAAAAATTAGAGTGGTTCAATAAATATTAAATTTTTTTTTGATAAATATATTTCATGTGATAAATAAATAAAAGTAAGAGAAAAACTAGTAGAAAAAAATGTCACGAATCAAGATATAGAATCTCTCTGATTATGAGAGATTTGAAATCTCTAAAGCTAGAATCCACAGTACAAAAAGCATAAAAAAAACATAAGTTTCTACAAAATCTATGGATTCAGTGAATCTACGTCCTGAATCCTGTTTTCCAAACGACCCAAAAACCAATATTACTACTGCACTAAAGAAAAATCAGTACCACTACAAAAACAAACCAATGCCAGGTAAAATGAAAAAGAATGCTAGTTGTACGAGAAACAAGGTTAAGTGATCAGCCCAGGCAATGGCCCAAAGAAGCTAATCAGGATTCAGGATAACTCACGGGCAAGTTGGTCAAATTTAGCCCAAACATAATTTATTCCGCAACATTGGACAAATACCGACTAAGTCCAGACTCCAAAGCCATATTGCGACGACGTCGCATTGATCAATATATAAACGGTGAAATCCGACTGTTTTCCCCGTTGTCCAAACGACCAACTAACTTCCCGTGGAATTGAATTGAGTACTCGACGATCAAAAACAGGCCTCAGGGAGGACAAGCTGTTTCTCCAATCTCCAGAAGGGAAAAAGGGGCCTTCCTTCCCACTTCCCAGAACGCGATTCTGATATCAAACAGAAGAATCGAAGATGGTACGCTCATCTCTACATCCTTCAATCTTAGACTTTCAATCCGATGTACTGATTGCATCTTTTAATTTGCAAGTATCTGTTCTTGGCATTCAAAGTTGGCGCAGATCGTAGTGTTAGGGTTTTTATTTGCTTCCAGTCTTTATGGGATCCTTCAGTACTGTTTGATTGGAATTATTGACCTTTGCTATGTGATCTAGATCATATTTCGTGTCGATAGGTCGTTAATTTTGCTCCGCTTGAAGCAGCAGATTGTGGGTTCGATATGGTACTCTTTGCTTGAAGTCATAGATGACTGCTAATTATGAATATTAGGAAGAGGTTTTATGTCTTTTAAATTGAGCCTGTAAGCTCCAAAACCCATATTATACTTACCCTTGCTTGGCTTTGATTTTCTTCTGTATGCTAATTCCAACTGTTCTGTTCTGGATCATTGCAGTCTACCCTTGCAGCTGCGAGAGCAGACAACTTTTACTACCCGCCAGAATGGTCGCCCAAAAAGGTGTATATACAAATTAATTCTCGAGTCTCTTGTTTTGTTGATTTGCTTACTTTTATTCTCTGTTTTGAGTGAAGTCTCATATTGCCGTTTCTATTCAGGGTTCCTTGAACAAGTTCAACGGACAACATGCTTTGAGGGAGAGAGCGAGAAAAATAGACCAGGGCATTCTGATAATAAGGTGAGTGATCAATTGCATTTTGTTGTGACTGAAAGATATATTTTAGTTGTCTGCTGAGCGTAACAAGGATCTTGTGACTTGTGCTGGACAAATGTAGATGTTGGAATGTCAGTGTCACACATTATTTAATGATATGGTTGGCTAATGCTGCGACTGCAGCTCCTCTGTTAACAGCAACCTTCTTACATAGATACTGTCCATTCACGCTATGAGATATGGCCTTGAATGCAGCAAAACCTAGCTGAGAGATTGATTAACTACTTAACCATCTAAAGCTACTACGTTTTTCAACTGCCAATATGCCCTTAAACTAATATCCATCTTCTCTTTCAGGTTCGAGATGCCTTTCAATATATGGTGTGGTGGTTGCAATTCTATGATTGCGAAGGGTGTTCGGTTTAATGCAGAGAAGAAACAAGTGGGAAACTACTATTCTACCAAGGTAACATCCATAGCTTATTTTGGATTCTCCTATTAGATTAACTTGCAAATCCGCAATTTTAGAAGAGGTTGTCCCATTTCCTAGTTGGAGGTTTCTCTATGTGACTGCAGGAGTCGGCCAAAACCCTCTCTTTCAAGTTTCCATATAAATTACCATGGCCCTTCAACTTATCTATAAATTTTGATTTTTACAAATTAGATTGGAAATTTGCAGCGTAGTGGTTTTTGTGCTATCAAATGATTCATCTTATCTCTTGTTGGCAGTTGCTCCTAATCACAATATTTTTTTCTCTGGCTTACAGATATGGAGCTTTTCCATGAAAGCTGCATGCTGCAAACAAGAAATAGTGATTCAAACAGATCCAAAAAATTGTGAATATGTCATCATTAGTGGGGCTCAGAAAAAGGTGGAGGATTTCGACAATGAAGATGCAGAGACACTTTTACTTCCAGCTGATGAAGGTAGGTTCTCTAGTCCCGCCTTTGAAATGTATGTCACTACTATGGAGTCTAGACCACCACTTCCAAGCTAAATGTGGAAACATTCTCAATCTGTGTTTATATGCACTCATTTTATTGATATATTCTATTTTTTTCTTTCGAATATATCTATTGTTTTCTTTCAAATCGGTCTTAACTGGGGTTGTTTCTTGTGCAGAAAAGGGAAAACTTTCAGATCCATTTTATCGACTGGAACACCAAGAAGAGGACTTGAAGAAGAAGAAAGAAGCAGAGCCAGTTCTAGTGAGACTGCAGAGGGTATCTGATGATAGGCATTCAGACGATTATGCCCTCAACAAGGCCCTCCGTGCCCGCCTCAGAGGCCAGAAGAAGCGAGTTGCAGAAGAAGAGAGCACTGCAAGGAAAAGGGGGTTTGGGATGCGGCTGCTCCCAAGCAGCAAAGAAGATGCAGCTGCTGCAGCCAAAGTCAAATTCGCTGGCAAGTTTGAGAGGAACAGGAAGGACAAGCGAGCACTGATACACGCCACTTCTATATTTCCGGAGTCAGCTGTGTCTAGTAAAAAGCATCTGGAGCTGGAAGCAAAGAGGAGGAGGATAAGCGCAGCAGCAGCAAACAACTTGCTGACGGGCGGATTCAAGTCTTCTTCGTGGTCGCAGAGTGCCGCTGCGCCTTTAAGGAGGTCCAAGTGAGATTAGCGGATTGACAGTTGCTTTTCTTGCGTGGTGTTGTCCCTGGGAAGGAGGTCGGGGATTGTAAATAGTGAAATTGTTTTCTGCCTTCTTCGTGCTGTTTTGCGTTTGTTGGTGAGCTGATTGCAATGAGTTTGTAGCGCCTGTTGTTGGCTGTTGTAACTTTTGCAAGATTCGTTGTTATGTTTGATGTCAAAGCTGAAGCTGTTATGGACTGTTTCTGCTAGTGTGTAAACATGGCAAACTACAAATATTTCGACATTTACGAATTTCAACTGCTCAAGATTTCGGATTATCATCGAAATTCATAGCCTTAAGCTCTACCACATCACAAGAAACAAAGAAATAAAGCAGGATATGTATACAAGGTTTGGTTCGGCAGCTAACAACCGCTGAACTAAGTGAATGGGCCTAAATTTGGCCCAGGAAAGTCCCCGGATCACTATTTGCAGAGATGCAGCCCTGGAAACCAGGGGCACTTTCGGCCCGTTGGACGAGGGCAGAGACAAGTGTGGAGCCCAATGACTTCAATGGCTAAAGTAATTGGTCGATTGTACAGTTATTCACTTGGCTTGATTTGAGCTAACTGAACGGGGCTTATGATTCAGCGGTCCCTTTCTTTTGCGGATTAAACCCACAAAAAGTATATTAAAAGTAATCCCTAAACTCATTAATTGATCTAATTTTAATTCACATACCTAAAAAAAGGTTTTAGAAGACAAACTTATATAGTTTTGTCACGTCCAATTTCGTAATCACAAGTTTGCATATGACTAAGGTATATGTATAGACCTTTCGTCCTTCCTATGATCCAAATCTGCATAGGACTTCGACGACAGCCACAACTATATTGATTATTTAAACTATATCATTTTGTTCTTTTTCTTTTGGAGCTGGCTAACATTTTGTTCTTTTTTTTTTGCTTCTTCGTGTTTTTCTTTTCCCTTTTTTTTTCTCGAGACATGTTTGGATTTGCTCGTTTTATGGGTTTTGATTTTGGGTTTCGTTTTCATTTCTTTTTATTGTTCTCACGTTGGATCCCCTTCATTTTTTTCCCTTTGTCTTTGTCTGTCAGTTTCTTTGCCATTTTTTGGCAAATCTCCATTCATTTTTGCAATAAAAGTTTCGCATCATCATTTATAAAAATAAAAAAACTATATCATTTTGCAATAAAAGTTTCGCAACAAATATCAAATGTATAGAACTCACAATTCCGAACCTCGTATTCAACAACTTCATAGAAAATCGAAACTTCATATTCGAAGTCCAATGATGCCACCGTGTTTAATTAGGTTTTCTTTCCCATTTCTTTTGCTCACACTCACTGGTTGCATGAACCAAATCCTCCTCGACTGCTCAAAAAACCGTGCAACGGATTTAGCCCCGGCCCGGGCGCTAGCTGTTTAAGAAACAGAGGACTCCTCGGCTTCCCTGCAATGACATTAACTAGTGTACCGTGTACATGAACGTTTCCATGCAATTGCAACCTTACTCCATCGTCTACCCGTCTCTATATAAATACTACTGAATCCTAGCAATTTCATAACCAAAACCAAGCTCTCACACTAGGGCAAAACGTACAGAGAGAAAGAGATACTATACAAGTCTATAACTAAGGTTTTGGAAAGATGCGAAGGAGTAGTGGTAATTGCTTCTCAAGGCCTGCTATGGCTACTCCCAAGGTGGAAAATGTGGTGAAGCTGCAGGAACAAGAGCGCAAATCTGCTTTTGCCGTGGGTAGTAGTACCAAGCAAGAAGCTGCCGTGGCCGCTGCTGCAGGTGGTCCGGCGACGGCCACAACCCCTGTTGTGAACATCAAGCAAGAGACCAGGAATGTGGCAGCTGCTCCGGTGTACCAACGTTGCATCGGCGGTTGATGTCACTGCAAAGGCAGAGAATCAGGGAGGGGATGTGGTTGTTAATAATTAGTAATAAATGAAATGGGGGGAATGCTGCTTGCTTTTAGTTGTTTTTATTTGGCTATATCTTTGGTTTGGTGCTTAATTTTACGAAGACAATGAATAATATCAAATATGGTTTGAACTTGTAACGTTGCATCGGTGGTCGGTGATAATTGTCGAAAACATATTTATTGTGGGTGCATAATGTGATTATTACATGACGTGTGTTTTAGGGCCAACAAACTTTAGAATGGTTATAAAGCCATTACCACCTTGTGTTAGAATTATGATATATTTTAGGTGGAGAAACAATAAACGATTGATGCGCAAGCAAAATACCACATGACTGGCCACCAATATAATGATTTCTAGTTAATTAGGTTATTAGCGACAGTGAGACCCTAATAACTGAATCTATTTCATGTGACATAGTAACTTATCGAAGCGACTCGGGCTCCAGTCCTTCGATTCAAGCGAGCTCTTATAGAACGATCCTGGTCTGCCATGATGACAGGCTCGATGTCGCGCGGTGGTGGTATATGGATGACAGGTAATGAAGCCTGCCTTCTCTGTTGATGATTATGGGTTAGGGAAGGCCTAGGAGTTGTGGTTGGCTTCTTCCCTAACTTGACATGCTTCCTGTTCTGTCGGCAAGTCTTCTCTATCTCCGGATCTAGTGGCAGTAAATCGTCTGTCGTCCTCCTAGGCATGCACAAAAAGGATAAACCTGAAAATTCACCTGCACACTAGCACACGAATTAAAACAGTTCACTCAAATCATTTTCACTTATAGTTTGCTCCATAGAATTGATAGAATGTAAGGGTGTAATGTGAATTAATTTGGATATGATAGGTAGTGAGTCCCGGTGTTTCTCCCAGAGCTTTCTCCCATTGATTTCAGTCGAAATAGGTTTGCACGGGCAGAGGCAAGCCAAAAATATACAAGATGAAAATGAGAAGAAAAGAAGAGAAAAATATGTACATTACCCTTTTAGGTTTTGTGACGAATATATCAGAGGTAGAGTCAGGCTCAAACCCTCCATTTGAAAGGGAAATTTGGTCTTTGTATTGTTTGTACCCAGTGGTCAAAAAGTTTGGAAAAACACTTAGGGGTCGTCTGGATAGTTCATCATGCACAAAAATTATTATCAGAACCTCTCTTATTCATCAATTAACTCACATGCAGTCAGTTTTTCCAGTGACCTAGAAAGGTTGAGCGTTGGAGAAAGCTGAAACAAGTGGATTGTCACCCGTCTTCTGCAAATTTCTCAACCCTGTTTATGTCGAGCTTCTGTCTTTCTGGGTTCGACTTTTGTACAACAGCGATTCACACGAAGAGGAGGAATATGTATTGATAACGTGAATCAGGCGCTCCACTTCAGAAGCCCAAAACTCAGCTCAACAGCGTTGGAGAAACCCCTTTCCTCATCTCTGCTGGCGATGAGTCATCTCTTTAAGGCGGCGGCGCGCTTCGAGACTCGCCCGTCAACAAAAAGATGTCGGAGACTCACCATCGAAGCTTAGATCGTGAGCAAAAAGGGAAGAGAAGACTGTCGATTTTGTGAATCGCCATTGTTGCTCGTCTGCAGAGATACGGGAAATAGAAAAAGAGAAGACGATTCTTAAAAAAAAAAAAAGAGAAGATGAAGGGTGTCATTGAAGACTGAAGAGAAAGAAATTTGTGATGTGTAGTTGAAGAATCAGTAAATGGATTTTTGGAATTGAGGTTTAATCTTTCTTAGATTCGCGAGAGAGAGGGAGAGAGAGAAAGGGGGGAGAAGAAAGGAAGGAAAGAAGAAAGTTTTCGTGATTAGTTTCAGCAGAGGGAGAGAGAGGGGCAGGAAAGAAAATAAGAAAGGAAAAAGGAAACGAAAAATGAGTCAATTCTCAAAACCTCCCTCCTACCCAGGTAATTGCAATTGACCCAAAATGAAGCAATCTATATTTTCCCATACAAAATTGGTTCATTTCATTTTTTGGTGGCCAAAGTGCCAATGTAGTACAATTGCTTCATTTGAGACAATTAAACATAATTGCCTCACCAGAAAGTTCCAACCAAACGACCCCTTAGCTACCCACCTACCTCCTGCATGCCTCAAACATCTACGAACAATCTTTGTATTCTTTTCAATGGTAAGGAGAAAGAAAAGAAAATCTAAGACGAACAATATAATAAAGTTAGTGAGATGGTTGAGACTATTTTTTAAGGATTGAAATACCGCATAGGAGGTTGTACCGAAAAAGTCAGTGGTATGGTATTTAACGCTGAAATCAGAATTTAATTATGGTTCAACCGCTTCATACCTACCAGTTTAGGCTCCGGTAAGAAATTTTTCTGGTTGAACCACCAGTACGGTACGATATTTCAATCCTTACTATTTTTAATATTTATAATAATATAGACCAAAACAAACTCATTTAAATCAAATTCAATTGACTTGATTCAAATTGTATTCAATCCGAATACAACCTAAACCAATAATTATTAAGAGTGCATGCATATGAATTCATTTGAATCTGATCCAATACCCAAATGAATCATGCAATTAGTTTTCAATTACCCAATAAATCCACTGGTTGCCATCACTTAAAATCATTACATGTTGTCTAATAATCCTCTCCCCAGAGTAAATGGTTGCGCTCTATTTATATTTGTTGGAAATTCGATCACTTAATTACTAGCTTTGATCCCGGTCATTGGTCGGGTAAGTTTCCTTTAACTATTAAATCAATTTTGAGAAATTTTGTTTATATCTTGAAACTCTCATTAATCTCATGCATACACTATGTTTATATTAAATAATTTGTTGTCATACTTAAATTAATATTTATATAGTGCTCAACAAATATTGTTATTTTTTGTGTATGATCCGAATGTATGGTTTGAGAATTTGGCGAGTATATACCAAAACTAATTTAGTCCCTCCGGAAACACCAACGATATTAATACAATATAAGTTAGTTTATAAGTGAAAACATTCAACTATGAATTGAGATATATTGACTTTTGGCTGAATGTATAACATGATCATGTTACAATATTTCAATTTCTTATCATCACACTCGCGATGACTCGCTTATCCAATCTTGAAACCGTTGGATATAAAGTTTTACAAAAAAAAAACAATAGTTCATGAAATCTTAGTGCATGAAACACTCAAAATAAATATCTAAACAATATTTGTCATTCCATAATTTCCAAAATTTAGACTAACGTGCAACTAATATTTAAAATATTAGGAACGAATCTTACCCAACATACTCAAATTATTTATGCTATGCAATATATATAGACTACAACTTCCTAGTTCATATGAAATTAACTGTATTTTTTTATCATAAACACGGTGAAAATTTTATTTATTGTTTAAATATATAATATATGGTAGCAATCTTTTAGATGGTAACTTATACCTAAAAGATATAAATATTTTATTTAATAAAAATACATGTAAAGGAATAAACGTAAAAGCACGTTAAAATTGGAAAAGAAAAAAATTCAGAAATGGAGGAAGTGTTCACGGAGGGCTGATCTTTTTTTTTTTTTGGTGAGAAACAGAGCGCAAAGGGGCGCTCTAACCCTTAAATATTAATCGAACGCGGGGTTTGGACCCAAATAGAGTCAAAGTACAACCAGTACCGCAAAGTAGAACACGGGTTGGTAATCAGATGCACACCCACCGCTAAGGAGTGGCCCACCGATGCTAAATAATCCGCTGTGAAATTTGCCTCTCTGAACACATGATCTTTTTGTTGGTTGGATTTGGTTTATTTTTTTATAAATAATTTGATTGGCTAGAGGCTGTGTTGACGTGGACACTTGAGGGAAGGAGAATTTTGAATTCGTGAAGCCTTTTTTGAGAAACTCCTTATAATATTCTTTAGATTCGATGATTGTGTCATGTAGTGTTTTTTTTTTAGAGACGGGCTCTCAGAACCTAAGAAGAAAATAACAACCAAGGAAGGAAATAATGAAAGTAATCTACACTACTTATAATACATTTTAAAGAGTTTGATTTGCTCCGTTTCAAATTTCCTGCAACGATAGTGAAAGTAGGAAGGGTATTTTCGTCTACACAATTAATTTTTATTTCATATAAAAAGATAGGACTTTGCTACGGTGACATGCATGTCACGGTGACATGCACTTTTCGGTCGACCTCATATAGGATTAGGTCGATCTAATCTGTTATATCAGTGTAAAAACAGTTTCATGGTGTCTACTTTGGAGATTCATATCTTACAATTGGCTAAATGGAAATCGGAGATTAAAGGCTTGTTTTGAAGCTGAAGTGTCCCTCTACACATTAAAGTACTTGGGAGCTCAATAGAAAGTCCAGAAGATCATTTTTGAACCTGACCAAAAGGCTATGCCAAAACTAGGAAACTGCCTGAAAATGGCTAAGTCTGGCAACGGGTTTGTCAAGCCTACTTTGGAGCTCAATTTGAGAAGCATGGATATGAGTCAAGTCCAGGGGCCTCTACCACGTTAAATTACGTATTTTTTATACAAATTCAAGGCATTGGATGAAAGATTGAATGTCTTTAAGGCTTCAAACAAAAGGCTCAAAGTTGCTACAAAGGCTGTTTTTCTGGCAGCTTGCTTATGCTCGAAGTCTGCCAGAAAACAGCCTTCGTAGCAACTTCGACCATTTTGTTTGAAGCCTTACAGATATCCAATCTTTCATCCAATGCATTTAATTTGTATAAAAACATACCTAATTTAACGTGGTAGAGGCTCCTGGACTCGACTCGCATTCATGCTTCTCGAATTGAGCTCCAAAATAGGCTTCACAAACACGTTTCCAGACTTAGCCATTTCCAGGCAGTTCCCCAGTTTTGGCATAGCCTTTTGATGAGGTTCAAAAATGGTCTTATGGACTTCCTATCGAGCTCTCAATCACTTCAATATGTAGAGGGACACTCCAGCTTCAAAACAAGTCATTAGTCTTCAATTTCCATCTAGCCAATTGTATGATATGAATATCCAAAGTAGGCACCATGAACTGTTTTTACACTGAAACAACAGATTAGGTCGACCTGATCCTATATGAGATCGACCGAATCCTATATGAGGTCGACCGGAAAGTACATGTCACCGTAGGCACACCCAAAAAGATATCAATGCTAGGATTTGAACCATGGTCTCTTCGACCAAAGACAAGAATTGTAACCAATTAGACTAGACACATTTGTTGTACTTTACTAATACAAAACATAGAGGAAGTTAAAATTATGAAAAACAAAGTACCTTTCTATCATGGTTAGTTAGCTCGCTAAGTCTACTGTAAGTATTTTGTGGTGTTTGATACTTATATTTTCATATTTTAATAATTAATTTAGAATTTTTTATAACTTATAAATGAAGGATAATCTTAAAATCAAAACAAATATCATTAGTTTAAATATTGCGCATTGAATTGAACTGTTCAATGAAGTGTTCAATGAAGACATAAGAACACTGGTACCATAAATTTCAAGAAATATAAACATGACAAACACCAATACCAATTATCTCAACAGTCTATGCTAAAATTCGAAATTGTTTAATCATTCAATTTGAATGATAGTTTAGTCAAATCAAACAAATAATTCACCATTGTGTATGAACAAAAATAAAAACATATTATTGTCTTATGAAAAATGTATTTATTTTAACAATCTAAAAAAAAAAAATCAAAACTTCCATACGACCCCTTATTTCAATTATGTAATTAATGAAATAATTTTTATCAGCATGATGTGACTCGCTATGACACAACTCCTAACAAAGGCCAAGTGTAACCAATGAAAGGGACTGCAGTATAGTGGCTCAAGTGATAAATATCGAATCCACGGGTGTCTAGAGTTACTATTACTCAGCTTCAGTTTATTATTTAGCAAACCAGATTAAGATGAAAGAACTAAACTACTCTAGCAAACTACAGTTAAAGTTAATCTAATTACAGGTTGGGAACTCACTTAGGTATGATTCCCCCTAGCCACTAGCCAGATTAACGATTGATGATTTCTAACTTGTTTCACTTTCATTCACAATGCGGAGAATCCTTGACTAGACCTTGAGTCTCAACTAAAGGAACAAGGCCCTCTTGAGTCAATTGCCTAGAGGGACGTATCCTTCTCTAGAACAACCGATCAAGGCGTTCTGAACTAGACTCCATCTATCGAAAGAGTTTCTCAATCGATACAAAGCAGTGAATCAACCCTCGACTAAAGCAATCGATCCAATACTATCAATCTATGGTGCTCTATTGACCTAATCAGATATTCGCTCTCATAGGATCAAAGCAGAATCAATAATCTCGACTAAAGCAGAATTGAATCATGAAAACGTGCATAGATTGAATATGAACTCAAGATTATCAAGTATGAGTACTCATACAATCATCCAATCAAACAAACATAGCTAGGGTTCCTCAAAACCTAAGTGAAGGGAAGTTACTCCATAGAGAAGAGAGAGACTGCAGTAAGAATCTTCAGATGATCAGTCTTCAAGTCCGGGCTTGTTCCTCGAGCTTCCAAGGCGAAGAAATCCTCCAATTCCACACTTAGAATGCCCTCAAATCGCCCTCTCTCTCTTTGGTTCGTCCCTAGGGTGTTTGGGATCCAAAACCCAGCTCTCTCTTGCAAAAACGCACAAAACAGGCTTTTAACAGCCTGCGTTCGCGATCCCCGGTCAGAATCCCCTGTCTGGTATTTTAGGTCACGTCCGGGGATTTTTG